ATTCGCCACATCGAAGGGCAGATATCACATCTCATGGGATCGCATCATGTCCAGGAATGGTGGCGCACCAATTCCGATCGCACATTCGGGCCGGTATTCGTTGCAGAGGTCAATCGAATCGCGAGGGCTACCGATGAACGGTAAAGGTTTTATTCGAGTGAGTTGTAGATGACGTCTAACCAGTTGTTGGAGCTGACGGCCTATTCGCCACTCCGCTTGCATATCACTGCCTACGGTCGCTGCAAACTCCGCCGGCTCATGTACGACCGCAGCTCAACACGGTGTTAGGCGTCACAGAAACACTCTTCCACGCATAGACATGTACACCGTATGTGCATACACTCTTCCCCATGAATGTGACATGGGACCCAGCTAAGGCACGTACAAATCTGTCCAAACATGGAGTAGATTTTGCGGACGCAGCCGTAGCCCTAGAAGACGAAAATGCTCTAACTATCCCTGATACTGAGCATGGGCAGCTTCGCTTCAAAACCTTAGCAATGGGCCCCAGTCTGAAAATTCTATTCGTAGTGCATGCAGAGCAAGACGAAGACACTATCCGCATCATTAGCGCTCGGAAGGCTGAAAAAGCCGAAGAACGCGCATACTTCGAAGGTGGTTTTCATGAGTAACGATTTTTCCAAAGGCAAGCGTGGTCCGATCATCTCGCCTGATCCAAGTAAAGTGCGCATAACTATCCGATTGGATGCTGACATTATCCAATACTTCAAGAATCAGGTGCTAGAAGCTGGTGGCGGCAATTACCAATCACTTATCAACAATGCACTTCGCCATCACATCGAAACCGACAACTTAGATCTAGAAAAAAGACTTCGCAAAATCATTCGCGAAGAACTAAAGAAGGCCAGCTGAGTTGACGCCTAACGAGTTGTTGGAGCTGACGGCCTATTGGGCACGCGTTTTGCGCGCTGCGCTTCCGCAAAACCCGCGCCATCTTCGTCAACCAGTTAACATGGTGTTAGGCGTCACAAAGGAGTTGTCATGAGCTGGGATGCGTTGGGTGCAGTCGCTGAGTTATTGGGTGCGATTGCTGTTATTGCCTCGCTGCTTTACCTGGGCCTTCAGATTCGAGCAAGCAACAAACAGTCAAAAGCACAGACGTTTCACCTGGTGGCCTCCGAACAGGCTCGTGTGTCAGATTCGATTACCAACGTTCCAGAGAATTTTTCGGCTTGGCTTAGGCTCCATCATGGCGATGAGTTGTCGACTGAGGAGTACACGCGAGCCCGGTTCATGATCTCCCGAATTGTTCAGTGTTTCTTGGCGATTGAGATAGGTCATGAGAACGGCCAGATCAGCGACGATTTCTATGAGGATTCCAAACTTCAGTTCAACACTATGCTTGGGCGTGACTCCCCAAGTGTTGAGACCTACCGGTATCTTAAACGAAATCACCCTGCCATGATCCATAGACCGATGTTCAGTGAGGTTATCGTTCAAGCTGAGAGATACCGTCGTTCCAAAAATGAGCCTGAAGATAGGTCCGATGACGCCTAACAAGTTGTTGAACAGGGTTGCCAAAGAGGTCACGCGTTTTGCTAAACGCAAAATCGGTGAAAGCATGGCATTTCATTCGAAGAAGCACAGTCTATTTTCTACGACGAGTTTGCGATTCAGTTCTTTGATGAAGAGCACTCCGACGGAGAGGAGCGATCCCTGATGCTCGGTCTTAGCAATCAAATTAGGCTTTTGATAGTCGTACATTGTGTTCGCGAGGAAGACATCATCCGAATTATATCGGCGAGACCCGCAACACGCACTGAACCAGAATTTTATAGCGGTCCCGAAGTATGAAAAAGGAATACGATTTAGCAAAAATGAAGAGCCAAAAAAACCCCTATTCCTCAAAACTTAAGCGGCAGGTTACGATTCGTATGGGTGATGATGTCATTGAATATTTCAAAACGTTGTCCGAAGAAACCGGCATACCTAATCAATCCCTTATCAACCTGTACCTTCGCGATTGCGTTGCAAACAATCGAAAGCCAGATTTGCATTGGGATACTCACAGCGCCCCCTAACGAGTTGTTGGAGCTGACGGCCTACCCGTCACTCAACATGGTGTTAGGCGACTAGATCTCTATTTCCTGAAATTCTCATTGCAACGTGTAACGTTATAGGTTACATTTTAGCCATGATAGCAAGCTTCAGGCATCGCGCACTGAAACGCTTTTTCGAAACAGGCTCTACAAAAGGTATTTCGGCGGACCACGTTTCTAAGATCCAGCTGATTCTTGCAAGACTAAATGCATCGGTAAGTCCTCAGGATATGAATCTACCAGGATTGTTTCTCCATGAACTTACAGGAAATAGAAAAGGAACATGGTCCGTTCGTGTTTCGGGAAATTGGAGGATCACCTTCAGATTCGAAAACCCCGATGCTTACGACGTAAATTTAGAGGATTACCATTGAACATGCATAACCCACCTCATCCAGGAGAAGTGCTGAAAGCTCTTTGTATTGAGCCTCTTGAATTAACCGTGACGAAAACGGCCGAAGCATTGGGCGTAAGTCGCAAAACACTTTCAGCCATTTTAAACGGCAGAGCCGGTATCAGCCCTGAAATGGCGATTCGTCTTGGCAAAGCATTCAACACCAGCGCTGAAAGCTGGCTTAATCAACAACTCCAATATGATTTGTGGCAAGCGCAACAGTCAATTGGCGACATACAAATTCAGCCTCTCGTTACGGCATAGCAATGGGCATTCAGTCGCCCCCTAACCAATTGTTGGAGCTGACGGCCTATTGCGCACGTGTTTTGCACGCTGCGCTTCCGCAAAATCCGCACCCAATATACGGCAGCCCCTCAACACGGTGTTAGGCGTCAAGGAGAAAATTTCGTGAATTGGGAGGCTATAGGAGCAATAGCAGAATCAGTAGGGGCGTTAGGCGTAATCGCAACTCTAATCTATTTGGCTATCCAGATTAGATCCAATACTCAGGAAAATCGTCTGGCTGCAACTGCAGACATTTCACACGAGTACAACACGTTTCTACAACACATTACGGGGGACGCCGAGCTTTCCAGACTCTGGCGTATTGCGGTCGATGGAAATCCACATGACCTCACTGAAGATGAACGATCACGCATAATTTTAGTTATGGGCAACATCAATCGCATTCTGGAAAACGCCTACATGCAATACCTCGCCGGTCGCATGGAATCCACTTCCTGGCATGGCTATGAGCGACTACTCCTGCGCGGAGTCAATGCGTCTATCTATCCCATGTATTGGCAACTTCGCAAAGGTATGCACACAGAAAAATATGGAGAGCTGGTAGAAACATCCATGTTAAACCCAGACAAAACACCAATGTTTACAGGCGCAACAGATGACGCCTAACGAGTCGCTGAGTCGGAGACGATTAATGCGCAACTTCTTGAAGACCTTAACGAGCCAGTTGCGATATCTTTGCAGAGAGCCGTGCACAAATTGGCCACTTCACAGAGTCTTGAAAGTAGCGTTGACATCATCTCTACTGGAGACCAAACGAAGAACGATGTACAAGAATGACTCCTAACGAGTTGTTGGAGCTGACGTCCTACTCGCAGCTCAACATGGAGCTAGGCGTCTAAACTGAGTTGATGCGTCATCGTGTATTCACCTATATAACTAGAGCGCATGAGTTGCTCGTTCTAGACCATGTGGATCATCGATATTTGGACCCTCAAATCCCTGGTGGAACAATCGAAGAGAATGAAACGCCCGAAGCCGCGGCAATACGGGAAGCTCAAGAAGAAACTGGCCTTAAATCTCTTGAAGTCGTGAGTTTCTTGGGATCATTTGAAAGAGACCTTACAGATATTGGGCGAGATGAGGTGATTACTGCCTGGTTCTTTCATCTAAAGACAAACGAACCAACACCTTCTTCGTGGCGTCACTTCGAAACCGACCCCTCGGATAGGGCCGAACCAATCGAGTTTGAACTATACTGGGTACCGATTCATGAAATACCCAAACTCGGCGGAATTGATAATGCGATGCTGCGCGAACTCAAGAAATCAGTACTTAGCTCCGACACCTAACGAGTTGTTAGAGCAGGCGACTTACTCATTACCTGGTGTTAGGCGTCTTTAAAAAAAGGATTCAGATCTTATGGAATACAAAGGCGGGTGCCATTGTGGCGCGGTTCGTTACCACTGCACAAGCGAGCCAGAACTAACATTTTTTTGCCATTGCAGCGATTGCCAACGTACAACAGGTAGCCCGTATTCGATGGAACTCATGGTTGCAGACGATGGATTCGAAATACAAGGATCCCTGAGCTCTTACGTGGTCACGGGGGATTCGGGGAAGCCAGTCACACGATGGTTTTGCGCAGCTTGTGGATCGGGCATATATCTGGATTCAGAGGCCGACCAGGGATATGTTTTCCTGAAAGTTGGCAGCCTGGATGATGCCAGTTGGGTGCAACCCGAAATGCACATATACACAGCAGCCAGGCAACCCTGGGTAAAAATGGGAGACGGCCTCCCTGAGTTTGAAGGTGCGCCCTGATGCAATTGCAACAACCTCCTGACGCCTTATTGGGCTAACGGTCTAAAGGTCTGGAAGTTCGTTCCTCAGGAGAAACTATTGGGCATTCGAGTTAAGTCCGAGCTGAGAAAAATCAATGGCATCCGCTTCGCCAGATTCAAGCTCATAGATGAGGTATATACAGATAGTAAAGAAGAGGCTCTGCTCACTTTGGCGCTCAGTGAATGCAATATCACTTCCAGCGGCAGCGTAGGACTGTTTAAAGACCAAGTCAAAACGACTGACGGGCGCAATGTCTCCCGTGTTGGTGGGGTAGACATACCCTTAGACGCAATCAAAGCGTTCACCACAGCCTTAAACTGCAAAGGATTTGAGGTGACTTGAAAGCAATGTCGCCCGACGTGTTGTTGAAAAATATTGGCATTCCTTATAGATCCCTTTCTCATTACCAACTTGGCAACGATCGGTATAATCGCCGTAAATAGCTATCGGACTGTGCCATGACCACTGAAATTATCGGGTTACATCACGCCGCATATCGTTGCCGAAACAGCGAAGAGACCAGGCAGTTCTACGAGGAATTTTTAGAGTTGCCGCTGGTTGAAGCATTTCCTATCAACACCACAGCGACGGGACGCGCCGCTAACGTTCTGCATAGCTTCTATCAGATGTCTAACGGCGGGTGCATTGCTTTCTTCGAAGCCCCGGACCAACCTTTTGAGTTCAAGAAACAACATGACTTCGACCTGCACATTGCGTTGGAAGTACCGTATCCAACTCTTGAGCGAATGTTGCAGAAAGGCAAAGACCAGGGATTCGAGGTTCGCGGACCCAGCGATCACGGCTTCATCCACTCAATCTATTTCCGCGATCCCAATGGTTATGTTGTTGAATTAACTGCGCCGGTAAATAAGGACGGGGAAAGTGGTTTCGACCCAGCTGAGGCTCGCGCGCGGTTAGATAGGTGGACCGCTGGCGATCGATAATAAGTTCAGGCAGCACACGATCACTTTCGGGCAAAGCATTTCACGATGGGTAATCTTTACAAATGAGTAACCCTAGCCCCTCACTGCGTGAGTATGTTCGTCGCAGGAATGGCGTTGCTCTAGGTGGTTCTGGCGCATTGAGAGAGATGCTGCGACGCTCGCTTGGCGCGAAATCATTCACTGTTTTCTGGCAGTTCTGGAATCCGATTTTTGGCTACTATCTTGGCAGGTATGTTTATCGTCCATTACGTTCACTGGGTTTACCCATAGCCAGCGCCACGATAATTACGTTTTGCGTCAGTGGCGGTGTTCATGACCTCGCCGCTACAGCCGTCAAGCAGCAACTTATTTTCATATGTACGCCCTGGTTTTTCTTTATGGCTGTGGGGCTTGTTATAAGTCGTTCTCTAAAAATGGATATGTCCAGCCTGCGATGGGGCATCCGAGCAACCATTCATATAGCCTATATAGGTGCGTGTGCGGCCCTGGCACTACTCTTAAGGGTGCCAATGTAACTCAGAAATTGAGAAGGTCATTCCGGCGGGTAAAATTTGCAGCTGATGGTTGGGCTTGCTCAAAACTGCTAGGGTGCTTAGAACTAAACAAGGCAAAATAGTCCATGGCCGTGCAAATTCAGAAAAGCTGTTTCGAGGGTTTAACCGGCGCGCTGGACGATGTGAAGTCTCGCGAACTGTGGCCAACCACCTATACAACGGACCACGCAACTGCAGCAGACCCACACTGGCACAGTGAGGACGTGCATGGCTGGGTCGTCTCCGGAAATTTCCACCTTCACAATGCTGAAGGACAGAGGCTGGATATGGTGCCTGGCGACAAGTTCATGATACCGGCAAGAACGCTCCATGCAGAAGGCGAGATCAACGGACCGGTGACGTTAATCATCGGCCTGGCAGAACCTTTGCCCGGAGATCGCTTTCTGCTCCCACGTGATCCATCAACGCTTTAACAATAGCTGCGTTGCCCAACATGGTGATCAGGTTTAACCCACATCATCTAGGGGCACGCGCGGGCTTTCATCTTTACGGCGCCACACAGTGCAAGTGATAACCATCAAAGTGCTGGGCACAGCAAGCATCCTAACTGTCTGCACGTTACTTGCACTGTTTGTCCTTAACAGATTCGAGAATCCAACAAACACATTTGCCGACTACTCGGAAATGGCAGCCAGCCAAACCATGGCCGCGGGGTGGATTCCGAAAATAATTCCCCGCTCAGCTTATGATATTTCTGAAACCCACAATCTGGATAACAATAGGTTTCGCCTGACCTTCAAATTTGAACCCGGAGACCACGAAGTAGCCAGTCGCACATGCCAGCTTGCAGTAGAACAGGAAACGGAATTCGTATACTTTTGTCCAGACGGCACACTGCGTCTGGCCACCAGTGGCCAGGGTTCTTTTGAGAGCGATTGAAACTGTCTGTTGCAGAATCTGATCAATGACTGACGAGCAAACGAACGCAAACGCAAAATGGTGGATTGTCATTGTCTTTCTCAGCCTGGCAACAATTTTTATCTACTTTCTCATTTTCCAGCCAGAGGCTGTATCCCTGTGGCTGAGAGACAACTTAATGGTGTCGTGGACGGCGCTCGGCGTCGCGATAATCGGAACTGGTCTGTTCTTCTTTTTAAGCGCTAAATCAAGTGGTCGGCGCCGCTCTTTGAATCGAATTAGGGGGACTATTTATTGCCTGATCGGCGCATCAATTTTGCTTGCGGTCTCCTTTAAATGATTATCCATGAGATGTCGAAATGAACGAAAACAAACAGCGCAGGCTTCAATAAATGACCAACAGCACTTACAGCATAAGACGCGAGATACTGGAAGATTCAGCAGACATCCATGAATTAACGAAACGCGCATTTCACGGTATGCCCTACGCAGATGGAGACGAACAGGATGTTATTGACCGCCTGCGCGCGTCAGGGCGTTTAGTGCTTTCTCTGGTTGCAATCATGGATGCTGAAGTGGTTGGGCATATTGCATTTTCCAACGCTTTACTTTCCGACAGTCACGATCCATGGCTCGCCCTTGGACCGGTTTCCGTGACCCCGAACCATCAACGTAGCGGAATTGGCTCAGCATTGATCAACAAGGGCCTGGAGATAATCGAAAAGCAGGGCGCACCTGGTTGCATCCTCACAGGCAACCCCGACTACTACCAGCGGTTTGGCTTCAAACTTGCGCCGGATAACGTTCCAGCAAACGAATCAGAACTATACTTCATGGTAAAAGCATTCACTCCAACGCCGCCACGTGGCATATTTCGTTTTGACGAAGCTTTTTACTATGATCTTTAACGACACAATCGAGGTTTAACGCCCGATGAAACGCTTCTTAACTTTCATGTTTATCATTGCCGTGGCTGGCGCTCACGCCGACGAAATCGATCATGTACTGGTCAAAAAGAGCGAACGGCAACTTCTGCTGATGTCAGGCAGCAACGTTGTGAAATCTTATCCCATATCTCTGGGAGAACAGCCTGTTGGGCATAAACAACGCGAAGGGGACGAAAGGACACCCGAGGGACAATACGTCCTGGACTGGCGGAATCCAGAGAGCCGTTTTTACAAATCGATTCGCATCTCCTACCCAAATGACCAGGATCAGATGCGTGCGGAAAAGAACAATCACAGTCCGGGCGGCGACATCTTCATCCATGGTCTGCCTAACGGGGTTAACCGCTTAGCGAGAACATTTCGTGGTCGAAACTGGACAGATGGATGTATTGCAGTGAACAACAACGACCACATGGATGAGATCTGGCAACTTGTGAAAGACGGTACCAGGATCACCATTCGACCCTAACGTAGTTACCCTACCTTATCTAACTCTGCTTTAATCTGCTCAGCTTCCGCCACCAATATCGCATTCTGCCTGACGTCTCCGCGACGCATAGCGTGCATGGCGGTTTCCATCTTCTGCTCATAGGCTTTCTGGAGCTTTTTCCTGGGGTCACGCTTGAATAACGGCATCGTTTGATCCTGGGTTTAAAAGTTGGGTCTTTATGCAAATAGTTCTGGTTTAACAGGCGGTACAGTTCAACAGATCCACTGTGAATAGCTTGTCAAAACTCCAGCGCGATTTTCCACTAGCAGTGGCTTGATCCTTTTTGAGCGGTGCGCCAACTGGTAAGAAGGGAACACCTGGAGCACTACTCCGACTCGAAAAATTGTCCTGACAGATCGACCAGGTCTATTTTCATCGAACCACGGTTTGCAGATGAATTCGACATAGAGGATATTGTTAGGCTAATTAGACTCGTAATTGAAACCACTGGAGAGAGGTAACATGGATATAGTCAGACTTCTGATCGCCGTGGTTATCGGCATTGTTATTGGCAGCGCCGTGAACATGGGTTTGATTCTGCTCGGGCCGTCGACTATTGCCGCGCCGCCTGGCGTCGATATGAGCACCACTCAAGGCATGCAGACCGGCATGTCATTGTTGTCTGCAAAACACTTTCTGTTCCCCTTCCTCGCACACGCCTTTGGCACTTTTGCTGGTGTTCTAACGACCTATCTGATAACCCGCCTGTATCGCAGGCAAGCCGCCTGGGGCGTTGGTTTGTTTTTTCTGGCAGGGGGCGTAGTTGCAGCCAACCTGATTCCTGCACCTGTGTGGTTTATTGTTGCTGACCTGGTGCTGGCGTATGTGCCGATGTCCTGGCTCGCCATCAAGCTTGTTGATAGACGTTCAGATCATCAGGAGAACATGAGCCTCTAGATCTTACCGCGCGACGCTGCCACTCCGCTTCCTTCAGCAATGATCCAAACCGCATTAGGCAGGGTGACTTTAACCGAATCATGTCCGGACGCGTCTACTTCTGCCTGCTCAGCTTCCAAAAGCGCCAGCAGTTCCCCAACCGCGACCCTGCGCGCACGTTGCGTTTGCTTGCCCGGTCGATAGGCCAGTTCAACCTCAAGAGGTAGCATCTGTTCGCCAGACCGGGCAATAAATGCAAATTTCATTTTAGTTCTCCAGTTCTTGGATTAGTCTATACATCGCGTTAAAAGCTTGGCCAACCATGATTCAACTCAGATACATCGCCAATGACGTAGACAGTTCGATTGAATTCTACAGTCACTCGCTTGGCTTCAAGCTGTTTTCCCCTCAAACAAAGTGATTCGCCCTTACCAGGCTGCCGACTTACATCCAACGGCACAAGTATGGTTCAACGCCGGTATCAAAGCCTATCCTTATCTGCCGGACTTTCAGGCACTCACACCTGCCAGAGCTGAACAGGTTTTTGCAGAGGTTATTGCGGGGCCAGACGAAATATGGGTCTTTGAGCAGAATGCACAAGTCTGCGGCTTTATCGCACTGCAGGACAGCTACATTGATCGGCTCTATGTAGATCCAGGGCATCAGGGAAAGGGTATCGGCTCGAGGTTGCTGAATCACGCGAAAGCACAACATCCAGCTTATCTCAGCTTGCACACTCATCAAGCCAATCAGGCAGCACGTGTGTTTTACGAACACGCACACTTTGCAGTACACAAGCTGGGAATGAGTCCCGCACCCGAAAACGTACCTGATGTTGAATACCGCTGGTTTGGCGAAGGGCACAACGCGGAGTGCTGATCTGATGCACATCTCAAACCTGATCCACCTCGCCGTGGTAGCTGCGCTGTGGCTATTCCTATCTGCCTATTTACGCAGAACCAGCGCCACTCGTTTTCGAGCGGCACTGCGGATCCTGCAGATACTGCCCATCATGTTTGCGCTCGACATCGCTGTGGGCTTTATTGTTGTTGATTCAATTTACGGGCCTAATCAATCTGCCAGCTGGATTTCAAAAACCGTCTGGATCTATCCCAGTCTGTTTATACTGTCGTTGTGGCGCTTGCTTCGCGCGCGCCCTGACAAAGTGTAAGTCGACAATTCACAAACAAAGAGACACAAACAATGCCGGACTCAGAATCAACCAATATTGAAACCATCACCAAGTTCGTGGCGGCCTGGTCGCGGCTGGATGCAGAAGAGCTTGCCAGCTATTTCGCGGAAGATGGTTGTTATTACAACATACCTACACAGCCTGTGCGCGGACGTGATGCTGTGCTGGCTTTTATCAAAGGTTTCACTGCCAATTGGACCAAAACCCAGTGGGATATCATTCACATCGCTGCTGCGGGGGATGTCGTTTTCTGTGAACGTCTAGACCGCACAGAAACCACCGCGGGGAATGTCGATTTGCCGTGTTTGGGCGTGTTTGAAATGCAGGATGGTAAGATCAAGGAGTGGCGCGACTATTTCGATCTACAGACGTTTATGGGTGCAATGTCAGGCAGTCGCTAAGCTGTATGAAGAATCGTCGAATAGCAATCATCGGGAATTCGGGATCAGGCAAATCTACACTGGCACAGCAGATTGCGGCACAGCTTGAATTGGAAGTGCTCGACCTGGATACCATCGCCTGGCGCACCGACAATCCCACTGAACTGGCATCGACAGAAACTGCCGTGGCTTGCCTGCAAGATTTCTTCAACAAACACCCAGCGTGGATCATTGAAGGCTGTTACGAACACCTGATCGGGCCAATACTAGACGGCTCAATCGAACTGGTTTTTCTTGATCCGGGTGAAGCTGCTTGTATCGAGCATTGTAAAAACAGGCCGTGGGAGCCGCATAAGTACACCAGCAAAGCGGAACAGGATAAGAACCTGGAGTTCCTTCTGAGCTGGGTAAAAGAGTACTACCATCGCACCGGTACGATGTCGCTACATGCACACCATGCCTTGTACACATCCTACGACGGTCCTAAACAACACCTTTTTTCAGCATGCCAATTCTCATAAGAGCTGCGCAGCTGCAGGATGTCGAACACCTGGCGCCGATCGAGCGCGCTGCAGAAACGCTGTTTCCAGCTGGACTGCTACCGGAACCGGGTCATGTTATTGACATAAGCGTATTTGAAACGGCCGTTGAGGCTCGACATCTGCAGGTAGCCGAAGTCGACGGCAGCGTTGTTGGATTTGCACTGTGTAATCTGCTGGGTGAATACCTGCACCTGCATGAGATGTCGGTGCACCCTGATTTTGGCAGGCGAGGCATTGGCCGCGGGTTGATTGAGGCAACAAAAACATCCGCCCGGGACAGCGGGTTACCAGGCGTCACCCTCACGACGTTCAGTCATATCCCGTGGAACGGACCATTCTACGAACGCTGCGGCTTTGTAACACTGACCGAAGCGCAACTCACCCCGGACTTAACAAAGATACTCCAACAGGAAGACACAGACGGTTATATCAACAGAGTAGCGATGCTGGCCCGGTTGCCATAACACTCAGGGTTTACCTTGTGTAGATATCCGCTCAGTATATAAACGAGCCTAATAACGCAGGACTGAATATGGATCCACAGACACTCAGGAGCCAGCACGACGTTGAGCTGTTTAACACGCTGCTAAAAGACTCAGATGTAATGCGCGTGAACGAACAGATTGCCAAACAGACCGAGAAAGGTAACCTTGGTGTACGTCGTCATCTGCTCTCCACCTCTGTGCGACTGAGTTCCGCCATGGCAAAGACGTTGCACGCTACTGCAGACGAGTGCCGGGAGAAATTATCTCTGGACATTCCGTTAGAGCTTTATGTATTCCCCAGCGCGAGCTACAACGCCGCCTGTGTAAAACCGGAAGCTGGCCGTCTGTTTATCATGTTCAGTTCTTCTATTCTGGAAGCTTTCAGTGAATCCGAAATTCGTTTTGTTATGGGCCATGAACTGGGCCACCATCTGTTCCATCATCACGACATTCCCATCGGCTACATTATGCGCGGCCAGAACAGACCCAGCCCAAGGCTGGCACTTGAATTAACCAGCTGGTCACGTTACGCAGAAATTTCCGCAGATCGGGCCGGGGCGCATTGTGCCAACGATCTCGAATCGGTAGCGCATGCGCTGTTCAAGCTGGCGAGTGGATTAAGTGGACGATATGCAGAATTTTCCCTGGCGGATTTCCTCGCTCAAGTAGACGAAATGCAGCTGGAAGAAGCTCAGCCCGGCCAGGGTGCACCGATGGAAGACTGGTTTCTCACTCACCCGTTCAGTCCGTTACGGGTAAAAGCGCTGAAGCTTTTCCACGAGTCCATCTTAGCCGATGGCGGAAGCATGGATATTAATGAGCTCGACATGGGTGTTGAGAGCCTCATGAGTCTCATGGAACCCAGCTATCTTAAAGGCAAAACCGACACCGCCGAAGCGCTGCGCAGATTATTGTTTGCAGCTGCCATCGCCGTTGCAGATGCCAGCCAGGGCATTTCAGAAGCTGAAGTAAAAGTCTTTGAAGAATTTTTTGGTAAGGCGGCTTTTTCCGAGCGCCTGAATACCGAAGCCCTCAAAGCCGAAGTGGCCGCACGCATTGAACAGGTCAACGAGTCCACCTCGATCCCGCAGCGGATGCAGGTGGTGAGAGACTTGTGCATCATGTCAAAAGCTGACGGCCGGACCACCAAAGAAGAGCGCAATACGCTCTACGAGATTGCAAGCGCGCTACACATCACTCCGCTGTTTGTAGACAAGACTCTCGACGCTGACCCGGAACTCGACTGATCACCAGTAAATAAGGAAATTTCAAGATGACCGTCTACGCCATTGCAACTCTTAACATCCATGACCGCTCAACCTATGCCAACTATGAAAGCGGTTTCATGGCAGTGCTGGAAAACTATGACGCCAGAGTTCTTTCTGTAGATGAAAGCCCCTTAGTGCTGGAAGGCCAATGGACCTTCACGCGCACTGTCATCGTGGAGTTTTCCGACGCCGACGAGCTGCAGCGCTGGTATAACAGTGATGGATATCAGGCGATTCTGACACATCGCAAAGCAGCTTCTGACGGCAATGTTGTGGTGGTGAATGGATTGCCGGCATGACCGCAAGCCAGGATGCATTTTCATCTTGCGCAAAAGCACCCTATGTCAGTTTACGAACGTTTCGTAAAAGTGGCGCGCCTGTTGATACCCCTGTCTGGTGCGCACCCGAAGGGGAGAAGCTGTATGTCTTCAGCGCCGGCGCTGCTGGCAAAGTAAAACGTATTCGCAACAGCGCAAGATCAGAAATCTGCGTTTGCGATGTGCGTGGCAAAGTACTGGGGCCGTGGTTTAGTTGCTCCACCATCGAAGTCACAGACCCGGAGCGTACGAGGCAGGCATTACACGCGCTGAACCGCAAATATGGGTGGCAAATGAAAATTGCGGATTGGGGCGCCAGACTGACCGGAAAGTTTTCTAAACGTGCTTACTTATGTATAACGATTGAATAGCTTCACCGCTGGTTGCTATATTCAGACCCTGATTAAATTGAGTTACATCATGAAAATAAAAATTGCCCTTACTCTGACCGCTTTGCTACCCGTCTCAGCTTTTGCCCATGATGGACATGGCAGCAGTCACGCACATTCGCTGATGCACTATCTGACAGAACCCTTACACCTGATACCTGTTGCGGTCATTGCTGTTGCGGCCTGGTATGTGTGGCGGCGTAAAAAAACCAGCTAGCTCACAAATGCCTGATTTATGTTATCTGTGCCTGGCGGCACCAAAGGCTGTCGCTGTGCCCGCTTATAACATCACCGTCTGCACCCAGTGCTGGTCTAACGCCGAGTTCGGCTGGCCGGTTGGCTTTGAACCCAGTCTTTTTGATGCGCTGAAGCGCGGCGGATTATTGATCCCTGATCGCAACGATCAGGGCAGACTGCCGCGGCAGTACCAGCCCCCGGCAGACTTCCAGCTGTAGACTTCTATCAGCGCGCGGTTTGTTCGTGCACAAAATCAACCAGGAACTTCACATTGTCTACCGGCGTTTCGGGAATGATGCCGTGGCCCAGATTAAAGATATGGCCGGGGCGGTTTGCGACGCTTTTTAATAACTGCTCGCTTTGTTTGGCCACCGTAGCCCGGTCGGCACACAGCACGATCGGGTCGAGATTACCCTGTACCGCTGGAATGCCCAGTGCATCCCAGGTTGGCGCCAGCGGTGTGCGCCAGTCGAAAGCCAGCACATCAAATCCTAATGGTGCTATTTCAGGTAACAGATGGTGGTTACCCGTGCCAAAGTAAATCACCGGCACCCGACCTTTCAGCTGCGCCAGCATCTTCTGTAAATGGGGAAGAACATATACCCGGAAGTCTGAAACCGACAGGCTGCCAACCCAGGTATCAAAGATCTGCACGGCTTCTACACCTGCTTCAATCTGCAGATGCAGATAGCTGACCAGTTGCTGCACCAGCTTGTCGAGCAGCTGATGCCACAGCAATGGCTGTTCATACATCATTTTTTTCACAAACACATAGTTGCGTGAACCTTTGCCTTCAATGGCGTAAGAAGCCAGGGTGAAGGGCGCACCGGCAAAACCAATCAGCGCGATATCGGCAGGCAGGTCCTGCAGGATATTTTTTACCGTTTGCGCTATGTAAGGTGTTGCCTCTTCTGCGGGAGCGTTAATTAAAGACTGCACATCTATTTCACTGCGTATCGGATTATCGAAAACAGGACCCGCTCCAGGTACGTAATCCAGGCGCAAGCCCATAGGTTCCATGATGGGCAGCAGATCAGCAAACATGATGGCTGCATCAACACCCAGGATACGCTGTGCATCCAACGTGGCTTGAGCGGCTTTCTCAGGATTTTTGAAAAAGTCGAGACTGGGCGTATCCCCTTTCACCTGATGATACTCCGGCATATAACGGCCAGCCTGGCGATTCAACCAGATGGGTGTGTGAGGCGTCGGCTCACCCCGACAGGCAGACAAAAATACTTTTTCCATGAGACTTCAATGATTTACGGCGGCCGAACCTTAGCAAAGCTGGGCTGCGCAACCAACTACTTGTCGAACCGGAAAAGTGGCGCAGAAATCACCTCGCAGCGGCCGAAGCCAGACAAATTGAGCTTTACCGGCGATGTCTGCAGTCCGCGCTCATGGGTGAGCCCGGCGGTTGTTGTGTCCAGCAACAGGCCGCCATGGCCCGCAGCGCTGCGCTGCAGGCGATTCGCCAGGTTCACGGGTGCACCAATAACGGTGAAATCACGCCTGGCACCGCCCCATTGGCCTACGTAACAGTGACCTGAGGCCAGGCCAAGACTCAATTTCACCTTGATTGTGCTGTATGACTCAACTGGCCCGGCCTGAGAAAATTTGTCCGGCAGCAACTGCGCACAGCGCAGGGCCTGTCGAGCAACGTTGGCTCGACACTGCTCAGGCAGGCAGGGAAAAACACAAAGAGCACCATCCCCTAAGAATTTGGTCACCGAGCCACCCCACTGTTCAGCGGTTTCATGCACAACATCAAAAAACTGGTTCAGCAGATCGGAAAGATCTTCCAGGGGCAGCGCCTGAACACTGTGCGTAAAACCAACAACGTCGACAAACAGGACACTGACCCACTGCCGTTGAAACGGCAACGAGGTTTTTGTATTCAGGTGGGCAGGCAATTCTTTGGGTAAATAGCGAAGCAACAGATTTTTTTGCTGTTTCAGCATTAAACCGTAATTCAGCTGCTGGCGAACCTGGTGGTGGGCAATGCTGCAGATCACCAGCATAAAAATAATGCCGCTCACTAGGGCAATAGCAGCTACCCAGGTATCGTTGACGAAGTTGAAGCCGACCAGATTCTTGAACAACCAGGCACTCATCACCCCGCAACCCAGGACAAACAAACACCAGCGCCCGCCCCACAGCGTGGTATGGCAGACCAGCACCACCAAAAGGAACGATGCCACCGCCACTGCGGGCAGGCCTGCCGCAAGCGCAAGCATAAGAACCCACAACCATTCCATCAGGTACAGCGCCTGCATCGTGACGCGGTGAATCGTGTGTTGCAGCAGCCACTGGACAATGACTGCCTGAACAAGGCAAAGGGCAAGCCAGTTGATGGCAAGATTACCCGCGCGATAGCTCTGCATAACGATCAAGCCACCAAAAACGGTGTATATCGCATAACGACAGAGCGCCACAGCGCGCTGCAGATCGGGTGTTAAATATATTTTTTGCACCTGCCTAAAGTGGCAGGTTCATGTCATGGGCAAAAGCACCCGGCGCGGCTGTTGGCGTGGGTTTTAGACTTCACGCCCCAGGGTAGGATCGACATCAGCATCGTAATCCACACCCTCAAAACCGAAGCCAAATATTTTCAGAAAGTCTTCCTGATAACCTTCCAGGTCACCAAGAACGGGAAGATTTTCGGTGGTGACCTCAGGCCATCGCTTCAAGACTTCGCTCTGCACCCCTTCCGACAGCTCTATGTTATCCATGCGGATACGGCCTTCATCATCCAGGCGCAGCGGCTCGCCACCTTTTAACTGGGTCGCAAACATGCGGTGTATATGGCTGATGATGTCTTCATGGATACCCTGTTCTTTCATCACCTTGAACAGCAACGCAACGTATAACGGCACCACCGGTATAGCCGAGCTGGCCTGGCTGACAATGGCCTTGAGGACAGCAACCCGGGCATCACCATTAATACTGGCCAGCTTTTTTGCGATGGCGCGGCTGGCGCGGTCCAGATCGATTTTTGCCTGACCAAGGGTACCTTCCCAGTAAATGGGCCAGGTCAGCTCAGTCCCTATATAGGTGAACGCTACCGTTTTCGCGCCATCGGCCAACAGGTCTGCTTCGAGCAGCGCATCCATCCAGAATTCCCAGTCTTCGCCGCCCATGACGGCAACGGTATTTTCTGTTTCCTCAGGCGTTGCAGGCTCCAGATTCACCTGAACCACTTCCCCACTATCGACATGCACCGACTTGATGTCGAGGGCTTCACCCAGCGGCTTGATGGTGGAGCGATGCAATACACCGGTCCTGGGATGTTGGCGTACCGGTGATGCCAGGCTGTAAACAACCAGATCTATTTTTCCCATATCTGCTTTGATCGTGTCGATCACGGTGGCACGCATTTCATCTGAAAATGCATCGCCATCCAGTGTCTTGGCGTAGAGCCCGTCTGCACTGGCAGCTTCATCAAAGGCGATGTTGTTATACCAGCCCGCGGTTGCCGTGCGTTTATCAGTCGGGAGCCGCTCATAAGACACGCCCAGAGTATTTGCGCCGCAGCCGTAAGCAGCAACAATGCGACTGGCCAGACCATAGCCGCCGGAACAACCCAAGACCAAAACGTTTTTCAGCTCGCCATCAGAAACGGCGCCCTGGCCCTTTACGTAAGCTATCTGCTGATCAACGTGGGCTTTACAGCCAGTTGGGTGAGCAGTGGTACAGATGAAGCCGCGGATACGAGGTTTTACGATCATGATTGTTCTTATGACATGAAACTGGAAGGCGCCATGATACCTTGTGATACCGCCCAGCGCATGGTGCGCTCTATATCGATTACCCAGGGACCATCTCGACGGATACACACAGTAGCGCTTTCACCCTCAACAAGTTTGTGGTCGCGGTCGCCATCCAGGGCAATAACGCCTGGCCCGGTCATGGTGATTTCTTCGCCAAAAGCTACCCGTTCTACAGCAGTCACCCCTACCTCCCGGAATAATCCCGGCGACAAGGGTGCCAGTACCGGCTGCCCATCCGGGTCCATGGTCACCGCGAGGCCATAGTCGTCTTCAGCGTAAACCGGATGGAGATAACCGCCTATTGGTGACATACCAATGGACGCAGGCTCTGCGCGCGTCAGCAGCATGCGCCCAAGACGCTGAGCGTCGAATGGCAACAGGTTACCGACATGGTCCCGACGCAACAGAACCGCATCAATCAGACCCACGTCTTCAGCGTGAGGCGTTTTAACATGCAGTACCTTAACGCGCTGTTTCAAACCATTCGCCTCTGCATCCACCAGCTTTCCGCAGGCATTCAAACCAGCAACAATGCCAGCGACGGTAGGTTCCGCCAGCACCGGGAAAACATTATTTGTACCGGTAGACAGCGGCACCAGATCGATGTCCGGGGCGCCGCGAACAATGGCCCGGTTGGTGCCATCTCCTCCTAACGATACAAATGTGTTGCAGCCGGCTTCACGAAACATGGCCATGGAGCGTTCTGTGTCTATTGCATCATTAGCCAGTGGATGTTCAACCATATGCACGTTGGCCTTGAGCCCCATGTTGGCAAGCGCCATGGAAGATATCTGAAAAGGCTCTTTGGTGATGTAAATGTCCGTCACACCAACAGCATCAGCGCCAGCAGCGACCCGCGCAACAATATCGCGTTTGGCTTCATGGGTCATATTTGTGGCGCGCGCCGCAAGGCGTCGCACATCACGTCCTGACATCGGGTTTACTGCCAACCCCAGCTTTCCGTTACTCATTCAGCCCTCAGATAAGATTCTAGAAAGGCAAATCGAACTGCCCGGTCGTAGTCACGATTAATTTTTTTAGCAAAACCGTGACCTTCATTTTTACCTAATACATACCAGACCGGTGTTCCCTGGGCCTCCAGAGCAAGGCGCATCTGTTCGCTTTCTGATGCCGGCACACGCGGGTCGTTAGCGCCCTGAGATATCATGATCGGTGTGACCATTTTATCAACGTGATTGAGCGGCGAGATACTCTGCAGAAACGCGCGCATATCCGGATCGCGCTCATCACCATACTCAGCACGGCGGATATCCTGGCGATAGGCCTGAGTGTTTTCCAGGAACGTGACAAAATTAGATATACCAACCGAATCCACTGCAGCCGTCAGTCGCTTGCCGTATTTGACCATGGAAGCCAACACCATATAGCCCCCATACGATCCGCCAACCACCCCAACGCGCTGGTTATTCAGGTCTGGCTGTTTATCTATCCAATCCAGCAGCGCGCCAATGTCTTTGACAGAATTCTCGCGCAGCTTACCGTTGTCCATTTTCAGATAACTTTTACCGTATCCTTTTGAACCCCGCACGTTTGGCGCAATCAACGCCACGTTCATCTCGTTAACATATGACTGCACGGTGGTCGAAAAATAGGGCCTGTATTGCGCCTCGGGCCCACCATGTATTGAAATGACAACAGGATGTGGGCCTGGCGTGTTTGGTCGGTAAATAAAAGCAGGCACTTCGAGACCATCAAAACTGGGAAAGCTGATCAGCTCGGGCTCAACAAACCTGTTCGCGACCAAACCGCCCAGTTCACTGTGGGTCCAGCGTGTGAGGTCTTGTTGAGATGTATCTACCACAAAAACGTCTGATGGCGTTGTGGCATTGTTAAGGGTCAATGCAATCCTGCTGCTGTCCGGGGAAAAACTGGCTGCAGCAACAATGCCGGCCGGCAGCTGTGGTAAAGCAATGGCTTTACGGGTGGGCAGAGACCAGACTTTGAGAGTAGACAGCCCTGCCTCGTTGACGACAAACATCAGTTTGCTGTAATCCGGCGACAAATCAAATCCTTCCACGTCCCAGTTAATGTCGCGACTCACAACTTCAATATTTCCGGTCGCCAGGTCCAGGTATTTCAGGCGCAGGAATTCACTGCCCTGATCTGAAGTGAAATACACGCCACCACGACCATCGTAGAGGGCGTGTTCTATAGACACACCGCCATCCTGACCAAGAACAGGGGTGAGCTTCTTTGTCGCAATATCCAGCTCGTAAAACTTTGATTCGTTCACGGATAATCGATCTTTGACCAGCAGCCGCTTACCGTCCGCTGACCAGTCTCTAACAGACCAATAGCCACTTTCAGGTTGCATCAATGCATTGTCGTTGCCGTTCAGGTCCTGGTGATAGATGTCCCAGTTACGCCCATCACGCTTGGTGCTGACATACACAAAACTCTGGTTGTCTGGCGCCCAGATAACACCGGTGTAAAGCGAACGGCCATCACTGACACGCCTGGCAGAGCCACTTTTCATGTCATAGAGGAACAGTTGATCAAATTCTGAACCGCCTTCGTCCCAGCTCAGCATGACCGTATCTGTAGCCCCGCCACGCGGCAGATACACCGCACCCAGAGGTTCTTTCAAAAACGTCAGCTGCTCACGATACGCCAGCGGCCTGGCCACACGATGCAACTGCGTGGCATTGGCAAACCGCGTGTAAATCAGCAGTTGATCGCCCTGCCAGCCAGCCACAGATGCACCCCGGGTATTGGCGTACCTGGACAGTCGATCTGCGGTTGCCTGGGGCAGAGGAGGCACATTAAACGTCGCGATACTGGGTGGTATGGGCACAAAGTCCTGCCCCCAGGCCAGCGCACTTATGCCCAAGAACAGAATCGCCAGAACCAGGCGCTTCATTTGATCGATAAAAGGAGACATGATCTGTCGTACCTGAATTACAGCAACGCGCCACGTTAACAAAAACCATGTCGACAGCCAAAATATGTCCACATTTAGCCCGAATTCCAGACCTGGAAGTGCTGCTGGTCACGGACGCCACTGTGACTCTGGCAGATGCATTTGTTCAATGTCACATCTGCGAGCAGCATTACCTTCTTGAGCTGATTGATATGCAGGGCCCGGCCAGTGCGTTTCGAATATCTGCGCTACCGGCAGACGCTGCTACAGCGACGCTGCGATCATTAACCCGGGGGTCGTGTGACATCAATCGTGCCAGTGCCGAACTTACCCACATCCGTCAGATAGCAGAACAGCTGCCAGGTGTGCTGATGCGAAATGAGTCGGATTCGGCGCAAGCGCTCTGGCATTACGTGGCGGATACAAGGCATGTGAAGATACCTAAAGAGCACTGGCGCGACCTGCCCTGTAATGGTCAGATTATCGCAGCTCTAAAGGTCGAATAAACGCGGTTTAAACCACTTTGGATAACCCGCCATCCATATTGATTGCGCAGCCGGTGATGTAAGACGAGGCGTTACTGGCCAGGAAAAGCGCCAGATTAGCGCACTCATGCGCTTCACCCATGCGGCCCATCGGTAAGCGCTGACCAGCCCTGGCAACAAACTCGTCAAAGGATTCTTCTCTATGTGCTGCATCATATTGGCGTTGGATCTGGTCACTTTTTATGAAACCGATCAGCATCGCGTTGACAAGAATGTTATGCGGTGCACCTTCAGCCGCCAGCACCTTTGTTAACGCCATGCCCGCCGCTCGCGTCACAGACGTTGGCGCGGTACGCGCATCCGGCACTTTGGCATAAACATTCAGCAGATTGATCACGCGACCCCAGGACTGCGCCTGCATGTGTGGCCAGACTAATCGCGTCAGGCGTACTGCTGCCATCAACTTGAGATCGATATCGTTCTGCCAATCCTCATCTGTAATATCAGCAAAGGGTTTAGCCGCTGACTGGCCGGCGTTATTGACCAGAATGTCCACTGCCCCGAAACGTTCTACAACCGCTTTGTGCGTGGCGATGATGCTCTTTGCATCGCTGACATCACACGTAAACGCTGCTATCTCTCCACCGCTGCCGGCCGAAATTTCTTTCACAGCTTCATCAAGTGGCTCTTGGCGACGGGCCAGAATCGCAACCTGAGCACCCGCTTCGTAATAGGTCTGCGCCATTGCCTTGCCCAACCCTAAACTACCACCCGTGACCAGAGCCGTTTTTCCGCTAAGCGATGTATCCATTAAGCAGCCTCTTCATGTTGTTCAAATGGGTAAGTCATAATCTACCAGGCCCGCGCTGATGCCACCGGCAAGATAAGTTTGCTCAGTAAACTTCAGATTATCCGCAGACATGACAATAACGGTGCTGGCACGTGTGCCGTATTCATCACCGACAATAAAACAGGATGCCGTACGACGCTCGAGGGCAATAGGACGGCCACGATGAGGCAGGTCTTCGTCTGGCGGTATATCACTGTCGTGCAGCAAGCCAACCAGATCAGCCGCATCAAAATCTTCCTGCACAATATGCTTCAGGCCCTGGGCACCGCGTACACATTTTGGCCACTGAGCGCCCAACTCAGCGTTGCTCAACCCATAGTAGCCAGGCTCCAGTACCTGTGTGGCACTTTTGTTTGAGGTGTAAACCAGCTCGGTACCATCAAACAGCAGCAGATTAAAACCCGCGTAGTCGAGCCCATGAATATTGTGCGCGTAGTGCGCAGCCGGTGCGGTGCCGGTCAGAAAATCCTGCACCAGGAGCCCGCGAGACTTGGGCGCAGGTGCATCATCGGGACCGGAAAAATTAGTCAGCGCAGCAAACCGGCCGTTCAGCGTCGCCCCCAGCCAGGTTCCTCCAGCCACCAGGTCGCGGCCGGCCAGCACCTGTGGATGGTCCTGCCAGAATTGTGCGGCCGCACTTTCGCGCTGATGGAACTCATCTCGATTTGCGGCCACCACAAGCGGCATCTGCGCAGATACGCGGTAGCCAAACAGAATCAAACACATAATCGAAAAGCGTGGTAGTGGGCGGCCGGTGAGTGTACCAGGGGTGAAAAAAGATCACACAGTCACAGCCATTGGGTTAAGCTGCGCGCTTTTCCCGGCCAAGAATTTCCACCGTGTACTACCCCGAGATAGACCCAATTATTTTTGCCGTGGGGCCGCTGGCAATACGCTGGTATGGCTTGTCTTATCTGGCTGGATTCTTCGTAGTGTGGTGGTTAGGTAAACGTCGAGCGCAAACTCACCCGGGCGGCTGGACAGCTGAGCAGGTTTCGGACCTGGTTTTTTACGGCGCCATGGGTGCAGTCCTTGGCGGGCGGATCGGCTACGTGTTGTTTTATAACTTCGATGTCTTTGCGTCTGACCCGTTATACCTGCTGCGCATGTGGGAAGGCGGCATGTCTTTTCATGGTGGGCTGATCGGTTCTATCTGCGGCGTTGGTCTGCTGGCGCGCAAGACCCAGCGACGCTGGATTGATGTGTTGGATTTTCTCGCGCCGCTCACTCCTATTGGCCTTGGTTTCGGACGCCTCGCTAATTTCATTAACGGCGAGTTACCGGGTCGGGTGACTGACAGCGCCTTTGGCCTGATTTACCCCTGCCAGAATGTCATCGCCCTGAACCCTCAATGTGTGGGCCAGTGGGAAGGTGTGGCACGCCATCCATCACCTCTGTATCAGGCGTTTACTGAAGGTCTACTGCTGTTCCTGCTGGTCTGGTTTGTCTCCGCTAAACCGAAACCCGCCGGTTTTGTCGCTGGCGTGTTCCTCATGGGTTACGGCACTTTCCGCTTCTGCACTGAGTTTTTCCGTTCACCAGATGCACACATTGGTTTTGTCCTGTTCGAATGGCTCAGCATGGGGCAGATGTTATCGATCCCGATGGTGATCGCTGGTATTCTGTTAGTGGTCTGGTCACGCTCTCAAAAAACAGCGGCGACTCCACAACTTAAGTAAATCTCGAACGAGCAACAACGCCAACAATGCAACAGTATCTGGATCTTATGCGCCATGTGCGCGAAAACGGCACCTTCAAAGGCGATCGAACCGGTACCGGGACATACAGCATTTTTGGTCACCAGATGCGCTTCGATCTGAACGAAGGTTTCCCCCTGGTGACCACCAAGAAAGTGTTCATGCGCCTCATTATCCATGAGCTGCTGTGGTTTTTATCCGGCTCCACCAACATCAAATATCTGACAGAAAACAACGTTCACATCTGGGACGAGTGGGCTGACGAAAACGGCGAGCTGGGTCCGGTATACGGATCACAGTGGCGATCTTGGCCAACACCGGACGGCACGACCATTGATCAGATTGAACAGGTGGTCAACAGCATTAAAGAGAATCCGGACAGTCGGCGACATATTGTCAGTGCATGGAATGTGGCTGAGGTGAACAATATGGCATTACCGCCCTGTCATACCCTTTTTCAGTTTTATGTGGCGGACAATAAACTTTCCTGCCAGCTGTACCAGCGCAGCGCAGATATATTTCTGGGTGTGCCTTTCAACATAGCGTCGTATGCATTGCTGACCATGATGATTGCTCAGGTTACGGACCTGGAACTGGGCGATTTTGTACATACCTTTGGCGATGCTCACCTGTATGCCAATCATCTCGAACAGGCGGATCAGCAGCTGCAGCGCAGCCCAATGCCGTTACCCACGCTGATGTTGAACCCCGAGGTAAAAGATATTTTCAGTTTTCAATTAGACGATTTTAAGCTGGAAAACTATCAGAGCCACGGCGTCATCAAAGCACCCATCGCGGTATAACACCTTTGCTTATCTCCATGATATGGGCGATGGCGGAGAATCGGGTTATCGGTCGCGACAACTCCCTGCCCTGGCGCCTGCCCACCGACATGCGTCATTTCATGAGTACAACCATGGGCAAACCCGTATTGATGGGTCGCAAAACCATGGAGTCGATGAAAGCACCTTTGCCAGGCCGCACCAATATTGTCCTCACCCGAGACCTTAACTGGCAGCGTGAAGGGGCCAGGGTTGTACACAGCCTTGATGATGCCCTGGCGCTGGCTGAGCAACAGTGTCTGATTGACGGTCAGAATGAACTGATGGTTATCGGCGGCGCAGACATTTATGGCTTATGCCTGCCGCTGGCGGACAAGCTCTATGTCACCCATGTGTCCGGGCATCCGACAGGGGATGTGTTTTTCCCGGATATTGATTTAGACCAATGGGATTGTGTGAGCCGTGTTGAGCATGCGGCTGATGAGCGTCACTCTGCAGATTTTGTCATCGCGGAATATATCCGCAAAACCTGACAACAACGGTTCCTGCAAATATTCACTGCAGCTGATGGTGGGGCAATACCCGCGCCAGACCCGCATCACTTAACTGCTGATGCATATAGGTACGCACTTCTTCTGCCGTTTCCATCTTCAAAACACGGGCAAGCATCCGGCGCGCATCAGAGCGTTTGATCTGGCGTATCACCCATTTCACCTTGGGCAGGTGGGTCGCGTTCATGGAGAGTACGTGATATCCCATGGCCATCAGTAACACCGCGCCTGCCGGTGTGCCGGCAAACTCGCCACAGATACCAAGGCCGGTACCTTCCGCGTGCGCGGCTCTGGCGACCTCACGCAATGCGCCAATAACCGCCGGATGAACATCCTGATAGAGCTCGGCCACACGCGGATTGTTCCGGTCTACCGCCAGCATGTACTGGGTTAAATCGTTGGAGCCTACGGCCAGAAAGTCTGCCTCTTTGGCCAGCAGGCGTGCCTGGTAAACCGCCGCAGGGACTTCAACCATCACGCCAATCTCAGGCATTTTCACACCAGCGCCTTCTTCGACCACTTCGTCATAGGCCTGATGGATAAGGACTTTGGCGGCACGCAATTCACCCACGCTGGAAATCATAGGCAACATGATACGCAGCACACCTTCGAGGCCGGCATTAGCCTTGATCATGGCGCGCACCTGGACCAGAAAAATTTCCGGGTGATCCAGGGTGACTCTTATGCCACGCCAACCCAGAAAAGGGTTTTCTTCCTGGATTGGAAAATAGCTGAGCGATTTGTCACCGCCGATATCCAATGTGCGCATGGTCACCGGCCGGGGGGAAAAGGCTTCCATGTGCTCCCGATAGATGGAGAGCTGCTCTGCCTCCGTGGGAAAACGGTCCGCCGACATGAAGGGAATTTCCGTGCGGAACAAACCAATACCCTCAGCGCCGCGATCGAGAGATCGGGTCAGGTCGCCTGACAGGCCAATATTCACCCACAAGAGTAAACGCCAGCCATCGCGGGTAATACACGGAAGATCTTTCAGCTCTGTCAGCTCTTCATCAAACACGCGTTCCTGTTCGATGAGTTCACGATTCAGCGTTATGCGCCGTTTGTTCGGTCGCGCATAAACCTCGCCGTAATGGCCATCCACCAGGAGGGTTTCTCCCTCAAGGTCATAGGTGGGCAGGTCAATGGCCCCCATGACCGCAGGTATACCCATTGCGCGGGCGAGAATAGCCACATGCGAGTTACTTGAACCACGATTGCTGACAATGGCAACCAGTCGATCTGCTGGAATATTAGTTAACATGGTGGGTGTCACTTCTTCGCCCACCAGAACACTATTGTTAGGAAAGAAAGTCTTTTTGTCGCGGATATCCTGCAGGTACGCCAGCACACGCAGACCCAGCTCTTTGACGTCTGCACCACGCTCACGCAGGTAGGGATCCTCCATAAGCTCGAACCGGCCGACGTGTTCGCGTATGACTTTCTTCAGCGCGCCCTGAGCCCACTGACCAAGCTGTATCTCTTTACGTATATCACCCGCCAGCGCATTTTCATCGAGCATGTGCAGATACGCATCGAACAGCGCCAGCTCCTGTTTCGGCAGGCTGGTGGAAAACTGCGCGCTGATGTTTCTGATGTCTGAGCGGACAGCTTCCAGGGCGCGGTCGAGCAGCAGCAGCTCTACGGTCACTTCCTCAGCCGCACGTTCAGGTACCGCGTCCAGATTCGCAGCGGGATGCACAACAACAGCCGAGCCGATGGCAATACCCGGCGCGCCTGCAACACCCTGGAAGACGCTGTCATCCAGGCCCTGGTGAGGGGTGTTCTGCAGGGCACTATCACCAATTGCCTGGGCGTGAGAAACCACAGTGGCCAATTGCGCGGCCAGAGTGACAAGAAACGCTTCTTCTGCTTCATCGAACCGCCGCGCAGCCTTTTGCTGCACCACCAGCACACCCAGGACCCGGCGCTGGTGGATGATGGGCACACCGAGAAAGGCGTTAAACGCCTCTTCGCCAGTTTCTGGCAGGAAGTGATATTCGGGATGATTCTGCGCATCATCAAGATTAAGTGGTTCGGCGCGACGACCCACCAGACCCACCAGACCCTGCTCCAGACTGAGCAACGCGGTGCCAACCTGGGAGGGGTTAAGACCGTCTGTTGCGGCGAGGGCATACGCGTCCCGCTCCCGGGTCAGCAGGTAAATGGAACACACATCGGTGTTCATCGCATTTTTAACTTCAGTGACCAGTTCGTTGACAGCGCCAGCCAACTGGCTGTGCGCCGTGAACTTAAGAACAATGTGGCGCAGCGTCGCTAACACTGAGAGGGACTCCGGGTATCAGGGCGAGCAGCTTGTGCCAGAGGCAGGTGCGGTGCCAGTTCTGTCAACGCCCGGCGATACACCTCCCGCTTGAAATCCACCACCTGGGTCAGCGGATACCAGAAAGATACCCACTGCCAATGATCAAATTCAGGTTTAGGACCACCATCCATAGTCACATGACTGTCTTCGCCCAGCATTTCTAACAGAAACCACTTCTGTTTCTGCCCGACAAAGCCTGGGGTGGAGTTGTAACGTCGCAGGCGACGCGGCAGACGATAGCGCAGCCAGCCTTTGGTACGTGCAACTATTCTGACGTGATCAGCGGTCAGACCAACCTCTTCGGTCAACTCGCGGAACAATGCCTCTTCAGGGGTCTCATCAGGGTTGATACCACCCTGAGGGAACTGCCAGGCATCGTGCCCGCCAACCCGACGCGCCCAGAGCACCTGACCGGTACCCTGCCCATTTGCCAGAACAATACCAACGTTCGGCCGAAAACCGTCCGTATCTACCATGTTTGCCTCGTATCACCGCAGCGTTTCACGACGGTACCCAACAGGGTATCCCGTCTCGTAGCCACAGATTCTTGTTACCTTCATGCCTTGATACCGGAAAAGCACAACGGACACAAATTCTAATCCGCAGCTGTGAGGTTCAAAGGTGTGATGCGAACAGCAAACACCCTACAATCAACCGCATGACAAACCGCCTGCAAAACGAAACCAGCCCTTATCTTCTGCAACACGCTGACAATCCCGTGGACTGGCATCCCTGGGACCCGGAAGCATTGTCAATCGCACGCCAGGCAGACAAACCGATCCTGTTATCGATTGGCTATTCAAGCTGTCACTGGTGCCATGTTATGGCCCACGAGTCTTTTGCAGATGAGGCCACCGCAGCGGTTATGAACGAGCATTTCATCAACATCAAAGTAGACAGGGAAGAACGTCCTGATCTGGATAAAATCTACCAGACCGCCCTGCAACTACTGACTCAGCAGGGCGGCGGCTGGCCGTTAACCATGTTCATTGACCCACAAACGCTGCTGCCATTTTATGGTGGCACCTATTTTCCCAGTACACCAAGACATGGGCTGCCCGGGTTCAGTGATCTGTTGTTGCGCATCGCGGATGTGTTCATCAATAAACGAAACGAACTGAATGAACAGGGCGAGAAGATTCAACAAACGCTGCAGATGATGGTCGCACCGGTACAGGAAGCCACGCTGCAAGATGCAGCCTTGTTAAAAGCCGTTGCAGAAGCTTTGGCGGCCCAATACGACAACGGCGCCGGTGGGTTTGGCGGCGCGCCGAAGTTTCCCATGCCCAATGCACTGGAGCGCCTGCTGTCTCATTGGGCCCATACCCGACGTCTCGGCGGGAACGATAAAGACAGCCTTGATAAGGTCATGACCTCGCTGACCAATATGGCCCGAGGCGGCATATACGATCACCTCGGTGGTGGTTTCTGCCGCTATGCAACCGACAATAAGTGGATGATTCCCCACTTCGAGAAAATGTTGTACGACAACGCACAGCTATTGTCAGTCTACAGCTTTGCGCTGACCCTTGGACCTGACAAGCTGTTTGAAGAAGCTATCGCGGATACCATCGGCTGGCTGCAACGTGAAATGCTGCACCCACAAGGGGGATTTTTTGCCGCCCTCGACGCAGACTCAGAAGGTGAAGAAGGCAAATTTTATGTCTGGCGCCGGGAGCAGGTTAAGAAGCTTCTGACCGAAGACGAATACCTGATCGTCGAAACGCTTTATGGTTTGGATAAACCAGCCAACTTCGAAAACAAATGGAATTTACACCGCTACGACTCCTGGCGATCGGTGATCGAGCGGTTGTCCCTGGCACCTGATTACGCCGACAAACTGCTGCAAAGCGCCAAACAGAAAATGCTGGCCGCGCGCGAAATGCGTGTTCGGCCCGCGACTGACGATAAAATTCTAACCGCATGGAACGGCCTGATGATCCGCGGTCTGGCACACGCCGGCATCAATCAGGCACGATCGGACTGGGTGGTGCTGGCACAGCACACTGCAGATTTTCTCGCCAAACAGTGTTGGGACGGCAACTATTTATACGCGACCTGGCAGCAGGGTTCACCTCGGTATCTGGGTTATCTGGACGACTATGCCAATGTGTTAGATGGCTTGACAACGCTGCTCAGCGCACAGTGGCGCAGCCAGGACATGCAGTTTGCCATTGAACTGGCCGACAAGCTGCTGGAAGACTTTTATGATGTTGAAAACGGTGGTTTCTATTTTACCCGGCACGATCACGAGCAGTTAATTTATCGACCTAAGCCAACCATGGACGATGCCATGCCGCCGGGTAACGCCACCGCAGCCAGGGCATTGTTGACGTTAGGCCATCTGCTGGGGGAAAGCCGCTATCTGGACGCGGCACATGGCACTCTGGCATGGGCACGCGCGGTGATGGAGCGTCTGCCCGCTGCACATTGCAGCCTGCTGAGCGTACTGGAAGAAACGGTTTATCCCACGGACCTGGCGATCTTACGTGGACCCAGTGATCTGACTGAAAACTGGAGCCAGGAAATTCGCGGCGGTTTCACACCCTGGCGCAAAGTGTTTGCAATTCCGTATGAAACAGAGGGTCCACTGCCACCTTATCTGCCAAAACTGGTCAGCACACAGGCACAACAATCGGTAACTGCATTTGTCTGCCAGGGCTTGAGCTGTTCTCTACCCATCACTGATCTGTCTGAGCTTAAGGAAGCACTGGGCTAAACCTGGACAACTTGGGCCAGGACAACTCAGGCCAGTAGAACTCAGGCTAAGACGCGGACCAGGTCAGGTTCAACTCACGCGCGGCTTTCACATCATCCAATCGTCGCACCGGTGTGGTAAACGGCGCCTGCTTCAACAGATTGGCATCTCGATGGGCCTCTTCACGAATCGCAATGAGTGCATCAACATAACGATCCAGCTCTTCCCGACTTTCAGTTTCCGTTGGCTCAATCAGAAAACATTCCGGAATCAGCAGCGGAAAATAAGTGGTTGGCGAGTGCATGCCATAGTCGAGCATACGTTTGGCAATATCCATCGCGTTCACACCCAGCTCTTTGGCTTCATGGGCAAAGGTCAGAATAAATTCGTGGGTTGCGCGACGTTCAGGATAAGCCAGTTTAAAGCCGGCTTTGTGCAACCGCGCTGCCATATAGTTGGCATTCAGCGTCGCGTACTCACCCACACGATGCATGCCTTCCCGCCCCAGCAACAACGCGTAAGCCAGCGCTCGAATCAGAATACCCGCATTACCGGCAAACGCTGACAGGCGACCAATACTCAACGGCAGATCGTCCTGGTCTACCCATCGATAGACCGTTTTGCCTGCCTCTTCCACCTTGGCCACAATAGGCACCGGCAGATGCGGTAACAACCGTTTAGACACGCCAACAGGACCTGCACCTGGACCTCCGCCACCATGGGGTGTGGCAAAGGTTTTATGCAGATTCATATGCAGGACATCGAACCCCATATCACCGGGTTTCACCTTGCCAAGGATGGCATTCAGATTGGCGCCGTCGTAATAGAGCAGGCCACCGGCATTGTGTACGGTGCTGGCAATTTCTTCGACCTGACGTTCAAATACGCCACAGGTAGACGGATTGGTCATCATCAAACCCGCAGTTTGCGGCCCAACACACGCTTTAAGGGCGTCCAGATCAACATCACCGGATGCATCTACGGCTACTTCAGTAACTTTATAACCACACATAACCGCTGTGGCAGGATTGGTGCCATGCGCCGCGCTGGGCACAATAATTTCGGTGCGCGCATCGTCACCCCTGGATTCGTGATAAGCACGAATCATGGCGACCCCGGCAAATTCGCCCTGAGCACCCGCCATAGGCGTCAATGACACGCCTTTCATGCCGGTGACATCACGCAGAATTTCCTGCAGATCATACAGACAGGCCATGTGGCCCTGACTGGCGGCTTCAGGTGCAAGCGGGTGACGCCCCAGAAAGCCCGGCAGATTGGCCGCTTTGTGCGCGCCACGCGGATTATATTTCATGGTGCAGGACCCCAGAGGATAAAACTGGGTGTCGATGGAAAAGTTTTTGCGTGACAGATTGGTATAGTGGCGCACTGCCTGCAGCTCGGAAACTTCCGGTAATGCAGGCGGTTCCGTACGCAGCAGTTCGCTTGGCAGATCTGCCAGAACGCTGTCATCTGCGGCATCCACTCGCTGTGCGCTTGCGCGACGCCCGCTCTGACTGATATCAAATATAGTACTCATGACGCCACCTGTGTTGCGTTTTCCAATACATCGCTGAGCACCGCCACATAACGGGCGATTTCCCCGGGGGTACGTTTTTCCGTGACCGCCACAAGCAGCGTGTTTTCAGGTTCGGTTATGTTCCCGGTGACAAAATCTGACAACGCCAGGCCCGGCAGAACACCCTGGGCCATCATGGCTGTAATGACGTCTGCGGCCGCTATGGGCAGACGCACAGCAAACTCATGGAAATGTGGCCCGTCGAATACTGCACTTACTCCGGGCAGTTTTATCAGTTGATCAAACAACAGCATGGCACCCTGATGTGAGGCCAGGGCTACCTCACGCAGGCCCTGCCGACCTACCAGACTGAGATAGATGGTGCCTGCTGTTACCAGCAAGCCCTGATTGGTACAGATGTTGGACGTCGCTTTACCACGACGGATATGTTGCTCGCGGGCCTGCAGAGTTAATGCATAACCTACTTTACCGTCCAGGTCTTCGGTTTGGCCGATGATGCGGCCGGGCATTTGCCGGACCAGCGCCTGGCGGCAACAGGTAAAGCCAAAAGAAGGACCGCCGGAAGCCATGGGCACACCAAAAGGTTGGCCATCACCACAGACAATATCTGCGCCTACACCCTCGCTCCCCCAGTCACCCGGTGCTTTCAGCACACTCAAGGTCATGGGATTGACCACCGCAATCACCAGCGCACCCAGTTCATGTGCCCAATCCGTCAGCGCATCCACGCTTTCCAGCCGGCCAAAAAAATTAGGTTGCTGGATGACCACTGCTGCGGGAGACACATCGTCTGGCAGCGAACGGATATCCACAATACCGCTGGGGTCTAACGGCAGCGTCTCAATCTGGATGTCCTGATTCTTCACAATATTCCGCGACGTGTCGGTGTAGTTTGGATGCACTGAATCCGCCACCAGCACCAGACCGCCTTTGTTCTTTTTATTCCCGCGCAAGGCCATCAACATCGCTTCAGCCAGGCCGCTGGCACCGTCGTAGACGGATGCGTTGGAAACGTCCATACCGGTCAGGGCAGCCATCATGGACTGATACTCGTAAATCAGCTGCAACGTGCCCTGACTGGCTTCTGCCTGATACGGGGTGTAGGCCGTCATGAATTCACCGCGGGTGGTGATATCCCATACCGCCGCGGGGATATGGTGGTCATAGCTGCCCGCACCCATGAAACAGGTATAGCCTGCATCAGCTTCCGCGCGTTCAGCAAGCACCTGCAGCATGGCCATTTCACTGCGGCCAGCGGGCACGTCCCGCAAACTGCCATTTGCCAGGTGCGCCGGAATTTCATCAAACAGCGCGCTGATATCTGGCGCGCCTATTTCCGCCAGCATGGCGGCTACGTCAGCCTCGGTATGCGGTACAAACGGCATCTGGGCTCTCCTTAATGGATTAGCGGGATTTGTCTAAGTGATGACAGGCACTGCGGTGAGACGGATCAGTGCTCTTCTTCGTCGCAGACTTCCGTATAGGCTTCTGCGTCGAGCAGTTCTTCCAGTTCAGCCACATCGTCAGGCTCTAATTTGAAGAACCAGCCTTCACCGTATGGGTCCTGATTGACCTTTTCGGGCTCATCATCAAGCACACTGTTGATCGCAACAACCGTACCCGTGATGGGGCCGTAGATGTCGGAAGCGGCTTTCACAGATTCTACTACACCCGCCTCCTCCGCTGCGTTTATTTGTTGTCCTACCTCAGGTAGTTCAACGTAGACCACATCACCCAGCGCGTTCTGCGCATGGTCGGTGATGCCTACGGTGACGCTGCCGTCTTCCTCCAGCCTCGCCCACTCGTGGGTGGCTACATATTTATACTCTGCAGGTACTTCACTCATTTGCGGTGCGTCCTTCTTGTTATATCGGATCAAGTTGTTGGGTTGTTTCGATCTGCGTCGATTAACACGCCGCTGATCTAGCCCACCAGATTTTTACCATGCCGGACAAACGGGGGCTTCACTATCTCAGCGGCTTTGGTTTTGCCCCGTATGTCCACCTCGCAGACTCCGCTTGCCGCCCTGGGCAAACGCGCCAGCGCAATACTGAACCCGAGCGTGGGGGAAAACGTTCCGCTGGTGATTATCCCATTCCCAGCCGATGTGGTCACCACCTGACCATGACGTAAAACACCTTTGTCTTTCATGATAAGACCCGTCAATTTCATTGGACATTGACCGCGCTGCGGTTCTATTGCGCTGCGACCGATAAAATCACGATCATCGGGCGACCAGGCGATGGTCCAGGCAATGTTGGACGCCAGCGGCGAAGTTTGTTCGTCCAGGTCCTGTCCATAAAGATTGAGACCGGCTTCCAGTCTTAACGTATCACGCGCACCCAGTCCGGCTGGTTGTACACCGGCTTCGCGCAGGCGTTGCCACAAGCTGATGCCCTCTGCGGGTGGCAACATGATTTCAACCCCATCTTCACCGGTATAACCAGTCCGTCCCACCATCCACTGCCCAAACAACGTCGCACTGAAAGGCGCAAGGTCGGCTGGAACGCTGCCGGGATAACACTGATTGAGGCGGTTGATGGCATCAGGACCCTGCACCGCAATCATCACCAGGGACTGTTGTGCAAAGGTCATGGCAGGCATTTTGTGCTGCTCAAACCAGCTCAGCACCTTTGCGCGTGTCGATGCGTTAACCACACAGCGATAACCTTCCGGCAGCGCGTAGACAATCAGATCATCTAAAACACCGCCGCTTTCATTCAATAAGGCACCATACAGGGCGCCCCAGGTAGACAACTTCGCAACATCATTGGCAACGACCCGCTGCAGAAAGGCCAAAGCGTCAGCACCGTGCACGTCGATGATGGTCATATGCGACACGTCAAACATGCCCACATCGGTTCGCACCGCACTGTGCTCTTCGATTTGCGACCCATAATTCACCGGCATCATCCAACCGGCAAAATCCACCATCTTGCCGCCAGCGGCAAGGTGTTCGTCATACAGTGGTGTTTTCTGCGGCGCTGAATCGTTAGACATAATGCTTCCGTGTAAAAGTAGTGGTTAGGTTTGACGTGTCACGGTCAAGCCCATGGCTTCACGCATGATCTGCTGTTTAACGCCGTCGAGCAGGTTAATTGAAGCAACACCAACGTTGCGCAGCAGAGAAAGACCCGGATCTGAACTGCCATAGACTTTCTGCAATCCGGCAAACAGGCGAATCATCATCTGTGCTCTCACCTGGCGTTGCCGGGCAAAACGTGACCACAAACCGGGCGCAGACAGGTTGGCCGCCGGGCGGGCCACTTCAAGCAATTGTTGTACATCTTCGAGGCCCAGATTCACCCCCATACCGGCCAGTGGATGCACCACTCGCATGGCATCACCGATTAGCAGCACACGAGGGTCTGGTGCGCAGTTCGGCAGACGCTGCTGAGTCAGCGGGAAGGTGAAACGTTGATCAACCTGCTCAATGTCGCCCAGGCGGTGTTCAATGGCAAAACCAATTTCGCGACAGAATTGCGCATCATCAAGCGCCCTGCGCCGCTGGGCCTCAGCTGCACTCTGCGACCATACAATAGAACACAGGTGTTCATCGACGCCAGGCAGAAATGCCAGCGGGCCATCGGTTAAAAAACGTTGCCAGGCGGTATGCTGATGAGGCTGCGCGGTTCTCACAACCGTGGTTAGCGCCACCTGATGCACAGGGTATTGTTGAACTTCAAGATTCATGGCGCGGCGCACCAGCGATTGCGCCCCATCCGCTGCAATCAGGAAGTCGAAACTGCGCACTTCACCTGTCGCGGTTGCCATATCAACACGGTCGCTGAGCACGTCTACACCAGCAATTTCACTTTCCCACAGGGTCAGGTTGGCACGCTGGCTCATCTGTTGCCAGGCGTGTACCAGAAGGGGGCTGACTTCCACCAGCCAACCCAACTGCTGACACCCCACATCTGCAGCATGAAAAGACAATTCACTGTTGCCCCACTGCTCCCAGACCTGCATATGCCGATACGCTGCCGCAGGCGTCGCGCCCCAGATGCCCACGCTTGCCAGCAATGCCTGAGAGGCTGGCGACAGAGCAACATTACGAATATCCATACCGAGTGTGCCGCGCTGCACCTGTGGCGCTTTGCGGTCAATCAGCGTGACTGCATAACCTCGACGCGCTAATGCCAGCGCAGCGGTCACGCCGACCAAACCACCCCCAACAACCGCTATGGTTGAGGTGGTCGCCATCAGCGAGCGCTTGCACCGCGGGACTGTACACGCGGTGTCTGCACAAAAGGCTCAGCCATCAGAGCCTCTATTTCAGCGGGCTGTTTTGGCACGCCATCAGTGAGCACCTCACAACCCTTCCTGGTAATCAGCACATCGTCTTCAATACGAATACCGATACCACGATATACATTAGGCAGGTGTGCGGTACTTTTATCGCGGGGAATATAGATACCAGGCTCGATGGTTAACACCATGCCGGGTTCAAATTCACGCCAACTGGTGTCAATGCGGTAGTCGCCGACATCATGTACATCGATGCCCAGCCAGTGGGAGGTTTTGTGCGGGCAGAGTGCCTTGTAGTCTTCAGCAGCAATAATGTCATCAGGCTCACCTTCGAGCAGACCCAGAGCCAGCAATCCCTCGACTATTATCCTAACAGCTGCTTCATGTGGCGCATTAAAATGATTTCCCGGTTGGCACTGGCTGATCGCCGCTTCGTTTGCCTGCAGCACAATGTCGTAAAGTTTGCGCTGTGCGGTACTGAACTTCCCACAGACCGGAAAGGTACGTGTCACGTCTGCAGCATAATGCTGGTATTCGCAGCCTGCATCGATCAATACAAGATCGCTCTTTTTCAACGCCGCGGTGTTATCGACGTAGTGCATCACACAGGCATTTTCCCCGCCGCCGACAATACACGGATAGGCAGGCGAACGGGCGCCGTGGGACATAAACTCATATGTCAGCTCGGCTTCCAGCTGGCTTTCCAGCATACCCGGCTCACACACCTGCATGGCTCGGCGATGGGCGATGCTGGTGATTTCTGCGGCTTTACGCATCAACTGCTGCTCTTTGGCTGATTTAAACAATCTTAATTCGTGCAGCAGGTGTTTCAGTTCGAGAAACTCTCCCGGGGGTTGAGCGCCACCGGCTTCGCGTTTGCGGATATCAGCTACCCATGCAAGCAGGCGACTGTCAAAATCCGGGTACTCTCCCAACGTCATATAGATGCGTGCTCGCGACTCCAGCAGGCCGGGCAGAATGTCATCCATGTCTGTTATCGGGAACGCGTCGTCCACGCCCAGGTTCTGTGTTGCCCGCTCCGGACCCAGACGTTCGCCGTCCCAGCGTTCAACCTGATCGTCCCGTTCCGCACAAAACAGAATTTCCTGGCCGTGTTCACGACCTGGCACCAGCAGCAACAGGGCGTCAGGTTCAGAAAAACCGGTAAGGTAAAAAAAATCGCTGTCCTGGCGAAACAGATATTGGATATCGCGGTTGCGACGAGCAGGACTGGCACCAGGAATCAGCGCCACAGATCCTGGCGACATCATCGACATCAATTGATTGCGGCGTTTCTTGTAATCTGCGGTACTTATGTTCAAGAACTGTCCTGATTGTCGTCTGTATTGGCCGCTGTACTCTCCGCCTGTTCTGAAATCAGCGTCAATGCAAGCACGGCAGCCACGCGCACGTACTCGTATATTTCCATGTAGGCACTCTCTTCGTGCTCACCACCCTCTACGGATTCATCAAGACTGCTGATACTGGCAAAATCTCGCAGAATTTCCTGCACGTCCAACGGCAAGGCATCCATGGCAGCGCCACCTTCGCTGCCGCCGAATGCAGCACCAAACCCACTCAGGAAACCGGCACACCAGGCGCTCAGACCTGCAAGACGTTGCTCAAGCGGATGTTCATCGTCAGGGATAAGAGGCACAAAACTCATGTCCTGGGCAAACAATCCATCAAGGGCAGCACTGATAAAATCGCTCACCGCGGTTTCATCAGATAAGACGTCTGTACCCATCAACTGGACAAACTCTGACAACAGAAATTGAGCCGGCTCGCCCGCGGCAAAACCGCAGACCACGCCATGTAACTCAGGTGGATCAATAATAGAGGACGCATTCTGCGCAAGGGCTTGAAGATCAGACACGATATATAGGGCTACACAAAGGGAGGTAATCAGAGCAAACTATCGCCCAACCGCGGAATAAATGCCACAGACAAGCATTTAGTTAAGAAGAAAAAGCGTAACTGAGAATAAGAAAGAGCAAGACCATGGCTTCAAACGCTGAAATAGAACAACTCAGCCAACTTGAACAGCAGATCGACGAACTGCTGGTACTGACCACCGTGTTAAGCAAAGAAAACAGAGCTCTGCGAACACAACAGAAAAACTGGTCTACCGAGCGCGCCAAACTGATCGAAAAAAACGAACTGGCAAAAAGCCGGGTTGAGTCCATGATCACGCGTCTCAAAGCGCTGGAAAAAGATTAACAGGCAGACAGGTACACAAGTCACTATGAGTCAACCCGCAAGCACAGTACGCGTCACCATCATGGGTAAAGAATACCAGGTCAGCTGTCCGCCAGATGAAGTCGATGCGTTGACGCGCGCCGCCCAGTTTCTGGATGGCCAGATGGAAACCATACGCGCCTCCGGCAAAGTGGTGGGTTTGGATCGAGTGGCGGTCATGGCTGCACTGAATATCACCAATGATTACCTGTCCGGTCAGAGTGTTTTAAACGAAACCAAAGACGCCGTCGGCCAACGCCTTGAAAGCCTCAACAGCAAAGTCGAAACCGCGCTGGCAAACCACAAGCAACTAGACCTGTAAAGACTTTTCCCTGCTTTCCGCGGGACATCTCCCATACTGCCCAATTTGTCTAAATACAAGTCTTGGACTCGTCGTATGAAGGGCTATACTGATCCTGTTCCTGGGATGTTTGCCAGTTGGTCGCGTCCTTGAGCCGTTAGAGATAACTCAGGAGTTTCTGCTGCCAGCGTCCGTGTGCTTGCCCAACTTGATGGGATGCCTTAGATGTTGCACAGGCCTCCGCCTTGAACCATAACGGTTCAGGGCAAACCAGTAGCGGCATCTCCGGGAACACTTTTACCGCTTGGCGACCTGATGTACCCGATGCATAGGAGGTCTTCATGAGTGACCGGCGAAAAAACCTCCGCAGCCAATTCTCAGATCAGCGCCGCAGCCTGGATGATCAGACACGCCATATCGCGAATCAGCGTGTTGCCGCACATCTGGCAGAATGGCCCCCTCTGCAATCTGCTCAGGTCGTTGCAGCCTACGCGGCCAGCAACGCTGAAGTTGATATAACAACCACTATTGATCACCTGTGGCAGAAATCTGTACAGGTTGCGTTACCCGTCGTCAGTGCCAATGGACAGATGACCTTTTTTGCCTACACCCCGGACAGCGACATACAGACCAATCGATTTGGCATTATCGAGCCGCGCAACAGTGTTGAGATTCTACCCTCGCAGATAGATGTGGTGCTGACTCCGCTGGTCGCCTTTGACGACTGGGGCCATCGCCTGGGCATGGGCGGCGGCTACTATGACCGCTACCTGCCTGAAACCCAGGCTTACGTGCTAGGTGTGGCCTTCGCCTGCCAGTACAGTACAGCTGAACTCCCTCATGAATCATGGGATGTGGGCTGCAACGCTGTGGTCACGGAAAATGGCGTGCTAGAGTTTGCATCCTAGTTGTCAGGTCGGTAGATATGCCCGTTCGAAAAATCATCAATATGGGTCACCCCAACTTACGCAAAGTTGCAGAACCGGTAGCCCTCGACGCGATTGGCAGTGACGCGCTGAATCTCCTGATCGCAGATATGGTGGATACGCTGCACGACTATGGGGGTATTGGCCTGGCAGCACCGCAAATTAATGTCCCGTTACGCCTGGCTATCGTTGAAATTCCAGGGGGACCAAGTCGCTATGGCAAGATTGACCCTTTACCCCTCACTACTTTCATCAACCCCACCATTACGGTGCTCGATCCCACTCCGGCAGGTTACTGGGAGGGCTGTCTATCAGTACCTGGCCTGCGTGGTTTTGTGGAGCGGCCACAACACATTCGTATTGATTACACTGATACCAGCGGCAACCCTGCGGAACTCATATTCGAAGGTTTCTGGGCAACGGTATTTCAGCATGAGTTTGATCACCTGGATGGCAAACTTTATATCGACCATATTGTCGATCGCACCAAACTGGTGTTCGAAGATGAATACCTGCGTTACTGGCAGGACAGTTAATACCCGCCCCCAAACGCCGAAAAAGGGCTACTTCAAAAACAGTTGATAAGCCGGGTTATCACTTTCCTCCCAGAACCGATAGCCGATGCGCTGCAGAAACTTGAGCAGCTTCGGACGCTCCCCGGCGCTGGCGGCAAAGCCAACCAGTACACGTCCATAAGCCGCACCATGATTTCGATAATGGAACAGGGTGATATTCCACTGCGCGCCTACGCCGCTGAGAAACTGCAACAACGCACCTGGACGCTCGGGAAACTCAAATCGAAACAACAGTTCTTCCTCCGCGCCGATACTGCGCCCACCTACCATATGGCGTACGTGCAGTTTGGCCGCCTCATTGTTGGTCATATCCACTACCGCATATCCGCGACGCAACAGTTCAGCCACGGCGTCGTCACGGTCGACCGGCGTCGCAACCTGCATGCCGACATAAATATGCGCCTTTGAATCACGTGCCCAGCGGTAGTTGAACTCTGTTATGGAACGTTTACCCAGTGCCCGACAGAACTTCAGGAAGCTGCCTTTTTCTTCATCGATGGTCACTGCAAGAATCGCTTCGCGCTGCTCACCAATTTCAGCGCGCTCGGAGATATGTCGCAGTCGATCAAAGTTAACGTTAGCGCCGCTGACAATGGCGACTACGGATTGATCCACCGCTGGATTTTCCGTCAGATAACGCTTCATGCCGGCAACCGCCAGTGCCCCCGCCGGCTCCGCAACAACACGGGTTTCCTCAAAGACATCTTTGATTGCTGCACAAACCTCGTCGATGCTGCAAACCACGACATGGTCTACACATTTCCTGGCCACCTTGAAGTTTTCTTTGCCTACCTGCGCCACAGATACGCCGTCTGCAAACAGATCAAGGGTTTCCAGAGGTAACTTCACCCGGCGCCCGGCCTGCATGGCTGCGTGCAGACACGCTGAGCCCTGCACCTCGACGCCAACAATTTTGGTATTCGGATAGAGGTACTTGATGTAGGCCGCAATCCCGGCAATCAGTCCACCACCACCAACAGGTACAAAAACGATATCCGGCCGACGAGGATGCTGATTAACAATCTCCATACCCACGGTGCCCTGGCCGGCAATAACATCCACATCATCAAACGGATGCACAAAGGTAAGGTTATCTTCACTCTGCAATTGCGCGGCATGTGCCGACGCCTGCGGAAAGCCATCTCCATGCAGGACAACTTTTGCACCCCGGGCTTTGACTGCGTCCACTTTAATACTGGGTGTATTGCGGCCCATCACAATAGTGGCTTTGATACCCAGATGGCGCGCCGCCGCGGCAACGCCTTGCGCATGATTGCCTGCTGACGCCGCTATCACGCCGTTTTTCTGCTCAGCAGCGCTCATTTGTGCCATCTTGTTATAGGCGCCACGATTCTTAAAACTGAAAACCGGCTGCAGGTCTTCGCGCTTCAACCAGACTTCCGCGCCCAGACGACGGGACAGTCCAGGGGCTGGCGTCAGCGGCGTCTCCATTGCAAGGTCATAAACCCGGGAACTGAGAATCTTCTTTACATAACTTTCGAGCATGGGCACCATCTTTTCACAATTTCTTTTTCTCGAGACTTGCCATCAGTTCTCCAGCCTCACTCGATCAGAACGCACTCAAACAACAGGCGGCAAAGGCTGCGCTGGCTTTGATAAAACCCAGACTCGAACTACAAAGCGTAGTCGGTGTCGGCACAGGTTCAACCACCAATTTTTTTATCGACGAACTGGCATCGGTCAAGCACCTGTTTGATGCCGCTGTTTCTTCCAGTGAGGCATCCACCGAGCGTCTGCAGGCTCACGGTATACAGGTACTGGATTTGAACGCCACCGCCCGCGTCGACGTTTACGTAGACGGCGCTGACGAAGTTGACCCACGCCGCAATCTCATCAAAGGCGGCGGCGCCGCGTTAACGCGGGAAAAAATCGTCGCCAGTGCGGCGGATGAGTTTATTTGCATTGTCGACGAAAGCAAGCTGGTTAAGGTGTTAGGTCATTTTCCTCTACCTGTAGAGGTGATTCCAATGGCCCGCAGCCTGGTTGCGCGCGGGCTGGAAATCCTCGGCGGTCAGCCAGTCTGGCGGGAAGGCGTGGTCACCGACAACGGCAACTGGATTATCGATGTTCATGGGTTGCACATCAGTGAACCCCTGGCATTGGAAAATGCCATCAATAATCTACCCGGGGTTGTGTGCAACGGCTTGTTTGCACACCAGGCCGCCGATCGGGTGCTGATTGCAGCCGCTGGCGGTGTGCAGGAGCTTTAGCTGCCGCTGCAGGTCCGAGGCTACAGCAGCTTGCCCGGATTGAGGATCTGGTCGGGGTCAAACAGCGATTTCAAACCCCGCATTAGGGTGATCTCACCCGGGCTGCGGGAATAGTTCAGAAAATCCCGCTTCAACAAACCAACGCCATGTTCCGCGGAAATACTGCCGTTGCGCTGTTGTACCAGTTCGAAGATCTTAGGACTCATGGCGTGACCTTTGGCCATGAACTCTGCAACACTCAGGTGTTCCGGGCGCAGAATATTCAGGTGCAGATTGCCGTCGCCAATATGGCCGTACCAGCAGACTTCGAAGTCCGGATAGCTGTCCGCTACAAACTTATCCACATCCTGCAGGAACTCGGGCACCTGGGACACACAAACTGACAGGTCGTTTTTATAGGGCGTATAAGGGGCAATGGATTCTGAGATGCCTTCTCTGAGCTGCCACAGCGCCTGGGCCTGCGCTTCCGACTGACTGAGCACACCGTCGATCACCCAGCCCTGGGCCATGGTGTGTTCAAAGGCTGCGGACGCTGCGTCTATGTCTACTGCATCAAACTCCAGCAGCGCATAGAACGGCATCGACTGTGCCAGCGGCGCAGGCAGATCGCGATGCGCGCGCACTTTAGTCAACGCAAGGTCAGAAAAGAATTCAAATGCCGACAACGTCAGATGGTCGTTAAAGGTATGCAGCACCTGCAACAGATCGCCGACTCGTGGCACACCCAGCACCATGACACTGTGAGGCAACGGCGCTCGCGCGAGTCGCACATCTACTTCGGTGATCAGTCCCAGAGTACCTTCCGAGCCGATAAGCAGATGACGCAGATCGTACCCGGTTGCATTTTTCACCAGCCCTGCGTTGCAGTTGAGCAATTCACCGGTACCGGTAACAACGCGCAGACCAGCCACCCAGTCTCTGGTTAAGCCATAACGTATCACTTTGATACCACCCGCATTGGTAGCGACATTGCCGCCAATCTGACTGGAACCTGCTGAGGCAAAGTCCACCGGGTAAAACAGGTCATGCGATTTTGCAAAGTCCTGCAGGCTCGCGGTGACCACACCCGCCTGGCAGGTGACACGCTGCTCCTGCTGGTCAAATTCCAGAATCTGGTTCATGCGATCAAACGACACAACTATTTCGCCATTAGCTGCAACCGCGCCGCCTGACAAACCTGTTCTGCCGCCAGAAGGCACCAGTGCGGTTTGGCTTGCTCGCGCGTAGTTCACCAGCTCAACCACCTGTTCGTTGGTTTCCGGAAAAACCACTGCGCTGGGGGCTACGGTAAAACCGTTGGTCCAGTCTTTACCCCAGATCGATAAAGACTCCGGGTCGGTTTTGATTTGTTTCGCAGACAGAAATTGATTTAGCACAGTCGATCCAGATGAGCGATTAGGCCTATCCTACCAATCACACTGTGCATCGAGATAGCGCCACATTTGCCCGCGCAGGTACGGTGACTCATTTGCAAGGTGATGACGCCCACCGGTGATGATCCACTGATGGCTCTGCGGATACCGTCTGCTGAACACTTTCAGGTTGTGGTCCGCATCAACAGTACGATCCTGATCACCCTGCACAATCACCGGCGCCAGGTCAGATTCCGGATAGTGTTCAAAGCGTTTGAACCATTTAACCATCGCCTCAACCCAGGCTACCGGCAGAATACGGGCCTGCAGCGGGTCAATCGCCTGCAGGTCATGAAATTCCGGATTTTCAGCGTTATCGCTCAGCACCCGCGGACGCGATGTGATGGTCAACTTTGCCAGCGCAAACACCCAGCGGTTAAATCCCCAGGCATATGGCCTGACCAGCGGCGCCAGCAGAATGATATTGCCGAGACGTATCTGCGGCTTATGGTGAAGATATTCCATGACAATGGCGCCACCCATGCTTTGGGCAATCCAATGCAGCGGTTCGTGCGGCGTGGGAGACAGTTTAGCCAGCGCGAAGTCGGTTACTGCGCGCTGGGCAGCGACATAGGTATCAAAACTATCGATGACCACCTGCTCTCCGGACGACAGTCCATGGCCAATCTGGTCAAAAGTGATCACGGTGAGCTCTTTGAGCATCAGATACTCGATGACCGAGGCAAACAGTCCAACATGGTCGTAATAACCATGGCACAACATGACATGCCCCGTAGTCACTGTAGGTTCAAAGACCTGGACCACCAGGCGATGCCGCAGCGCCTCGAACACCATCATCTGATGCTGATGATTTATGTGCGGGAAGAGCAAACCATAAAACTGCCGGTATTCAAGCGTAACCGCAGAACCTGCCACGCCCTTGTCTGAAAGCGCAGCGAGATGCGCCTGCAGAGCGTCAGCATCAAATTCCGCTGACCCTCTGACGACGGCTGTATGAATTGGGGTATCCGTATTAGAGGACAACCTGTTTCAGCTCGCCCGATGCGTAACGGGCGAACATGTCTTCTAACGACACAACTTTAATTTTGCTCGCCTGGCCCGCGGTATTGAACGCCTCATAACGCTCGATCACCAGCTGCTTCATGGCGTCCTGGGAGTCTTTCAGGTATTTACGTGGGTCAAATTCCGCTTTGTTTACAGCCAGGTGTTTGCGAATGGCAGCAGTGCTGGCAAGGCGCAGATCGGTATCGATGTTCACCTTACGCACACCGTGTTTGATGCCTTCCTGGATTTCAGACAACGGCACACCATAGGTTTCCGGGATTTCACCCCCGTACTCATTGATGATCGCCAGCAGATCCTGCGGTACTGAGCTGCTGCCATGCATCACCAGATGGGTGCCAGGAATGCGATCGTGAATGGCTTTGATACGTTCAATCGCCAGAATATCGCCGGTAGGCGGACGACTGAACTTGTAGGCGCCGTGGGAAGTACCAATGGCAATCGCTAAGGCATCCACATCCGTCTGTTTGACAAAATCCGCCGCTTGCTCTGGATCTGTGAGCAGCTGGTCCATGGATAAAGACCCTTCAAAACCAACACCGTCTTCTTCACCCGCTTCGCCGGTTTCCAATGAGCCGAGGCAGCCTAATTCGCCTTCAACCGAGACACCACAGGCGTGGGCCATGTCTACGGTCTGTCTGGTGACGTCGACATTGTAGTCATACTCGGCAGGGGTTTTCTGATCCGCCAGCAGAGACCCATCCATCATGACCGAGGAGAAACCCAGCTGAATAGAGCGCTGACACACGGCTGGCGATGCACCGTGATCCTGATGCATAACCACTGGAATATGAGGAAACTCTTCTATCGCGGCGAGAATCAGGTGGCGCAGAAAATTAGGCCCCGCGTACTTTCTTGCACCCGCTGACGCCTGCACAATCACCGGGCTGTTGGTGACATCAGCGCCTTCCATGATGGCGCGCATCTGCTCAAGATTATTGACGTTAAAGGCGGGAACCCCGTAATCGTTTTCGGCTGCATGGTCCAGCAGTTGCCGCATGCTGATTAAAGCCATCGTGATCTCCAAAATGTGGATAAATATTGCGACCGCATTCTAGTGATATCGGCGGCGCACGTCATCGGCTGTGTCCGCCTGAGTTTGTAAACACGCGCGCGGTAGCTATGCCTTTCGAGCCCGCATCTGCAGCATAGCCACTGCAGGCAGCGTTTTGCCTTCCACAAACTCCAGAAACGCCCCACCCCCAGTGGATATATAGGAAATGCCTTCGGTCACGTCATATTTATCAATCGCAGCCAGGGTGTCACCACCGCCAGCAATTGAAAACCCATCGCTGGCGGCTATGGCTTCCGCCAGAACACGCGTGCCTTCGCCGAACTGATCAAATTCAAACACACCGATCGGCCCATTCCACAGAATCGTTTTTGCCTTAACCAGCAGTTCTGCCCAGGCTCTAGCCGATACAGGCCCGATATCAAGGATCATGTCGTCATCGGCAACATCATCAATGGCTTTCAGAACCGCAGGTTCATCAGCATCAAACGCTTTGCCTACCATCACGTCCACCGGAATCGGCACATCAACTTTTGCGGCAATCTGTCGGGCTGCGTCCAGCAGATCAGCTTCGTAAAGAGACTTACCCACGTTGTAGCCCGCCGCAGCAATAAACGTATTCGCGATGCCACCACCAACGATGATCTGATCAGCTTTATCCGCGAGGGCGCCGAGCACCTCTAGTTTGGTAGAAACTTTAGCACCGCCGACAATGGCCACCATGGGATGAGCGGGGGCCGCCAGAGCTTTACCCAGCGCATCAAGTTCTGCTTCGAGCAGAATGCCCGCGCACACAGAGGGCGCAAATTTGGCAATACCGTGAGTCGAGGCCTGGGCCCGATGCGCCGTACCAAAAGCATCCATGACAAACACATCACACTGGGCTGCCAGGGCTTGCGCCAGTTCATCATCGTCAGCCTTTTCACCCGGCAGAAACCGCACATTTTCCAGCATCGCCACTTCACCCGGCTGTACCCGCGCGCAGTCTTCTATTTGTGGCAACAGGTTCACCGGACGTTGCAGAATCTGCCCCAGGCGGACGGCGACTGGCGCTAATGAGGCCTGCGCATCAAATACGCCTTCGGTGGGTCTGCCCAGGTGAGACATGACGACCACAGCGGCATTGTGCTCAAGGGCATACTCAATGGTAGCCACAGACGCTTGAATCCGCGCATCACTGGTGACTTCACCATTTTTAACCGGCACGTTGAGGTCGGCTCGTATCAACACGCGTTTACCAGCTAAATCCGTATCCCGCAGTACATTGACCCCTAAGTCAGCCATCAGGTTCTCCTGTGCTTTATGCTGAATGTTTTGCCAGCACTCGCTCTGCGCTGGCCACTACGTTTGCTGAAGTCATGCCTAATTCAGCCATCGCCTGTCCGCCCGGGGCGGACAAACCATATCGGCGGATGCCCACAACCTCTCCATCAAGGCCAACAAAGCGGGACCAATAGTCTGGATGAGCCGCTTCAACGGCAACACGCGCTCGCACGACATCCGGCAAAACAGAGGCCTGATAGGCTGCATCCTGAGCAACAAACCGTTCTGCGCACGGCATAGACACTACCCTCACCTGATGCCCGACAGCCGTGAGACTTGCTGCCGCCTCTACCGCCAGCTCAACTTCTGAGCCAGTGGCAATCAGAATAACGTCGGGGGTCTTGTCACAGTCAAGCAGAACATAGCCGCCTTTATTGATATTGTTGAATGCCCCTTCACTGCGCGGCTGCGCCACAGTGTTCTGCCGGGTAAATATCAATGCACTGGGGTTTGTTGTGCTGGCAATTGCCTGCTGCCAGGCTATAGCCGATTCGACAGTATCGCAGGGTCGCCAGGTTTCCAACCCTGGCGTCGTGCGCAAACTTGTTAGCTGTTCCACCGGTTGATGGGTAGGGCCATCTTCGCCAACCGCCACAGAATCGTGGGTATAAACAAAAATGTTAGGTATCTGCATCAGCGCCGCAAGACGTACCGCGTTGCGCGCGTATTCCATGAACACGAGAAACGTTCCGGTAAATACTCGGTAGCCACCGTGCAGCAGTACACCGTTGCTGATGGCCGTCATGCCAAACTCACGCACCCCGTAACTCATATGTTGGTCTGCTGTTGCGCCGGCCCATTTTGTCAGGTTAGAACCGGTCAGGTCTGCAGACCCGCCAAACAGTTCAGGTACGCCTGCGGCGACAGCTCCAATAGCTTTCTGAGACGACTTACGTGTTGCCAGGTCAACGCAATCTGCCTGTTCCTGCCGTGCAAGTTCCAGCAGCGCTGTGTCCCAATCCGCCCGCAAGGTTGCAGAGGTACGCCGCAAAAACTCGCTGGCCTGCTCCGGGAACGCCTGCCGGTAATCTGCAAACTGTTTGTTCCATGCGTTCTGCAGCGCGGCGCCACGCGCAGTCTGGTCCCAGTCAGCTCGCAAGTCTGCCGGAATATCAAACGGCTCATTGCCCCAGTTCAGGGTTTTGCGCACCAGTGCGATTTCTTCTTCACCAAGCGCTGCACCGTGCGCACCCGCCGTGCCCGCTTTGTTAGGCGAGCCCTGGCCAATTGTAGTGCGGGTGCAGACCAGGGTGGGTCGGCCATCTGATTCCGCTGCTGTGGTCAGGGCTACTTCGATTTCCTGCCCGTCATGTCCATCGACATTGCGGATAACACGCCAACCATACGCTTCGAAACGTGCCGGCACGTCTTCAGCAAACCAGGCATCTACTTCACCATCGATGGAAATGCCGTTGTCGTCATAGATACAGATGAGTTTGCCAAGACCAAGGGTGCCTGCCAGAGACGCCGCCTCGTGGGAGATTCCCTCCATCAGACAGCCATCACCAACAACGACCCAGGTGCGGTGATCGACGATGTTATGCCCATTGTGATTGAATTCTTTTGCCAGCTTCTGTTCAGCCAGCGCCATGCCCACAGCATTAGCAAAACCCTGCCCCAGAGGGCCGGTTGTCGTTTCTACGCCGGGGCATTCGCGAAACTCCGGGTGCCCGGCTGTGATGGCATGGAGTTGCCGAAAATTCTTCAGATCATCGATGCTGACGTCATAGCCGGTTAGATGCAGCAGACTGTAAAGCAGCATGGATGCATGGCCATTGGATAACACAAACCGGTCGCGGTTTACCCAGGCCGGGTCGGCCGGGTTGTGTGCCATCAGATCGCGCCACAGCACTTCACCCACATCTGCCAGGCCCATAGGCGCACCGGGATGACCGCTGTTGGCGGCTTGTACTGCATCCATGGACAATACCCGAATAGCATTGGCACGTTCAATTCTAGTCGACATGAGAACCCTTGATTTGAGGAGCGGCGCTATTGTCCGTACTTGTGGTGGTGGCTGCAAATATATGACGCCTTTTCTTCAACGACATGTAAGCCTTTCGCCTCAAATCTTACATCCGAAAAATGCCAAGAGCCTGCTAATTGCATTAGAATGCGCGCTCGTTTTAATGCTGCCGGATTAACGGCCGCTGTCGGCGCTTGCGCCGCACTCAAGAACAGAAGGATCAATTGTATGGCTGATTACTCACTTTTCACCTCCGAATCGGTATCCGAAGGTCACCCCGACAAAGTTGCCGACCAGGTGTCTGATGCCATCGTGGACGCTATGCTGGCGCAGGATCCCGACTCCCGTATAGCCGCTGAAACCATGATAAAAACAGGTGTGGTGATGATTGCCGGCGAAGTGCGCAGCAACGCAAATGTGGATATCGATAAGCTGGTGCGCAAAGTGGTGGCTGATATCGGCTATAACAACATCGACATCGGCTTCGATGCCGCACAATGCACCGTCATCAATGCACTGGGCATGCAGTCTGCCGATATCGCAATGGGGGTGGATGAGTCAGAAGATCACGAACAGGGCGCTGGCGATCAGGGTTTGATGTTCGGCTACGCTACCAATGAGACCGAAGTGCTGATGCCAGCCCCCATCACCTATGCGCACCGCCTGGTTGAACAACAGGCAAAAATGCGGCGCTCGAGCCTGCAATTCCTGCGCCCTGACGCCAAAAGCCAACTCTCATTTCGCTACGACGAAGACGGTCAGCCGGTTGGCATTGACGCCATTGTCCTGTCTACCCAGCATGCGCCGGACATTTCCCAGGCAGATCTGCGCGAAGCTGTAATGGAAGAAGTGATCAAACCGGTCATTCCAGCCAACTGGATCAGTCGCGATACTAAAATTTATATCAACCCAACCGGTCAGTTCATTATCGGTGGACCGGTAGGAGACTGCGGGTTAACCGGTCGCAAGATCATCGTCGACACCTATGGCGGCATGGCGCGCCATGGTGGCGGTGCATTCTCCGGCAAAGACCCCTCAAAAGTTGACCGCAGCGCAGCCTATGCGGGCCGCTACGTGGCCAAAAATATTGTCGCCGCGGGTCTGGCAGAGCGCTGCGAAATTCAGATCAGTTATGCCATCGGCGTCGCTGAGCCCACGTCCATCAGCATCAATACCTTTGGCACGGGCAAAATCAGCGAGACAAAAATTGTTCAACTTGTACGTGAACACTTTGATTTGCGGCCACGCGGATTGATAGCCATGCTCGACCTGAAACGTCCCATCTATCAGGATACCGCCGCATATGGCCACTTTGGGCGTACCGAAGCCCAGTTCACCTGGGAACATACCGACAAAAGCGAGGCCCTGGCCGCCGCCCTGTGATCCACGACTTCAAGTGATGACAACCGCGGCTGCCAGCGCCCGATATATGAGAGTTTCAGCATGAGCCGCCTGCCGCCCGTCAGTTTTGAGTTTTTCCCGCCACGTGATACCCAGGGGCGGACAAAACTGATCAATAATGTGGCCAGCAAACTGGGCGCGCTCGATCCGCACTTTTTCAGCGTGACCTATGGCGCGGGAGGCTCTACCCGAGACGGCACGCGCCAGACAGTAGCAGACCTCAAAGCTGCCGGATTTGACGCTGCGCCACATCTTTCCATGGGCAACGATGACGTCGATGAGGTGAAACAGACTCTGGATGACTACGCGGCCCAAGGTATAAACAGAATTGTCGCCTTACGCGGTGACCAACCCTCGGGCATGGGTACCAACCCGTTTGCCAACAATGCGCAAGCCCTGGTTCAGCTGATCCGCGAACACAGTGGCCAACAGTTTCATCTTGAAGTGGCCGCCTATCCTGAGACCCACCCCGATGCCAAAAGCGCGGCAGCTGACCTGGAATATTTCAAACGCAAGGTCGACGCGGGCGCTGACAGCGCCATCACCCAGTATTTTTACAACGTTGACGCGTTCGAAAATTTTCTCAACCGCTGTGCCCAGGCAAATATAAGCTTGCCCATTATCCCCGGCGTCATGCCGATTACCAATCTGGCTTCACTGGTGCGCTTTTCTGACAAATGTGGGGCGGATATTCCACGCTGGCTGCGTTACGTGCTGATTGATCTCGAAGACGACGAACAGGGCACCATTGATTTCGGTATTGAAGTCATGACCCGGGTTTGTGAACAGCTGATCAACCTCGGCGTGCCGGGTCTGCATTTTTATACGCTGAACCGCTGGGGAGCCACCACGCGGATCTGCAACAACCTCAGCTGACTGAACATTCCCTGTGAAGCACGTGAGTTAATTTGTTATGCCCATGCGTTTTTTAGTTCAGGCGCCTGTAACCACAGCTGAGCCCATCGAACTGACCGCAGACCGAGCACATTATCTGACCAGGGTCATGCGGCATAAAGCCGGTGATGTGGTCGAGTGCTTCGATGGTAATGGCACTGTTTTTGACGCGCAGTTAAGCGATGTTGGAAACAAACGCTGCACATTACTGGTTACCGATAAACGTCCTGTCGCACAACGCCCTGCTGTAAAACTCCACCTGGGTATCAGCCTGCTCAAAGGCCAGGCCATGGACCGCGCGATTCAACAGGCAACCGAATCAGGTGCGAGCAGTATCTGCTTACTGGATGCGCATCGAAGCAACGTGCATCTCGCACCAGATCGGTTAGACAATAAGATGGGTCACTGGCAGAAAATTATTGCCGGCGCGTGTGAACAAAGTGGTCAGCTGTACCTGCCGACACTGGCGCCGCTACAGTCACTTGAGAAGCTCATCACCACCACGGATACTGAAGTCATCGTCCTCGACATGCAGGGTGAAAAACTACCGGCCACACTAGCCAGAGCAGAACGAACGCTGATAATGGGGCCGGAAGGGGGTTGGGATGAAGACGAGCGCAGGCTTTTTGCGGCACACCAACTCAAGCACTATCAACTCACCAGCAGTACCCTGCGCGCCGAAACGGTACCGTCGGTAGCATTGGCTCTATTCAGCCACCTGCAACGGCTTTAGACATCAGGTCTGCCAGCTGCTCTTCAATGAAAGCAAGATTTGGAATGGTTGCCTGTTCGGTGCCAACATGCACCTGCATGACATCTGCGACGTTCAGTTCAGCCTCGGCGTTCTGCAGATCATCCGCAACCAGCTGCACCATACGCGGTAAACCAACTGCAGCGAGCGCATAAAAAGCGGGGCCCCTGGAAGTACGAGCGCGATTCATCACCACCAGACAGCGCGCAGCAGCGGGTGCTTTGTTAGATGGGTCGGCAAAACTTGCAAAATGCACCACCGGCACAGTCTGGCCACGCCAGCCGACCAGTCCCATACACCAGGCAGGCGCGTCACTTAACGTTTTAATACGCCGCCAGGGCATAATTTCCGCCACACACACATTAGGCAGCAGAAGCTGCACGTGGTGCGTTGGGATCATCACACAAGACAATTCGTTTGGGTCGTTTGCCACTACTTCCGCCGTATTCAACGTTCAATCCTCTGTACTTCATACTGCCCGTTAATTCGCAAGAACTAACCACTACACCACAATGCGCATCTCAACTTCTAATTCGGGGATACCAGCTCATCTATGGTTGCGAGCAGTTCATTTTCTTGAAACGGTTTGCCGAGAAATTTATTCACGCCCAACTGGCTGGCGTGCTCTTTATGCTTGTCACCGGTCCGGGAGCTGATCATCACAATCGGTAGATCACCCAGACGGTCATCGTGGCGCACCTGTCGTGCGACTTCAAAACCGTCCATTCGCGGCATTTCAATATCTAACAGCATGACGTCGGGGCGTCGCTCCTGCAGCAGCGCCACTGCTTCTACACCATCTTTGGCCACCAGCACATCCATACCCTGGCGTTCCAGCAGACGCGAGGTCACTTTACGCACCGTCACGCTGTCGTCGACAACCATGACACAGCGCGGGCCTGTTCGAACCCGGGCAGCACCGCCGCGTGGAGTTCGTTCGAACTGTTGGGCCCGAATCAGGGCCAATAGATCCAGAATCACAACCACGCTGCCATCACCAAGGATGGTTGCGCCGGATATGCCGCCTACGCCAGCAAACTGCGGGCCCAGACTCTTCACCACAATTTCGCGGCTGCCCTGAACCAGGTCGACGTGAATCGCCACAGCATGATCACCCGAGCGCACCAGCACCACCGGTACACTCGTTTGTGTGCCACCGGTGCCGTGGTATTCGCGACCCAGGTACTGGCCGAGATAACGCACCCGGTAGGGTACGCCAGCATATTCAAAGGTTTTACTGTCGCTACTGTACAACGCCTGTAACTGGTCAGGACTGAGCAACACAATACCTTCGATGGTATTCAATGGTATTGCATATAAATCTTCTGCTACCGAAACCATCAGGGCTCGGTTTACCGACACCGTAAACGGTACCCGCAGAACAAATCGTGTGCCTTTTCCGGGACGTGAAACAATATTTACACTGCCACCCAGCTGCTTCACTTCACTGGCCACCACATCCAGGCCCACACCGCGACCGGAAATCTGCGTGACTGACTTGGCTGTGGAGAAACCGGCAGCCAGAACAAACTGCAGCACCTCTTCGTCATTTAGCTGCGCATCCGCGGCCATCAGGCCGCGCTCGATCGCTTTTTCGCGCACCGTCTCAACATCTATACCGGCACCGTCGTCACTGATCTCGATGACAACGTCGCCGCCTTCACGGGTCAAACGCAGATCAATGCGCCCGATGGCAGACTTGCCATAGGTGCGGCGCAGGTCAACATCTTCAATACCGTGGTCTACCGCATTTCTGAGCATATGCTCAAGCGGCGGCACCATGCGCTCTAAAAGATTGCGATCCAGCTCACCTTCAGCGTTCTGCACATGAAATTCGATTTCTTTATCCAGTTCGCCGGAGACCTGCCTGACGATACGACGCAGACGCGGCAACAGACGGCTGAACGGCACCATGCGGGTACGCATGAGACCTTCCTGCAACTCTGTATTAATTCGCGCCTGCTGCAGCAACAAGGTTTCTGATTCACGTGCTTTAAACAGCAGCGTTTCTTTCAGATCCAGCATGTCTGATGCACTTTCCGTCAGACTGCGCGAGAGTTGCTGTAACTGGTTATAGCGATCCATTTCAAGTGGATCAAAATTCTCATACTGCGGACCGTCATTACGTTCATGGCGGTGCAGAATCTGGGTTTCCGTTTCTATTTCGAGGCGACGCAGCTGTTCCCGCAGGCGTTCGATGGTGGTTTCCATCTCATCCAACGCGCCGGTAAAGTCGCTCATACCCTGCTCAATGCGAGCACGCAGAATTGAACTCTCACCAGCCAGATTAACCAACTCCTCGAGCAGGGCCGAACCGACCCGGACCATCTCCTGACTGCCACGTTCCGCAGTGACTTTTTCAGTCGCCGCGGTGGTTTGTGCAGCGGCAGGATCTGCAGCCGGGGTTGTTGTATCTGCACTTTCGGCTTTCGCGGCCGCCTGCTGCAGATTGACAGCTTCAAGCACCCTGTTGACGTCGCTCACTTCAGCCGGCTTATCAGCTGCGATGGCAGGTTGTGAAATTTCCTGCGCTGCAGGACTCGATGGCGTCTGCACTTGTTCCAGCGGTACAACCGGCTCGTCCGGTACGCTTGGCGTTGCCGCGGCGGCTACGCCCGGCGCCTGTTCAAGCTGGCTGCGCACCTGCTGCAGACGCGCGGTGATGGTGTCATAACGCTGAGTAAGGTCGCTGAACAGAGCATCGTCAACCGTCCGTTCATCGTTTTGAACTTCGATCACCACACTTTCAAAGTCATGGGCCATGTCACCCAGAGTGCTTAAACCACACAGGCGCGCACCGCCCTTGAGCGTGTGTAATCCACGCAGCATGTTCTCCATGTAGAGGCGATTGTCTCGCTCAGCCGACCAGCTGAGAATACTGGTTTCAAGTGCCTCGCAGATCTCATCAGCTTCTTCAAAGAAAACTTCAACCAGATCCGCATCTACTTCGGCAATGTCTGCCAGTTCAGCGGCATCAGCATCCAACGGTGGCGCCTCATCCGCATGGGTTTCAACAATCGGCAGTTCTTCTTCTGCAGAAATTGTGAAATCTAATTCCGTAAGTGCAGTGATAAGCTCCGCCTGTAACGCCGGCTCACTGCCAGCAGCGATCTCATTCAGCTGATCTATCAGCTGATGGTATCCCGCGCGCATCACTGTGGATGCGCCCGCAGGCAAACGCTGCATTGTTGCCGCAGCGCTGAAAGTTCGATTTAGTTGCGTGGCCAACAGGCTCAACGACTGTGTGTGCATCTGTGTTGCAAGCTGTGCAACTGCAGCAAGGGTATCTGGTAAGTGCGCAACGGGTGCCACTTCTTCACCGCGGTCTGCTGCCGCCAGGTAAGCAAGTACCGCTTCTTCAGATTCAAAGATGGTTGAGGTTGCAGGTGAGTCCAGAAGTTGATCCACTGCGCGCGGCGTATTGCCTCCGGCGGCTAAAAGATCATCTGCAGCAGCAACAAATTCTAACGGCTCTTCCCAATGCGCACCGCTTTGCAGGGCATCCAAGCAGGCGCTCAGATGTTGTTCAGCAGACTGGAAAAAAGCCTGTAATTCTGGGGTTGGGGGTACGCTACGCAGCGCTTCTACAACCTGATAAGCAGGTTCAACAATAAGCTGTACCTGCGGTAATTCAGCCAGCGCGGCACCACCAGTAAGCGTATGGAATGCTCGCGCAATCGGATCTGTCAGTGACCACGGTTCGCGTGCATTTTCAGCGACCAGATTTGCGAGGTGTTCTCTGGCTTCTGTAATAAATAGTTCAACGGTACTGTCATAAGCTGGCGTTTCTGCTACCTGTTGATTCTCGTCTTCGGCGACGCTGGCCTCCAGCTCAACCTCGTCCAGCCAATCGTCAGCTGTTGCGGGCACCTGCGATAGCGTATCGAGCGAAGGCGCGTCTGTTTCCGGCGCTTCCGCCTGCAGCGATTCTGGCGCATCCTCGGGCATCACCGATGCTGTTGGCGTTTCGGGAATCGCTGGCGCGACGGCAACACTTTCGAGTGTGCCACCGGACGACAATACATCCGCTTTTTCAATGACGCTTGTAATCGCATCAAGATCACCAGACTGGCCTTTCTCGAAGGCATCTCGTAAGCCGGGCACCAGGGCCAGCGCTTCGTTAATCACGTCAACAAACTGATCGCCGGGTTGCACGGTGCCGTCCATGACCCTGTTGAGCATGTTCTCAATGCCCCAGGCCAACTCACCAATGGCCACGGCCTGCACAATGCGACCGCTGCCCTTCAGCGTATGGAACCCACGGCGCACTTCTGTCAGCGCATCGTTGTTATCAAAATTACTGGCCCACTGGGGCAGATATTCGCCAATGGTTTCGAAGACCTCATCCACCTCTTCGACAAAAATTTCAACAATTTCCGGGTCTGGCGGTTCGACTTCTGCAACTGCCGCAACCGGTTCAGCAGTCTGCGTTTCTGCTGGCTCCAGGGTTTCGTCTTCGGCACCCTCAACGGCACCACTCAGGCCCGCAAAAGCATCGCTGGATAAGTCAAAGCCGATGTCCTCTTCGAACTCAAGCTGGGGCTCTTCCAGCTCAGGAAGGTTATCCAGATCAAGGGTTGTATCTTCTGCCTCCGCTTCGCCAGCGGTATCTATCGTGTGTGCTTCTTCGAACTCAGCTGATGCGTCCGCCTGTACAAGTTCTGTATCGCCAGGTATTTCCTCAACGATGGCATCCATATCAGCCGCAAAAGCAGCAACATCGGGGTCGGCGGCATCAAGCGGGATCAGGATGTCAGCAGGTGTTTCTGGAGCTGTAGCTTCTACCTCAGCCGTTTCCGTTTCAGGTGTTTCTGTTTCAAGTGTTTCTGTTTCAGGCGCTTCGTTCTCAACCGGTTCAACCTCGACTGGTGCTTCTGCCAGAAGCTCATTCGCGTTGGCCACTTCATGGACTGAGTCATCTGCTGAACGTGCTTGAAGCTGCTGCTCAGCAGCAAACGCTGCAGACATCATCTCGATATCCGTCAGACTGCGCTCGGCAACCAGTAGAATGTCTTCTGCACCAGAGCTGGTTTCATCAGCCAGCCGTTCAAGGTAATAATCCAGCGCGCTGATCACATCGGCAAACTGATCCAACTCCTGCCATTCGGGGCGATACCCCCGCATCAGACGAGTAGATATATAATCAGCAGCACGCGTCAGCATCTCTATCGCTTTGGGCAGCGGTATAATTTCGAGTGTACTGGCAATATTCGTCAATTTTGCTGGAACATCCTGCAGATGCCCGATGCTCCAGTGCGCAGTTACAAAATCGACAATGTTCTGCTTGATGATATCTAGGTCTTTACGCGCTTCGCGCAATACCTGGAGTTGTGCATCACTGGTTATCTGTTCAACTTCGCTCTGTCCGGAACCCTGAATGACGCTACTCAGATTTTCATCAATCTGCACCAATGCTCCGGCAATGCTCTGCACTGCCTGAGGATCATCGTCGCCGAGCACAACCAGGCTCTCAATGGCTTCGACCTGATCGACAACAATCTCCCGGGAGCTTTCAAATCCCAGCAGCGACAACGTACTACCAATCTGTTTAAGTGGCGTCATCAGCAGGCGCAACGCGTCCAGATCAATACTGTCCGCACGCACCAGCAGATCCAGTTTGTCTTTCACCTGACCGAGATCTTCCTGTAGCGCACCCGCCGCGCTTCCCAAAGCCTGTCGCCCGGATATCGCCAGAGTATTGTTGCTGACATCGCGCGCCAATGCTTCCTGCAGACCGGTAACGGCCTCGCTACGATTATCTCGCGCTACGGCCCCATCGAGAAGTTGTTCGACCAACTCCATGTTGACCGGGCGACGCAAGGCCGCCTCACCATCTTTGGCCAGATTTTTAATTTCAAGATCTACCCGACGCAGCAGTTTCACCGCTTCGCTTTCGAGTACACCTGTATGTTTTTTGAGGCTATCGACAAATTCGGCAAACGCCTGCCATTGTCGCGCCAGGGGGGCACCATCAGTGACCTTTTCGAGGCCAATAGCAATTTTCCCCAGTGTCCCCACCGCAGCACTACGATCTTCACCTTTGAGAATAGACAGCAACACATTCTGATATGCAGAACGAATGCGGATAACTTTTTCAGGACCACCAATTGCATTGAACCGGGCAATTACCTGATCGCTGGCACCTTCCCTCAAACTGGCACCAGCGGGATCGATCAGCGGTGCCTGCTGCATAAGCTCGCGTATTTCGTTTACCAGAGGCATAGACGTGCTGACGTTGTCATCAGCACCACGCTGCAGCTCATCGAGATAACCGGGCAGTTCCAGGATGCCCTGCATCAGCGCTTGACCAGCTGCTGCTTCATCCTCAATCGACTTCGCCAGCATGGCCTGTGCCAGCTGTTCCAGGTGATCCGCCAGCTGGGTGACCCCTTTGAGTTCGAGCATGACAAGGGTGCCGTGCACCTGGTGCAAACCGGTCAGACATGCCCGCATGCGCGTTTCATCATTACCCTGCTCGGCGTAGTCGTCGAGGGCAATACGCGCATCGTTCAATGTCTCGAGCAGATCAGCCTTGATCCAATCCAGGGCGAAATGTTCTCGCGCCGTAGCCATAAACTAGTCCTTAGTGAGCGCCTGTTTAGCTTGAGCTTGCGGGCAGCTTAAAGCCTTCTACAGATGCACGCATCTCGTTTGCCATGCCGGCAAGATTACCAATAGAACTCGCTGTCACATCAGTTGACTCTGCGGTTTGCGAGGTGATCTCCTGGATCACGTTCATGGTATTGCTGACGTGGCCAGCAGTTGCTGCCTGTTGTCGGGCAGCATTGGAAATGTTCTGAATTAATTCAGCAAGGTTAGTCGACACGCTTTCAATTTCTTCCAGCGCAACACCCGCATCCTGTGCACGGCGAGCACCATCAACAACCTCCGCGGTGGTCTGCTCCATGGAGATAACCGCTTCATTGGTATCCGTCTGGATGGTCTTCACCAGCGCAGCAATCTGCTTGGTTGCCGCCGAGGAACGTTCCGCCAAACGTTGTACTTCATCAGCGACCACTGCAAACCCACGCCCGGCATCACCGGCCATAGAGGCCTGAATAGCCGCGTTCAACGACAGGATGTTGGTCTGATCAGCAATATCATTAATCAGGCTCACGATGTCGCCAATTTCCTGGCTCGACTCACCCAACCGCTTGATCCGTTTTGCTGTTTCCTGAATCTGGCTGCGAATGCTGTCCATGCCGCTGATCGTATCCTGCACAACATGTGAGCCTTTGTTGGCAATCTCTACTGCACGTTCCGCAACAGAGGCAGATTCAGCGGCATTAGAGGACACCTGATCGATCGATACTGCCATGTCATTGATCGCCGTAGAGGCTGCACCAATTTCTTTGGCCTGATTCTCAGCTGCAGAGGCCAGGTTACTGGCTGTACCCTGAGTATCACCTGCGGCTTTAGCCACCTGTACCGACAACGAATTGATATTCGATACCAGCCCGCGCATCTGGTCGATGGCGAAGTTGATCGAATCTGCGATGGCGCCGGTGAAGTTTTCCGTCACGGAGGCGTGTACGGTGAGGTCGCCTTCAGCCAGGTCTGCCAACTCATCAAGCAGTTGCAGAATAGCTGCCTGGTTACGCTCGTTCTGGGCGGCCTGTTCGTGCAACTGAGCACGCGTACTGCCGACCATAACCACGCCGATAACCGCCATCAGCACCACGCCGAGCACGGCCAGCATCAATGGCGGACTGTCCATCACCGACACCTCGCCGACGAAAATAAAATACGCCATACCAACAAGAATGCCTGCCATGGCGACCATTAACATAATCAGTAACGGTGATAACTTCCCTGAATTCATATCCTTTTCCTGCTACGCCTTATCTGCTTTACCTAATGCAACATCAAAAAACTTTTCGTCTTTCAAAATTGCTTTTAACTGGACCTCGTGAAAAACGCGGCCACCATGCCGAAACGCGCCGGTGACGTAGGGGCCTAAACCACCCAACTCCTTACCGTCGCTCTCTTCATAACTGTCTTCTAAAAAATGTTGTATACCCAGAGACTGCTCAACCAGCAGCCCGGCCACAATATCGCCTTCTTCCACCACCAGAACCCGCCATTGATTCGCAGGCAGCGTTGTTGGTAGCTGTAAATATTCGTGCAGACTGATCACCGGGATCAGCCGGCCGCGCACGTTGGCAATGCCCATGACCCAGGGTTTTACCGCGGGCAGGGGTGTCATTCGGGGTACCGGCATCAGTTCTGCAACCTGACCCAGTTTCGAAACCAGGCGGGTACCACCCACCAGGAACCCAAGTCCCTGCCACTGTGCCTGCACCTGTTCTTTGTGTGGCAGCGGTGCTGCGTTTTTAAACGTGGCTGCTTTGATATCCTGCAGGATATTGAGGGCTTCACTGTGTGCCATATCGCCGCCTAACTCGCCAACAAGCCGTTTACGGTGCTGATCAGAGTTCGATCATCCACCGGTTTGGTCAGATAACCACAAGCGCCCTGGCGTTCACCCCAGACTTTATCAGCGTCCTGATCTTTACTCGATACAATGATGACCGGAATATGCCGGGTATGATCATTTCGGGTGATCTGCCGAGTAGCTTGAAATCCGTTGATTCCTGGCATTACCACGTCCATCAGAATGATGTCCGGCTGTTCCTCTGCCGCAATTGATACACCATCTGAGCCTGTAGCAGCGGTCAGTACCTGATGCCCTTGGCGGGCCAGAGTATTCACCATCTGATGTGTCTCAGTGGGTGAATCGTCTACAACTAAAATTCTAGCCATTTGAAAATTGACCTCTGCGGGACTTAGTGAACCAGGGTACGAATCGTACCTAACAGCTCATCTCTGCTGAACGGCTTGGTAATATACTGGTCGGAGCCAACAATTCGCCCTTTGGCTTTATCAAATAACCCATCTTTGGATGACAACATCACCACCGGAGTGGCTTTGAATTCGCTGTTGTTTTTGATCAGTGCACAGGTCTGATAGCCGTCTAAACGCGGCATCATTATGTCGACGAATATAATCTCGGGGCGCGCATCGGCAATTTTGGCCAAAGCATCAAAACCGTCCGTTGCGGTGATGACATCGTATCCTTCTTTGGTCAGTAGATTTTCCGCGCTGCGCCGGATTGTCTTCGAGTCGTCTATGACTAAGACTTTCACGCCTTGAAGCTCCTCTTCCATCAATATTATCCCTTTTCATAAAGGCTTGTTTTGCGCTGTGAGCCTTGCCGCAGGCTGCTGCGACTAAAATCGCAACTAAACTGCTTAACTAACTTGCCCAATCCAGCGCGCAGCACCCGTGCGCGAACGCTGCCATCCTGTTGCATATGTTGTAACACGCCACCCTGGACGTCGCTATAAGCACACAGTCAGAAAGGGATTTTGTTCTCATTTTAGTTGCCTAACTCGTCTAGCAATGGGAAATTTGCACGCTCACTCAACCATTACCTGGTAACACATGACCCAAGTAGCCATTGTCATGGACCCGTTAGCGTCTCTGGCGCTGAAGAAGGATTCAACCTTAGCCATTATCCGCGCCTGTCAGCTGCGCGGACTAGATGTTTTTTATCTGCGTCAGGAGGACCTGCACCTGTGGCAGAACGAAGCCTGCGGCATGATGTCGCCCTTGCGCCTGCGCGAGGACTTCTGTGCAAACCTGGATGCCAGCATCGCTGGTGAGGACTGGTTTGAGCTTGGTGAAGAGACGCGCAGACCGCTCAAAGACATGGACATCATCATGATGCGCAAGGACCCGCCGTTCGACATGGAATACATCTACGCCACTTATCTGCTGGAACGGGCGGAGGAACAGGGCACTCTGGTGATCAACAAACCGGCCTCGTTGCGTGACTGCAACGAGAAGTTTTTTGCCACCGCGTTTACCGATTGTATCCCGCCACTTGTGGTCAGCCGCCGGGCCGACATCCTCAAAGCCTTCCATGCTGAGCACAAAAACGTCATCTACAAAAAACTGGATGGCATGGGTGGCGCCTCCATTTTCCGAGTTATGGAGAACGACCCCAATTTATCTGTCGTGATCGAGACCCTGACAGAATACGGTTCCCAGCAAATTATGGCTCAGGTATACATTCCGGAGATTGTCGATGGCGACAAGCGCATACTGCTGGTGGATGGCGAAGCCGTACCTTATGCACTGGCACGGATACCCTCCGCAGGTGAGACCCGTGGCAATTTAGCCGCCGGTGGGCGCGGTGAAGGTCGTCCGCTGACCGATCGCGACCGCATGATTGCTGAGCGCGTCGGTCCCGAGTTAAAACGCCGGGGGCTTATGTTTGTAGGTATCGATGTCATTGGCGACTATCTGACCGAGATCAACGTTACCTGCCCAACCTGCATACGGGAACTGGACGCACAGTTTTCTCTCGACATTGCCGGTAACCTTATGGACGCTGCCCTGTCTAAAATAAATCTCAACTAAACTGTTATTCGACGACATACGTAAACGACCTGAATACGAGCCATGGCAATCACATCTATTTCATCCAAAGATCGTCTCAGCTTTGCGCTGTTTCTGGCTATCAGCCTGCACGCGGCACTCATTCTGGGCATTGGCTTTTCTTCAGAGCGCAACACGGCGGAAAATCTCAGTATTGATGTCACTTTGTCCGTTGCCAATGACGTTATCGCACCCGAGCAGGCGGATTTCATCGCGGCGACCAATCAGATCGGCAGTGGCAGTGAAGCCGAAATTATGGAGATGACCACCACTGAAAATGCTGACTTCTTTAGTAACGAGTTTCAGACCGTCATGTCCCAGGCCACACCGGTGCCTGAAGTCACCACGATGTCCCAGGATCTGCTGACCACCACCGCAACCGCACCTGAAAAAGCTAATTCAGACCTTGCCGAACTCACAGAGCTGCTGGAAGCTGCGCCCACCAACCAGTTGGATCGCGAGAAGCTGGTCCAGGAGATTGCCAGTCTCGAGGCGCGCATCGCACAAGACCAGCAGGCGCTGGCAAAAATGCCGCGTACCAAACGCCTCAGCAGTGTGACCACGCGTTCGGCCTCGGAAGCCGCTTATCTCAATATGTGGCGACAGAAGTGCGAACGTATCGGTCGCAGCAACTATCCGGCTGGCGGCCTTGAGGGTGAAGTTTTGATGTTAGTATCCATTCTCGCAGACGGCACTTTGGAAGAAGTTCGTATTCTTAACTCTTCAGGACACCGAGAACTGGATCAGGCCGCACTGGCAACGGTGCGCCAGGCTGCCCCCTATCAGCCCTTTAACGTTGAGATGAGAAAGGCTTACGATCGTTTAGAGTTCACCCGAACCTGGCAGTTCTCTAAAGCCGGCGCAGCCCTCGGCCGTTAATAACCAAAGATGAATCTGAAACATCATTTCCTGCTGGCCATGCCGGGCTTAGGTGGCGACTATTTTGCCAATACCCTGACCTACATCTGTGAACACAACAAAGATGGCGCCATGGGCATCATCATCAATCGACCCAGCGATATGTCGCTCATGGAGTTGCTTGCCCAGGTCGGGCTGCCCGCTAATCACAAGCTACTCAACACAAAAGTGTTCGAGGGCGGTCCGGTGGCGGTCGAACGCGGCATGGTCTTACATTCCAGCAACCGCACATTTGAATCCTCCGCTGACCTGGGCGCAGGCTTATGCCTGTCCACCGCGATGGAAGTTCTCGCTGCAATCGCCAACGATGAAGGCCCTGACCAGTATCTCGTCGCCCTGGGTTACGCCGGCTGGGGCGAAGGACAACTGGAAGACGAAATCGCCAACAACGTCTGGCTGACTGCCCCAGCGGATCAGACTGTGTTGTTCGAATCCGCCTGGCAGGACAAGTTGACCGACGCTGCGGATCTGCTTGGCATTAACCTCAATCTTATTGCGGCCAAACCCGGACATGCCTGACAGTTCTAATCAGTTACAGCCTGCGATAGTTGTGGTGGCATTCGATTTTGGTCTTCGCCATATCGGGGTGGCTGTGGGACAAACGCTGACCGGCTCTGCCAGAGGCATCGGCACCTTGATTGCTCGCCATGGCAAACCCAATTGGCGCGACGTGGATAAAATGCTTGCTGAATATAAACCTCATCAACTGCTGGTCGGCCATCCGCTGAATCTGGATAACAGTCGTAACGAAATTACCGAAGCCGCGACGCGATTTGCAGCAAAACTGGCAGCGCACGCAGGCTTACCAACCGAGTTACACGACGAACGCTTGACCACCAAGATGGCCAAAAGCGGCCTGGCCGAGGCAAAGGCCATGGGGCTGGCCAGCACAGACCACGAACTGGCGGCCTGCCTGGTTCTGCAAAGCTGGCTGAATGAACGGATTACCGCCGGAAACTGAACGCAGCTTCGTCCTCGTCTGCCTCGATAGACAGATGATCGACACCTTCCATGGGATTACTTTTCGAATCCGCACCCAGCTTGATCATCAGACGTAAATCGTTCGGCGAGTCGGCACTGGCAATTGCCGAATCGTAGGTGATCTCACCCTCTGCATACAGTTTGTACAATGCCTGGTCAAAGGTCTGCATGCCTTGCTGCGTCGAGTTAGTCATCAGCTCTTTAAGCAGATGTACTTCACCTTTGCGGATATGATCAGCCATCAAAGGCGTATTAATAAGAATCTCAATGGCGGCACGACGCCCCTGACCATCTACGGTTGTCACCAACTGCTGCGCAACCATGGCTTTGAGATTTAACGACAGGTCCATCCAGATCTGGCTGTGACGGTCACTGGGAAAAAAGTGGATGATCCGATCCAATGCCTGGTTCGCGTTGTTGGCGTGCAGAGTACACAGACACAAATGGCCGGTTTCGGCAAAGGTCAACGCATGCTCCATGGTTTCCCGGGAACGTACCTCACCGATCATGATGACATCTGGCGCCTGGCGCAGAGTGTTTTTCAGAGCAATTTCGAAAGAATCTGTATCCACCCCAACTTCGCGCTGGGTCACAATGCAGCCTTTATGCTGGTGCACAAATTCAATAGGGTCTTCGATACTGATGATGTGACCACTGGAATTTTCGTTGCGATGTCCAATCATGGACGCAAGCGAAGTTGATTTACCCGTGCCGGTTGCACCGACAAAAATGATCAGTCCGCGCTTGGTCATCGCCAGATCTTCGATGATGGGTGGTAATCCCAGGTCCGATACCCGCGGAATATTCACCTCGATCCGTCTGAGCACCATGCCCACGAGATTGCGCTGGAAAAACGAACTGACCCGGAACCGACCTAAGCCCCGCGTATTAATCGCAAAGTTACATTCATGTTCTTTATCAAATGTCGCCTGCTGCTCGGGATTCATAACCCCATAGACCAGCTCTTTGGATTGCTCCGGCGACAAAGATGACTTACCCGCTGCATAGAGTTTGCCGTTCACTTTCACCATCGGCGGCTTACCAGCGGTGATAAACAGGTCCGAAGCACCTTTCTCCACCATGAGTTTGAGCAACTTGTCGAATTCCATGCCTTAGGCACTCCTGTATCGGGTTGTCATCAGACGGCTAACTGCCACCTGCATTGACTAAAAGTTTTCCGGGATCTTGGCTTTTTCTTTTGCAGTATCTCGGGTGATCACGCGTTTCTGTACCAGCTCTGACAGACATTGATCCAGAGTCTGCATGCCCACGCCGGCGCTGGTCTGTATTGCAGAATACATTTGCGCCACCTTGCCTTCGCGAACCAGGTTCCGAATGGCAGGGGTGCCAATCATAATTTCATGTGCAGCCACCCGCCCACCGTTAACTTTCTTGAGCAGGGTCTGAGAAACAACTGCGTTAAGGGATTCTGAGAGCATTGAACGCACCATGTCTTTCTCTTCAGCCGGAAAGACGTCGATAATTCGGTCAATGGTCTTTGCCGCAGACGTGGTGTGCAACGTGCCAAATACCAGGTGACCCGTTTCTGCAGCGGTCAGCGCCAGGCGGATAGTTTCGAGGTCACGCAATTCGCCAACCAGGATAATATCCGGATCTTCCCGCAGGGCGGAACGTAACGCCTCATTAAAGCCGTGGGTGTCACGATGCACTTCACGCTGATTGAGCAGGCACTTCTTCGACTCGTGCACAAATTCTATGGGGTCTTCGATGGTGAGAATATGGTCATACCGATTATCGTTGATATAGTCGATCATCGCGGCAAGCGTTGTACTTTTACCTGAGCCTGTCGGTCCGGTAACCAGGACCAAGCCACGCGGTACCATCGATACATCTTTAAATACCTGGCCCATACCCAGATCTTCCATGGTCAGGACCTTGGAAGGAATGGTTCTGAAAACCGCGCCTGCACCACGATTCTGATTAAAGGCGTTCACCCTGAAACGAGCGACACCGGGTACTTCAAATGAAAAGTCAGTTTCTAAGAATTCTTCGAAGTCCTTGCGCTGCTTGTCATTCATGATCTCGTAGATCAGACCATGCACTTCATTGTGCTCAAGCGGCGGCAGGTTAATACGTCGAACATCGCCGTCCACACGTATCATGGGCGGTAAGCCGGCTGATAGATGTAAGTCAGATGCGCCTTGTTTGGCGCTGAAGGCGAGCAGTTCAGTTATGTCCATGAGCGGTCCCTGTCATTTACCAATGAATCACGCCGCTTACTTGCTGCGCGCAGCGTTATACTATGCCCTCATACCGCCTCGCACCACGCCTTAACCCGCTATCTAAAGCATAAGGCGTGATGGGTTTACGACTATGCGAACCGGTTAACACTGACTGTGGGACATTTGTGCAATCCATCAAAACCAATCTTGAAGCCCTGCAAGCCCGCATTACCAAAGCATGCAGCGTCGCTGACCGTGACCCGGAACAGATCACCCTGATTGCCGTGTCAAAAACCAAACCCAGCAGCCAGGTCCGTGAAGCGGCAGCACTTGGTTTAAAACATTTTGGCGAAAACTATCTGGACGAAGCTGTCACTAAAATCTCTGATTGTGCAGACCTCAAGCTGACCTGGCATTTCATCGGCCGCATCCAGAGCAATAAAACCCGCACCATCGCCGAACAGTTTGACTGGGTACATACCCTGGACCGCAGCAAAATCGCCCGCCGCCTCAATGAACAATGCCCGGCAGGCAAACAGCTTAACGTGCTGCTGCAGATCAATATTGACAAAGATCCTGCCAAAGCCGGTGTCAACGCAGATGATGCTGACCAGTTGCTTACAGAGGTCAGCAAGTTACCCGCCTTACGACCTCGGGGACTGATGACGATTTTATCTCAGCAGGCAGACCCTGTGGCCAGTTATCAATCCATGGCACAATTGTCAGCTCGATTGGCAGAACAGCTCGGTGACAACCAGAAGCAACACTGGGGCACGTTATCGATGGGCATGAGTGCCGACATGGACGCTGCCATTCTTGCAGGTGCCACACATATTCGTATTGGCACCGCATTATTCGGCGCAAGAGACGCATAAATTTTTCGGAGAATATTTTGCAGACATCGGCAGACACACGTCTGGCTTTTATCGGCGCGGGCAACATGGCCAGCGCAATGATTCAGGGTCTATTACGTACCGGTATCAAGGCCGCGCAGATCAGCGTTGCGGATCCTGTTGCCGATGCGCGCGAGCGCCTTGCAGAGATGGGCGTGGCGACATTCAGCGACAATAATCAGGCGGTCGCAGGCGCCCAGGCTGTGGTTCTGGCAGTGAAACCTCAGGTCGCACAAGAGGTGGTGCAGTCCATATCAGCGCTCCAGCCAGAGCAGCTACTGGTGTCAATTGCGGCCGGAATCAATCTTGCCAGCCTAACTCGATGGACCTCTGAGCAGCAGGCGATTGTTCGCTGCATGCCAAATACACCGGCCCTGCTGGGTGCAGGTGTCAGCGGTCTGTACGCCAACAGTTGCTGCGATGCCAGCCAACGCAGCCTGGCCGAAAACCTCTTACGCAGCGCTGGCACAACGCTGTGGGTCAAAAAGGAACCGGACCTGGACGCAGTGACGGCGGTGTCCGGTAGCGGGCCGGCCTACTTCTTTTTACTCATGGAGGCCATGATAGACGCCGGCGTAGATCTGGGCTTAGATCGAACCAGCGCAACCGAGCTCACCTTGCAAACTGCCTATGGCGCCGCATTAATGGCGCAACAAGGCAACACAAACCCAGCCCAGCTGCGAAAGAATGTCACGTCTCCCGGCGGCACCACTGCCGCGGCGCTGGATGTTATGTTAACGGCTGGCATGCCCGATACAATCAAGGCGGCGTTGCAGGCGGCACAACAGCGCGCAATTGTTATGGCGCAAGAATTTGGTGGTAATCCCTCATGAGCAGTTTGAGTATCGTTTTAGACTTTGTCTTTCGTTTGGCTTGTCTGTTGTTTCTTACACGTTTTCTACTGCAGGCCTGCGGTGCTGATTTTTATAATCCGATCAGTCAGGCTGTGGTCAAAGGCACCGACACAGTCTGTGCACCATTGCGCAAGATCATTAAACCTTTCAAAAACCTGGATTTTGCTTCTTTCATTGTTGCCTGGCTGGTCAGTGCCCTTGGTGTTGTCGCCTTCAGTTATCTGGCTTTTGGCAATGCACCCAGTGCGCTGACCGTGGTCTGGGCTGGCATGATCAAAACACTGCTGGTGCTGCTGCAGTTCTACAAATGGACAATCATCATTCTGGTGATAGCCAGCTTTATCGCGCAGGGTTCCTATCACCCGGCGCTTGCCCTGCTGAATCAACTTGTGGAACCGGTCATGGCCCCGGTACGCCGCATTCTACCCAGTCTCGGACCACTGGACCTGTCCCCTATGGTGGTTCTGCTCATTATCATTCTACTTGAAGATATCCTGATCAGGTCTTACATCTAGGCTGCATGAACATGACGCTGCCAGCAGATTCCGTGGGATTGGTATCAACGCAAAAGTTTGTCTATGAACAGCCTTTTGCGCTGTGTTGCGGGCGCGATCTGCCAGGATTCGAGCTGGTGTATGAAACCTATGGCACGCTCAACCCGAAAAAAACCAATGCAGTGCTCATCTGTCACGCCCTGTCAGGTAATCATCATGCCGCTGGCTATTATGACTCAGACCCTAAGCCAGGTTGGTGGGACAGCTGTATCGGACCAGGCAAACCGATCGATACAGAAAAGTTTTTTGTTGTCAGTCTCAACAATCTTGGTGGCTGTCATGGCAGCACGGGGCCGTTAACCATCAATCCGTCTACACAACGACCTTACGGTCCGGACTTTCCAACCGTGGTGGTACGCGACTGGGTGAACAGTCAGGCGTTGCTGGCCGACCACCTGGGCGTGAGGAAATTTGCAGCGGTGATTGGTGGCAGTCTTGGCGGCATGCAGGCGATGCAGTGGTCTATTGATTTTCCGGATCGCATTGCATCCGCGCTGGTAATCGCTTCTGCCGCTAAGTTATCCGCGCAGAATATTGCATTCAACGAAATCGCTCGACAGGCAATTGCTGCAGACGCCAGCTATTTCTCTGGACACTACAGCGAACATAACAAAACCCCCTCTAAAGGACTGGGTCTTGCGCGCATGATTGGTCACGTCACGTATCTGTCCGATGACGGCATGCGGGAGAAATTTGGTCGTGAACTGAAATCCGGAGACCCCAGCCAGGGTGGCGATGTTGAATTCCAGGTAGAGAGCTATCTGCGTCATCAAGGGCAGGCGTTCTCGCAACGCTTTGATGCAAATACCTATATGCTGATGACCAAGGCGCTGGACTACTTTGACCCCGCCCGGGAACAAAACGATGACCTTGTGGCGACACTTTCTATAGCCAAAGCCAAATTTCTGGTCATCTCATTTACCAGCGACTGGCGTTTTTCTGTTGCCCGCTCCAAAGAAATTGTCGATGCGCTGGTTGCGGCCCGCAAAAATGTCGCCAGCGCCATCATCGAATCCGACCACGGCCACGACTCGTTTCTGCTGCCCATTCCGCGTTACGTTGACGTTCTGACAACCTATCTGAATAGAATCTATCGCGAAGCCTGTGAGGCGGACACATGACTTTGCGGGCTGACCTGGCGGTCATTGCTGACCTGGTAAACCCCAAGGCACGGGTGCTCGATCTTGGCTGTGGCGAAGGTGAGCTTCTCGCCCATCTGCAGTCTGACAAGGAAGTCAACGGCTATGGTCTGGATGTGGATGCAGACAACATCCGGGTTTGCCTGGAGAAAGGTGTCAACGTCATTGAGCAGGACCTGGACGCAGGGCTAAGCAACTTCGCCGACTCAAGCTTTGACATGGTGGTCATGACTGAAACGCTGCAATCTGTGAAATCTCCTGAGCAGCTTCTACAGGAAATGTTGCGTATCGGTGACGAGTGCATTGTCACGTTTCCCAACTTCGGGCATTGGTATTGTCGTGCGCAACTGCTGTTTCTGGGACGCATGCCGGTCGCCAAACACATTCCTCACAGCTGGTACAACACACCCAATATCCATCTGTGTACTTTCAGAGACTTTGAAAATCTCTGCAAATCTCTGCACCTGCAGATTATTGAGCGACGGGTTGTCGATCATCAGCATATCGAACGGCCGTGGGGCAAACTGATGCCTAATCTCTTTGGGCCTGTTGCATTTTACCGACTGGGCAAACCTTCATGATCAACTCTCGGAACTGGACGCTTCTCTTTTTACTACTCAGCAGCTTGCTGGTGACACCCGCACAAGCCGAACAGAAAGTTGTATTCAGCGACTATGAAGTTCATTACATACTGCTGCCAACAACTTTTCTGAAAGCGGACATCGCTGACAAATATGATCTTCGGCGCAGCAAAGATCGGGCCCTGGTCAATGTCTCTGTACTCGATCTGCAGGGTTCACCAGTACGGGCAGAAGTTCGCGGCTCCTCAGAAAACCTGCTGGGCCAACGTCAGAACCTGACCTTCGATGAGGTCATAGAAGGCGAAGCCATCTATTATCTGGCACTCCTGCGTTACGCTGATGAAGAATTTCAACGGGTCACCTTAAACATCGTGTTACCCAACGGCGAGCTGGCCGAAATCAAGTTTCAACAGAAAATGTACTGGGAACGCTGATGCAGGTTGTTTTAGCCAGTGGTAATACCGGCAAGCTGGCAGAATTTCAAACTCTCCTCGCAGATACACCACTTGAAATTACCAACCTGTCGGCTGCAGCACCGGATTTTGAGATGCCAGAAGAAACCGGCACAACGTTCATCGAAAACGCGTTGATCAAAGCCCGCGCGGCGGCGCAGGCGACGGGTTTCGCTGCGCTGGCAGACGACAGTGGTCTGGTGGTGCCTGCGCTTGGCGGAGCGCCCGGTATTTTTTCAGCACGTTACGCCGGCAGACACGGCGATGACGCGGCAAACAATCAGAAACTGATCGAAGCACTGAGGGGCGAAGTGCAGCGCGAAGCCTATTTTTATTGCGCCATCACGCTACTGCGACATGACCAGGATCCTACGCCAATCATCGCCACGGCCGCATGGCACGGCAAGATTCTTGACGCACCCAGAGGCGAGCAGGGATTTGGTTACGACCCGCTCTTCTGGTTAGCCGATCACAACAAGTCTTCAGCAGAGCTGCCTCGTGACCTGAAAAACCGTTTGAGTCACCGAGGCCAGGCCACTGCCGCCCTGCTGCGGGAGATCCGGGCCGGGCTGTAACCATGCTACCGCATCCCGCCGCCTACATTCACTTTCCCTGGTGCGTACGTAAATGCCCGTACTGCGACTTCAATTCTCACCCGCTACGCGATCAGGATGACTTCAGTGCCTATACTCACGCGCTGATTGACGACTGGCAGACACAACAGCGCAACTTCGACAGCGAAGCACCTTTCCACAGCGTATTTCTCGGCGGTGGTACACCCAGCCTGTTTAAACCCAGCCAGATGGCACCTATCCTGGAACAGCTCTCGTTAACTGCAGATGCTGAAGTCACTATGGAAACCAATCCGGGTACGACCGAACATCATCTGTTAGGTGATTACCTGGCAGTGGGTGTCAACAGGCTGTCGATTGGCGCGCAGTCTTTTGACAATACCCAACTGCAGAAACTGGGCCGTATCCACAACAGTAAAGAAACCTATGGCGCCTATGAACAGGCGCGTCAGGCAGGTTTTGCGAATATCAATATCGACCTGATGTGGGGTCTGCCGGAACAGACCGTTGCAGCAGCCCTTGAGGATCTTGATGCTGCCATTGCACTTCAGCCGGAGCACATTTCCTGGTATCAGCTGACCATCGAGGCAAAAACAGAGTTTGCTGTCCGCACACCCATACTACCCAGGGACAATGTGCTTGCAGACATTGAGGCATCTGGTCTTAAGCGTTTACAAGCCGCCGGGTATCAGCGTTACGAAGTGTCTGCGTTTGCGCGCAGCGGGTATCAGTGCAGGCATAACCTGAACTACTGGTCTTTTGGCGACTATGTGGGCATCGGCGCTGGCGCTCATGGCAAGATCAGTCATGTCAGCAAAGACGGTCTAACCATTGAGCGCACACAGAAGGCCAGTCAACCCAGGCTCTATCAGGCGTCACCGGATGAGACACGTGTTCATCCGGTGACCCTTGCTGAACGGCCAGTGGAATTCATGATGAACGTACTGCGCCTGGTTGATGGTGTTGAAACCTCAACTTTCCCCCAGCGCACCGGTCTGGATTGGACAGTTGTTGAAGACACCTGGCAGCAGCTGGTTTCCCAGGGCCTGGTAAGACACGATCGGATTGCCACAACACCTGCAGGGCTGAGGTATCTGGATAGCGTCCTGGCAGAATTCTTAAGCCCGGACTGAGCGACGATAAATCAGGTCGTGAATATCGTGACCCAGCTTCTCCCCTCGTCGTTCAAATTTTGTTGTCTGGCGCGCACTGTCTGCGACCAGTTCTTCATCCGCCTGACGGATATGGTCAACTTCAACAACAAAATCTTCACTCGCGGCAAAACATTCACGCATCCACTGCGCGTAGGGTGTCCAGTCCGTGGCTAATCTCACCAGCCCATCAGGCTTCACCACCCTCGCCAGGCTCTGCACAAACTCCGGCTGAATCAACCTGCGTTTAAGGTGCCGTTTTTTGGGCCACGGGTCGGGGAAAAATATGCGCACTTCATCAACCACAGGCTCTGAACAGTTCGAGGAGAACTCAGCCAGAACCTCTTGCGCCGGCATTTCGATCACGCTGACATGAGTAAAGCCTTCTCGATGTAATCCGGATGCCAGCGCACCCACACCAGGCTGATAGAGTTCAATGCCACACAAGTGCCAATCCGGTGCCGCGGCTGCCCAATCCAATAAGGCGTGGCCCATGCCAAAGCCAATTTCGACACCAAAAAACCTGCCCTGCACGCGGGCGACAACTTCTGCCGGGCTGCTGCTGAAATCCGGCATCAACTGCTGTATTCCATGGGCTTGAGATTTGGTCATCCGTCCACGGCGTCGGATATAACTGTGCTCGGGGTATGGGGGTTGATCGGTCATTTACTGCGCGCCAGAAGCACAACCATCAAGCACCAGGCGCCGATGAAACAGGCACCGCCCAGCGGCGTGATGGGGCCCAGCCAACGCGGTCCACCAAGGGTCAGGGCATAGAGACTGCCGCTGAACAACAACACGCCTGCGATCATCAGGCCACTTACCCAGCTTAAGCGCTGCGAGAATTGCTGCTGCAGCAGAACACCCACCACTAGAAGTGAAAGTCCATGCATAAGTTGGTAGAGGACACCGGTTTCCCAGCTGCTGGTATTACTGTGGCCAAGAAAAGTTTCCAGCCCGTGGGCACCCCAGGCGCCCAAAACAACACCGGAGCCCATGAAAAGGGCTCCGGTAATCAGGCTGAATCTGGCGCTGCGCACAATTAGCGGGCCAATCTAGAAGGCAGAGGTGATATCAGGCCGCAATGGCTTTTTTAAGCTTCTTCATTGCATTCTTCTCAAGCTGGCGAATGCGTTCTGCGGAGACACCGTATTCGGCTGCAAGCTCATGCAACGTGGCTTTTTTGTCGGTCAGCCAGCGTTTCTGCACAATGTCGCGACTGCGCTTGTCCAGTGTTGCAAAGCCTTCAGAAAGCCGCTCACTCTGCTCCATTTCAAGATCTGCAGCAGCAACAATATCTGCCGGATCCTGGGTGCTGGATGCGAGAAAGTGAACCGGCGCGGTACCTTGCTCATCATCATTATCGTCTGCGTCAAACGCCATATCGTTGGCTGAAAGCCGCCCTTCCATACGCGTGACTTCAGCCACCGGCACACCAAGGTCGTCTGCTATGGCCTGGCTTTCAGCCTCGGTCAGCCACGCCAGGCGCTTCTTATTTGAACGCAGGTTAAAAAATAATTTGCGCTGGGACTTGGTGGTTGCAACTTTCACGATGCGCCAGTTGCGCAGAATGAATTCGTGCATCTCAGCTTTGATCCAATGCACTGCAAAAGAAACCAGCCGCACACCCACTTCCGGATTGAAGCGCTTAACCGCTTTCATCAAACCCACATTACCTTCCTGAATCAGGTCGGACTGGGATAAACCGTAACCTTTATACGATCTGGCAATGTGAGCCACGAAGCGCAGATGACTGAGCACCAGCTGACGCGCTGCCTCAAGGTCTTCCTGATAATAAAAACGCTCAGCGAGCTCTTTTTCCTCGTCAGTACTGAGCACAGGAAAATGACTGATCGTCTGCAGATACGCATCGATGTCGCGGCCTGGAGCCAGGCTGGGTAGAGTCATGATGTTTGTAGACATGTGATACCTCCGGTAACACTAATCTGATAAGTTTAGCACTCTCAATTGGACACTGCTAATTCTAAAAAAGTTCCACTTAAAAGTTCAAGCTATTGGATAAGCATATGAATTTAAAAGAGTTCTAAATGCTTGAGTCGCTGTCGCACCGCCAGCAGCGCACCCAGCACCCCTAAAAAACAGCCCGTCGTCAAGATTAGCAGTAAAAACAGCATGTTAAAGCCAGCCAGCTGCAACTCCTGGCGATAACTGCCCAGCAGTGACTGCAGTGGCGGCTCAATAACCACCAGCGTGAAGGCAATCAACATAGCGGCGATAACACCACCACCAAACCCGTATATCGCTCCGAAATAGAGAAACGGTCGACGGATCTGACCCTGGGTAGCGCCCACCATTTTCAGCACACGTAACTCATCCAGACGCGATTCTATCGCCAACCGCACAGAAGAGGCTGTGACCAGAACCGCACCAACGCCAAACATAATGGCCAGCACCAGGCCCATACGGCTGATGACGGCGGAGAGGTCGTTGAGCCGCTCCAGCCAGGTTTTTTCAACCACAACCTCCGCAACCCCTGCAAGCTGCGACAGTGAAGCCAGCAGATCATCCAGTGCAAGAGGGTCAATTTTGTCTGCAAAACGAGCCGTGAGCGAAGCGGGCAGTGGATTTTCTCCAAGCAGGTCCAGGGCGTCACCCAGACCGCTGTATTCTTTGAACTGTGCCAGCGCCTGATCCGCGGTTGTCAGCGCAACACTGGCAATGTCGGTATCAGCTTCGAGCGCCTGTGCAACAACATCAATGTCTTCCTGACTCGCATCTGTCAGGAAGTAAACGCTCAATCCAGGACGCCCCTCCCAACCCTGAGACATGGCTTCCATATTAATCTGCAGAATCCAAAGACCCGCGGGTAAAGCCAGGGCGATGCCCACCACCAGCCAGACTAAAAAGCTGGTGCCGATACGGGTACTGATGAAATTGATCGACTCGCTACCGACGCGCGCGTGATCTCTGACCCACGCGAATGGTTGCCACCCGGTACCACGCCAGGGATCTTTTGCTGCGCGGGTCACGAATCCGTTTCCTGTGGCGCTTCCAGGGTCAATCCTGTTACTTCTTCAATACTGCGAGTTGCGGGCAGATCTTCGATCACACGCCCAGCCTGCAGGTGCAGTATCCGCAGACCCATACTTTCGATCAGAGGAACATCATGGCTGGCAATAATGACTGTTGTGCCAACCTGATTAAATCGAGCAAACAGATCCATTATGTGGGTGGATAAATCCGGGTCGAGGTTTCCCGTAGGTTCATCAGCGAGCAGAATTTTAGGCCGCGTCACCACCGCCCGGGCAATGCCCACCCGTTGCTGCTCGCCGGTAGATAAATGCCGTGGAAACAGGTTTTCTTTGCCCAGCAATTCAACCCGGGTCAGCGCAGCACGCACACGCCGCCCAACTTCGCGTTCACGCATTCCCATCACCCGCAGGGGCAGGGCGACGTTTTCAAAAACACTGCGTTGTGCAAGCAGGTGGTGATCCTGAAAAACAACACCGAGATTCTGCCGATAGCGCGGCAGGCGTTTATCCGGCAGTTGAACGATGTCCACCCCATTTACCAGCAGCCGTCCCCGGCTCGGCATTTCAGCACGCAGCAGGAGCTTTAAGAAGGTACTCTTGCCCGCGCCAGAGTGACCCGTGAGGAAACACATGGAGCCTTCAGCAAATTCCACCGATACGTCACTGAGGGCTTCATAGCCGTTATCAAAACGCTTCGTGACATGCTGAAATTCAATGTGTCCCATAAATCAGTCCGCTCAGGCGTCGGTACGCTCGAGGGAGTCTTTGAAATCCTGATCCAACAGCGCCTCAACAAAATCGTCTGCTACAAACTGCCGCAGATCATCAATGCCCTCACCTACCCCGACAAAGTAAACCGGCAGGTTAATGTCCTGCAAAGCTGCAATAGAGAAAATAACACCCGCTTTGGCACTGCCGTCCAGCTTGGTGATCGCCAGGCCCGTAAGATCTACCGCCTCGTTAAACAAACGCACCTGACTGAGTGCGTTCTGACCAACTCCGCCATCCAGCACAAGCACAACATCATGGGGCGCTGAGTCATCGAGACGCTTGACCACGCGATGTACTTTTTTCAATTCATCCATAAGCTGGGCTTTATCCTGCAGCCGGCCCGCGGTGTCTACCAGTAACACATCAGCGCCGCGCGCCTGCGCGGATTGCAGAGCATCAAACGCCACTGAAGCACTATCAGATCCCTGGGCCTGAGCAATAACCGGCACGTTGTTGCGCTCACCCCACACCTGTAACTGTTCAACTGCTGCTGCGCGGAAGGTATCACCCGCGGCCAACATGACATTTTTACCCTGATTCTGTAACTGCTTGGCCAGTTTACCAATAGTTGTTGTTTTGCCTACGCCGTTGACCCCAACAAAAAAGATCACGTGCGGCTTTTTGTCTGTCAGCGTCAAATCTTTCTGCAGGGGCTCCAGGCGGGCCTTCAACAAACGACCTAACGCACCGTGCAGGGCTCGCGTATTATTAAGCTCTTTACGTTTCACCTGCTGAGCCAGATCCGCCATGATGCTGGTTGTGGTATCTATACCAACATCGGTGATGAGCAGAGCTGTCTCCAGGTCCTCCAGGACAGTGTCGTCGATCTCACGCTCGCCGAGCAGCAGGTTACCCACACCCTGCGCTAACTGAGTGCGCGTTTTAGCTAAGCCGTTTTTCAGGCGACCAAACAGACCCGTGCGCTTTGCGGTGCTCTCGCCATCATCTGCGGCTGCTGTATCTGGTGAAGGTGAATCGCTCAAAATGTCCTCTTCGCATCATCATTTTTCGGAGTGAAATTCGGCCGGTGGCAAACCCTTGCTGCCATTTTACCCGCCGGGTGCAAACCCTATACTAGCCGTTTCGCCAGGGCCACCATGACCAAAGAAAAGAGCAGACAAAAATCAGGTCCATCTCAGGTTCGTATTATCGGCGGCCAGTGGCGCGGACGGAAACTTCCCTTCGACGGGGGTAGCGATCTGCGTCCCACATCAGGTCGAACCCGGGAAACACTTTTCAACTGGCTGCGTCCGCGCATCAGAAATGCGCAGGTATTGGACCTGTTTGCCGGGTCGGGTTCACTGGGGCTCGAAGCTTTATCTCAAGGCGCGTCCCACGCCACATTTGTGGACACTGACAGCAGAACCATTGCGGCGCTGAGGGCCAATGTTGCCAACCTGGGCATCGGCGGACGTTGCAGCATCATCAAGGCAGATGCCATGCATTTTTTAAAGCGAATGACAGAGCCGGTAGATATTGTTTTCCTGGATCCACCGTTCAGGGAACCTGAGCGTTTAATCCAGAGTGTTACCCACCTTCTCGAACATCACCTTGTGCGCGATTGCCTTTATCTGGAGTCCGGAGATCAGTCGCTGATCGATCAACTTGCAGATGTGCCCGGCCTATCTGCTTATCGGCAGACACGCTCAGGCGATGCTTATGCAGGGTTGTTGGAGATCGAACAATAGCAACACTTTCGAGCAAGCAATTTGCAGGTGGCGGATACCAAGGCTAAGATCCGCGTCCGGCTTGGTTTTCAGAACAACGTCAATCATCGTCCTGAGCCGGTTTGCTCATAGGGGAGACAGTATGAAAGTGGTTGTTTATCCGGGTTCTTTTAACCCGATCACCAATGGACACACAGACCTGGTGGAGCGGGCACTGCATCTGTTTGATCATGTTGTCGTGGCCATTGGTACATCGGCGCAGAAAAACCCGAAGGTAGACCTGGCTGATCGGATAGAGCTGTGCAACGAGGTGCTCGCAGAATTTGGCGACCGGGTGTCGGTGGAGGGTTTTAATAACCTGTTGGTCGACTACGCCAAAAGCAAGAACGCGCGTTTTATCTTACGTGGACTGCGAACGGTGACGGACTTCGATTACGAATTTCAAATGGCGGAAATGAATCAGTCTCTGGCACCGGGTATAGAGTACGTCTTCCTGTTGCCATCAAAAGAGTGTTCGTTCATCTCTTCCACGCTGGTGCGTGAAATCGCAACCCTGGGCGGCGATATCACAAACTTTGTCCACCCGGCGGTGGCGAAAGCGCTACAAGGCTGACCCTGACGCCAGGTTGCGGCTTAATCGTCAGGTGATTGGTACTTCCCGGTTGCACGACAGCCGAGGCAACGCACAAAGGTTGCTTTAGCTGGATCCAGGAACAAAGCGTCAGCCGCCTCTTCAACATTGCCACCCAGGGCGCTGAACGGCAGGCTGACAACAAATGCTGCCCCACCCAGAACCGTAGCCACCAGGCCAAGAGGGCGAGCAATAACAACATCAGCCACCATTTCACCCGCGCTGGGTTCATTGTCAGAAGCAAAACCAGGCGCTGCGCTTAACAATAACGCGCCTGCGGTTATCCATGTCAGTAGTGTCTTGGGCATGTCTTAAAAATTCTCATTGCAGTGAACCAACTTTAGCACTTAGGCGGCACAAATCCTTGTGAGGTTTGGCAATTTGGGCAATAAACTGTGCTGCGCTGCCCAAGTATCTGTAGTTTTAACGGCTTTGCACACACTCGGCAAGGTTTGTCCTGACGCCCATAGACATTCAGCTGCTGTTTGAAGTACCCGGGATTACCGTCTGAGCCGACAAAATCCCGCAACGTAGTGCCTCCCTGACGCACTGAACGCGTAAGTACACGCTTGATCGCATTGGCCAGGGAATCATAAGCGTGCAGCGGAATTCGACCCGCACCTGTCGCTGGACGAATCCCAGCCATGAATAACGCCTCGGCTGCATAAATGTTGCCCACGCCGACAACATTTTTTGAATCCATAATGAAATTCTTTACTGCAACTTTTCGCTTGCGTGAACGCTCGTGTAGATACTGCCCTGAAAATTCATTGCCCAGGGGCTCGACACCGAGGTCTTTCAGGAGCCAATGCACCTCGGGGTGATCACCTGGCTGAAAAACCATGCTACCGAAGCGCCTGGGATCATTCAGCCGCAGCAGCTGCCCGTTTGAAAAAGAGATATCGACATGGTCGTGTTTCAACGGCTCAGCCCCTGCGGGCATTATTCTCAAACTACCGGACATGCCAAGATGAATGATCAGGGTGCCTGAAAGTGTTGTTACGAGCAGATATTTACCGCGCCGACCAACAGCGGAGACCTGTTGACCGACCAATCGTTTGGGAATGTCTACCGGCCAGCGTAACTTCGGGTTACGCACTTCAATGCCGGTAATGGTCTGGGCGAGTACCCAGGGCTCGATACCCCGTCTTGTCGTTTCGACTTCCGGGAGCTCAGGCACCGGGGTCTACTTGATTTTAGCTTCCGTATACATGACGTGTTTGCGCACGACAGGGTCGAACTTTTTCATTTCCAACTTATCAGGCGTAGTGCGCTTGTTTTTGTCGGTCGTGTAGAAGTGACCTGTACCGGCGCTGGAAACCATCTTAATTTTGTCACGCATTTTCTAAATCTCTCAGTGTGGGCGCCTGCAATTCAGGACTTTCTATTCAGTACTTTCTATTCAGGAGAGGGGCTAAACCTTCTGTCCGGCAGCGCGCATATCGCTCAGCACCGTATCGATACCTTTCTTATCAATAATACGCATACCTTTGGAGGAGACACGCAATCTGACATAGCGCTGCTCGGACTCCACCCAGAATCTGTGTTTGTGCAGATTCGGCAGGAACCGCCGTCTGGTTTTATTCTGCGCGTGGCTGACGTTGTTTCCCGCCATGGGACGTTTACCGGTGACTTGGCATACCTGCGACATCTTTCTGGGCACCCTAAAAAAAGGACGCGCTTTATACTACACGGGAACGCCGACAGCAACTTTAACGTGCAATTTACATAAATCCGACCAACCGTAAACCGCTATCTGACCTCTAGGATCCGAGCAATCCGCGCGCTGCCAGAGACACCGATGTTGTCGGCGAGACAATGACATGGTCTATCACTTCAATATCTACCCGCCGCAACAGGTCTTTCAGCTCCCGGGTGAGCTGTAAATCCGCCTGGCTGGGTTCCGCAATGCCGGACGGATGATTGTGCGCCAGAACCAGCGCTGCTGCATTCAGCACAATGCCACGCTTCAGCACTTCCCTGGGGTGAACATGCGCACGATTCACCGAGCCGAGAAACAATTCCTCCCAGCAGATAGGTCGGTACCGGGTATCCAGAAACAGGCAGGCAAAGGTTTCCCGTTCGCGATGGCCTATACGCCGCCGTATGTAGCGACTGACGGCACTTACATTCTGCAACGGACCCGATTTCGCCAGTGTGTATTCATCACTGCGGCAGGCCAGCTCATGCACGGCTTTGAGTTGCGCTGTGCGCGCTTGGCCTAAGCCGCGGCAGGCCAGCAGCTTTTCCGTTGGCGCAGCGATCAGCGCTAACGGGCTGCCAAATTGCTGGATCAGCCTTTCTGCCAGTTGCTGCGCGCTTTCGCCGGGCAGGCCACTGCCCAGACAGGCCGCGATGAGCTCTGCACTACTGAGATTCTGGGCGCCGCCACGCAGCAGACGCTCGCGCGGTCGTTCAATCTCCCTGGTCCAGCGATTCATCGAATCTGCACCACACCTGTTGACGGGTGTGGTGCGCCACAAATCAAGGTAACCTTGCGCGCTTCAACGTTAAAATTCACAGTGATGTCCAGTTCTAAACCAGCTTTAAACAACAGACGTATCTTGCTTGGCATCTGTGCCGGTATTGCAGCCTATAAGACACCGATACTTGTGCGAGGTTTGCGCGCCGCGGGTGCAGAAGTACAGGTGGTTATGACCGATAGCGCGCATCACTTTGTGACCTCTACAAGCCTACAGGCTGTGGCAGGTGCCCCTGTACGCCAGGATCTGTGGGATGAGCATGCAGAGGCGGCCATGGGCCATATCGAGCTTGCACGCTGGGCTGACCTCATCGTCATTGCGCCAGCCACAGCCAATACCATCGCGAAACTGGCACACGGCATGGCAGATGACCTGCTCACCACCCTTTGCCTGGCCAGCAGTGCACCGGTCTGGCTTGCCCCAGCTATGAATCAGCAGATGTACCAACACCCGGCTACACAGGCCAATCTGCTGGCTGCTCAAGCATTGGGATACCAGTTAATCGGTCCTGAATCTGGCGATCAGGCCTGTGGCGAAGTGGGACCGGGGCGAATGACTGAACCAGACGATATTGTTGCAGCTCTTGCAGCGTCTGCGCCTTCAGCACCAGCTGCCTCAACTGCAGCGACCCGCTCCCTGCACAACAAAACGGTGATGATCACCGCGGGCCCGACCCTGGAAGCCATCGACCCGGTTCGGTATATCAGCAACCACAGCTCTGGCTTACAGGGTATTGCGCTGGCTGATGCTGCCCTGGCTGCAGGTGCGCATGTGATTTTTATCGCCGGGCCCAAGGTGCCGCCTACCCATCCTGACATGCTACGCATCGACGTCATCAGCGCGCTCGACATGCAGGCTGCAGTACACGCGCACCTGACCGGCGTGGATATTTTTATTGGTGTTGCAGCGGTTGCGGACTATCGGCCGCTGGAGGCCGCCGCACAGAAAATGAAACGAGCAGGTGATGAACAGGCAAGCTTGACCATCGAACTGGTTGAAAACCCCGACATCATCGCCGGTGTTGCCCAGCATCCGGCTAAACCGCGCCTGGTTATTGGTTTTGCGGCGGAAACCAACGATACCCACAAGCACGCACGGCAAAAACTCGTACGCAAAGGCCTGGATGCCGTTGTCGTCAATGATGTGTCCGATCCAGGCATTGGCTTCAACAGTTCGGATAATGCCGCCACGCTGATCCACGCCCACGGTGAAGTGGCTTTTGCAAGGCAATCTAAAACACAACTCGCGCATGGTTTAATTGCTCAGATCGTTGACATTTTTGCCTCTCAGTTAGCAGATACAAACCCCGAGAGTGTGTCAGAATAGCGCGCGCTCGAGGCAAAACCGTCTAATCAACCACTCGCAGGACGCACTAAACGTGGCGAAAAAAAAATCTAGCAAGAAAAACCGGCAGAAATCCGGATCCGACAATTTCCTCACCCACGGCAGTGTAACGCTGGGCATCAGCGCCCTTGGCTTACTGGTGGCTTTTGCTCTGGTCTGGTGGCAGGCGATTGTACAACCTCAGCAGGCGGCTCAGATTGCCGAGCAGGAACGCCAGTTGGACGTCTACGCACAATTATTCAACAGTCGCGTCGCCGACCTGCGGGCAACTGTTAACGCCATGGCTACCGCGCCAAGCACTATTGAGGCTCTGATCAGTTTCAATCCCGACGCACAGCAAGCGACTGCCGCGACCTTAGCCGCCCAACACCCTTATGTTTCCCGGGTGGATATCATCGAGAAAGGCAAAGCCGAAGTTGATCTGAGTGCGGAAGTACCGGTGTCTTTTGCGGCCCTGGATCTGATCAGACGTGCAGAAACCAGAGCGTTTGTCGGACCGGAGGCGGGCGCGGCACAAGGCAACCGACTCTACGCTGCACAACCTTTAACACCAGATGGCACCGTGGCCGGGGTCTTACTGGTGGTCTTCGAACCCGAGTTCCTGCTGGATTCTTTGCAACACTTCACTGGCCTGCGCGGTTCACTAAAGATTCTGCAGACGATCGCTGGCACCCCGACCACAGCCGTTCTGGAAGCTGGCGGCAGCGATGCAGATTTGGCGCCGATAGAGCAGGCGCTGTTCATTCCCCATTGGAAAGTTGAGTTTGCTGCGACGACAAGTGAAGTACAGCAGGTGGACAATACCGCAGCCTTGTTCACACCCTTTGCGCTGGCGCTGGCGCTGATCATGGGGGGAACATTCCTTGGTTTCTCCATGTACAGCCGCAAAGTCAAAGAAGATGCGCTGACGCTCACGGATTACGTGACCCGCATTTCTCGCGGTCGAAGCGCACCAATGGGTCGCTATCAGTTAAATGCTCTGGCAGACGTGGCCGCGGCAGTGGCCGTTCACGACAAAAACCCCACCGAGCAAGCCAGCACGACGCCGAACAAAGCAGCAGACAGTGACGACGGAGAGGATTTGTTGGAGGGGCTGGAGACAAAAAAGCCTGAGCGCGCTAAAAAGGATTTCCTCGACGTTCAACCCAGCGGAGCACAAGACAATTTCGGCATAGAAGTGAGTGAAGAAGTGGGACCAATGGATATGGGGATTGATTTCGACCCAGGTATTTTCCGTGCATACGACATTCGTGGCATCACCACAACCAACCTGACCGAAGAGGTTGTGTACTGGATCGGGCGCGCATTCGCCGCAGAAGCTTTGGCAAAGAAACAGTCACGGGTGGCTGTCGGCCGCGATGGGCGTCACTCTGGCGAACCTTTACAGGCCTCACTGACAAGAGGGCTCACAGAAGGTGGCATCGATGTCATCAGCATCGGTCGTGTACCCACCCCTACGCTCTACTACGCCACCTATGCCCTGGACACCGGCACCGGCATTATGATCACCGGCAGCCACAACCCACCTGAATACAATGGCCTGAAGATGATGCTCGGCGGCGTCACCCTGGCAGAAGATATGATCCAGGCTCTGTTCCGCCGTTTGCAGAACAATGACCTCAGCGAAGGCGAAGGCGACGTTGACGAGATTAACCTGGATGACAGCTATATCGATAAAGTGCTTGAAGAAGTTGCCATCGCGCAGCCTCTTAAGGTAGTTGTCGACTGCGGTAATGGGGTTGCCGGCGACATTGCACCTCGTCTGTTGCGTGAGCTTGGCTGTGAGGTCATTGAGCTGTATTGCGAAATCGACGGCGATTTTCCCAATCATCACCCAGACCCTGCTGAGCCTGAAAACCTGGAAGATCTGCGCACCGTTGTGCAGGCTGAGAAAGCTGACCTGGGGCTTGCCTTCGACGGCGATGGTGACCGCCTGGGTGTGGTGACCAACAGCGGCGAAATCATCTGGCCTGACAAGTTGATTATGCTGTTCGCGCAAGACATCGTGAGCCGAAATCCAGGCGCAGACATCATTTATGATGTGAAGTGTTCACGTCACCTGAACAATATCATCAGCGAGTTGGGTGGACGCCCAATCATGTGGAAGACGGGCCACTCCCACATGAAAGCCAAAATTAAAGAAACCGGTGCGTTGCTGGCTGGTGAATTCAGCGGCCACATCTGTTTTGGTGAGCGCTGGTACGGTTTTGACGACGCGCTTTATTCCGCCGTGCGCCTTCTGGAAATTCTGAGCACCGATGGCCGTACAGCGGACGAGATTTTCGCTCAATTTCCGGTTACCTTCACAACGCCGGAAATCAAGATCACCACCACCGAGTCTGAAAAATTTGAGATTATGGAAAAACTCTCAGCCGGCGCAGACTGGGGTGACGGCACCATCACCACCATTGACGGCATTCGCGTCGACTACGCTGACGGTTGGGGCCTGATCCGACCATCCAATACCAGTCCAGTGCTGTCGTTACGCTTTGAAGCTGATGGGCCCGGTGCGCTGGACAGAATTCAGGATGAGTTCCAACTACAACTGACTCAGATCGAACCTAACCTTTCTTTTCGTTAGGCCATAAAAGCACATGATCGAACAAGACGCCGAACGTGTTTCACAGGTACTGACCGAGGCTCTACCTTACATACAACAGTTCCAGGGACACACAATTGTCATCAAATATGGCGGCAATGCCATGACCGATGAATCGCTCAAGCAGTCTTTTGCGCGAGATGTTGTGCTCTTGAAACTGGTGGGCATCAATCCGGTAATCGTACATGGTGGCGGGCCACAGATTGGCACTTTGCTGAAAAAGCTGAACATAGAATCGCGCTTTGTGAATGGCATGCGTGTAACTGATGCCGCGACCATGGACGTGGTGCAGATGGTTCTGGGGGGGTTGGTTAACCAGGAAATTGTTGCGCTGCTGAATACCAATGGTGGCCATGCCGTTGGTATCACCGGCAAAGACGGTGATCTGATACGGGCAAAAAAACTCGCCATGCCGCCCAACCTGAACGCGCCGGAAATTATTGATATCGGCCACGTTGGCGAAATCACCAAAGTAGATACCAGCATTCTGACGACCCTGACAGCGTCAAATTTCATTCCCGTCATTGCACCCATCGGCATTGGTGCCGAGGGTGAGTCTTACAACATCAATGCGGATATTGTCGCAGGCAGCATCGCTCAGAGTTTGCGCGCCGAAAAGCTGCTGTTACTGACCAACACACCAGGCATCCTGGATGCAGACAAGAAAACGATCAGCGCGATAAACGCATCCGGCATTGCCAAGCTGATTGATGAAAACATTATTAACGAAGGCATGTTACCCAAGGTCCAATGTGCACTGGATGCAGTAGCGGCCGGCGTGCAAAGCGTACAAATTGTAGATGGTCGTGTACCGCACGCCCTGTTGCTGGAAGTTTTCACAGCCAGCGGCGTTGGCACACAGATTGTTTCGGATGAGACAAGTACGGCATGAGCAAAACCAATCGGCGACAACAGATACTTGAAGCGTTGGCGCTTATGTTACAAGAGCATCCCGGTGACAGGATTACAACAGCCCGCTTAGCGGCACAGGTCGGTGTATCCGAAGCTGCCCTGTATCGACACTTTCCAAGCAAAGCGAAAATGCTCGAGAGCCTCATCATTTACGCAGAAGAAACCCTGTTTTCTCGAATCAAATTGATCCTTAGTGAGCAAAAACAAGGCCCCGCACGGTGTCGCAACGTTATCTACCTGCTGCTGAGTTTCATTGAGCGCAATCCAGGTTTTGCCCGCTTGTTTGCAGGTGATGCACTCCAGGGCGAAACCGAACGACTTCGCGGGCGTGTCAATCAGCTGTTAAACCGTCTTGAGACTCAGTTGCGACAAGTGCTGCGAGAACACAATGCAACGTTGACAGAAATGCCAACGATTCAAATCAACGCCAGTGCCAACTTGCTGCTGGCGTTTGCAGAAGGCCGCATTCTCCAGTTTGTTCGTTCTGAGTTTACTGAAATGCCCACCCGGGATTGGGAAGGGCAATGGGAAATGCTGCACTACACGCTGTTCGAAAGATAACTACGCCAGCAATGGCCCTATTGCGCGAGCCTGAAGCCAATGCCCGGGAGCGACTATTCAGTTACCTTGGCGTCTCTATCCGGTAAGCCATTTTCACAGCTACGCAGCACAAAAACTTTTCGGTCGAAGGCAAACATGTTGCGCAACTCAAGCTTTTCCGCGAACCGCATCTGGATTTCATCGGACAGGGTCTTCTCCTGAGTTTTTGCACGCTCAATCTGATCTAACAGAGAATTAGGTATGGTGCCGCCACCGATATCAATCTGCGCCGCCTGGGCTTCCAGATCCTCGCGTTGACCTCTGACCACAGCTAGATTCGCGCGGATGTTGGCAATCGCTTCATCGATGGATTCAAGACCCTGCACTTCCGCGTAATCAATATCCGCTCCAGCCTGATAAAGCTTACGCACTCGATCCAGGGTTTTTTCGCACTCACGGATCATCGCCTCGCGCTCAAGTTTGCGCTGATAGGCTTCGTCGCTGAGTTGGGGGTCGACACGCTGAATCAGATTGCCGTGGGCATCTACCAGATCATATCCAAAGCGCACGCGATCTGCGGGTATGGTGGTGGAAAACACCAACGCACCAGATTCATCCCTAAAACGGAAAAAGTCGGCAAAGGCGCTGACACTGACAAGCGTCAGCAACAACGCGCTTACTATTTTCGAGGCTTTAAGGTTAATCATTAGGTTCCTTTTCATTCTGCATGCCCTCACGCCACACAATACCGTGCCTGATACTCGCGCATCTGAGCCAGCGTATTCGATGCAGCCATCTTGTCCGACACGGCAAGATAGCCTACTAGGTCAGACATTTTTGCGATACTGATCACAGGTGCACCGAGGTCTTCAGCCAATGCCGCAACCGCGGTAGTCTGCAGCGCTTTGGGTTGATCCACATCAATCACTTCCTCGCGATCCATGGCAATCACCGCCCCACTGATCTGAGCCCCGGTGGCGCTGATGAGATCCACGGCGCTGCGAATGGCTTTACCTGAGGTCAGGACGTCATCTACCAGTAAAACCCTGCCGGTGACCGGCGCGCCCACCAGCATGCCGCCCTCTCCATGGTCTTTCGCTTCCTTACGATTGAACGCCACGCCGACGTTTTTGCCCTTTTGGGATAACGCTATCGCCGTGGCAACCGCAATTGGAATGCCTTTGTAGGCCGGTCCGAACAGCACATCAAAATCCAGACCTGCGGCCAGAATCGCGTCAGCATACGCTTGTCCGAGTTGAGCAAACGCTGCACCGTCACTGACACTGCCCATATTGAAAAAGTAGGGGCTGATGCGTCCGGAATTAAGCGTGAATTCACCAAATTTCAGGACATTCTGAGCCAACATGAATTCTATGAAGGCTTGTTTGTCGAGCACACCGGCAGACATTACTTGGCCTCCTGCAGTGCCGCCTTCTGCAGTTCGATCAGTTCGGCGGTACCGGATTCGGCCAGGGCTATTAATTGCGCAAGCTCAGCACCGGAAAATGGCGCCGCTTCTGCGGTACCCTGAATTTCAATGAATCCACCACCTTCCATGCGCACCACGTTCATATCCGTCTCTGCATTTGAGTCTTCTGCATAGTCTAAATCCAAAACGGGCGTACCTTTATAAATACCTACTGATATAGATGCCACAAACTCCTTGAACGCGCCCTGAACGGGCAAAGTACCGATCGCTTCTGCCAGGGCCAGGGCGCCGCCTGTAATGGAGGCCGTGCGCGTGCCGCCGTCCGCCTGCAGGACGTCACAATCCACGCGTATGGTGCGCTCACCGAGCGCCTGCATATCCACCATCGCCCGCAACGAGCGTCCGATCAGGCGCTGAATCTCTACCGTTCTGCCCGTTTGTTTGCCACGCGCGGCTTCACGATCATTACGAGTGTGTGTCGCGCCTGGTAACATGCCGTATTCGGCGGTCACCCATCCGACGCCACGACCCCGCATGAAACCGGGTACCGATTCTTCTACCGCCGCTGTACACAACACTTTGGTGTCACCAAACTCAACCAGAACTGATCCGGCTGCGTGTTTGGTATAGCCTCGGGTAAACTTCACGTTGCGCATCTCATCTGCTGCTCGACCACTTGGACGCATAATGTCTCCTTGTTTTGCGCACATTATAAGTGGACGCGTTAGAATCACACCTTTAGTTGCGTGCTAGGGAATAATAACAATGATGTACAGCATGACCGCGTTTGCACGCGCCGCTGTCGATGCCCACGGTCGACACCTGGTGTGGGAAATCCGCTCGGTAAATCATCGCTTTCTGGAGACGCACTTTCGTATTCCTGAGTCACTGCGGGGCATTGAACACCCACTGCGTGAATTGGCCAGGAAACATCTCAAACGCGGTAAGGTCGATTGCACCCTGCGCCTGGAAGCAGGGGCCAGCGAAAGCAAAGTCACCATCAATCGCCCTGTACTGATGCAACTGTTGGCCGCTGTAGAGCAGGTTCGCCGGGATGCACCTGAAATTGGCTCGGTGACCCCTATTGAATTGATGCGCTGGCCTGGGGTGTTGGACGATACACCGGTAGAAGAAAGCCTGCTGGAAGAAACCGCCAGCCAACTGTTTGAGCAGGCCCTCACCGACCTGATCAGTGCCAGAGCGCGCGAAGGCGCCCAACTGCAACAGACCATCTGTGAGCGTCTGGATCATATTGATGCGTTGCTCAAAGTGCTCAAGCCCCAGGTATCGCAGATTGCGTTGCAACAGAAAGCCAAATTGCTGCAACGCATTGAAGATCTGCAGGTCAACCTGGATCCCGGCAGGCTGGAGCAGGAAGTTGCGCTGCTGGCGCAGCGGGCGGACGTCGCCGAAGAGCTTGATCGGCTGGCAATCCACGTGGAAGAAGCCCGCAGCAACGCCCTGGGTGCGGGTCCTCACGGCAGGCGTCTGGATTTTCTGACCCAGGAACTGAACCGCGAAGCCAATACCCTGGGGGCAAAGTCCATCATGCCGGAAACCTCCCAGCGCGCCGTGGACCTCAAAGTCATCATCGAACAGATCAGAGAACAGGTGCAGAACATAGAATGAAGCCCAATTCAGACACCAACCACGGGCAGCTCTATCTGGTGGCTGCCCCCTCCGGCGCCGGCAAAACATCTCTGGTCCACGCCGCTTTGGAAAGCGATCCTCAACTGGTGGTTTGTATCTCACACACCACCCGCGAGCGTCGTAGCTCTGAAACTGACGGCGTGAATTATCATTTTGTAACCCAACCAACCTTTACGCAGATGATTGCTGAAGAGCAGTTTCTCGAATATGCAGAAGTATTCGGACAACACTATGGCACCTCTAAAAAGCAGGTGGACACCCTGTTAGCTGAAGGTAAAGACGTCATTCTCGAGATAGATTGGCAGGGGGCTGAACAGGTTCGCCGGCTGGTACCCGATGTAATTGGCATCTTCATTTTACCACCCAGTGTTGAGGTACTCGCCGAGCGCCTGGCCAGTCGCGGACAGGACAGTCAGAAAAGCATGGAAACGCGCCTGGGACAGGCCGAATTAGAAATGTCGAAAGCGCCTAATTTTGACTACATCCTGGTAAACGATGATTTCGATGAGACACTAGCCGATCTTCTGTGTGTATTTCGGGCCCTGCGCCTGCGTAAAGACCGCCAGATAGCCGGTAATCCGGCGATTCAGCACATCTTGTCAGATAGTTAAGAGCGCTGTAGACTTCGCGCCCCGTTTCCATTACCCGCGTTGAGGCGAGAACACTATGGCTAGAGTAACTGTTGAGGACTGTCTGGATCATGTAGACAACCGCTTTGATCTTGTCATGCTGGCTACCCGCCGCGCACGCAGCTTACGTACCTACGGGAACGAACCGCTTGTTCCAGAAGAAAACGACAAAGCCACGGTCATCGCTTTGCGAGAGATTGCCGAGGGTCTGATCTCCCATGAAATGCTTGACAGTCAGGAAGTGTCCCAAGAGGATGAAGACGTAGAAGTCAGCTTCGACTTCAGTCAAAGCTTCAGGGAGAACAGGATAGGAGATGACGAGCCAGGTTAGGCCCGAGTCCACCACTCAATCATATTTTGTCAGGCAGCTGGAAGAGGCTGCTAAACGCCCCGAAGTTGCCGCACCAGCGACCATCGTGTCGCTGACCAAACGCATTTCCTACCTGACACCTGAACAGATCGCAGATGTGCGACGCGCTCACGCCTATGCGCAAACCGCCCACAAAGGTCAGTGGCGGCGCACCGGTCACCCCTACATTACGCACCCAACGGCGGTCGCACAGATCCTTGCTGAAATGCGTATGGATCACCAAACCCTGATGGCGGCGCTGCTGCACGATGTCATCGAAGACTCGGACGCCAACAAGTCAACGCTACGGGACGAGTTTGGCCGCGCGGTTGCGGAGATTGTCGACGGCGTTTCCAAACTGACCAAGATCTTCTCGTCTCGCGCAGAAGCGCAGGCAGAGAACTTTCAGAAAATGGCGCTGGCCATGGCAAAAGACATTCGCGTGATCATGGTGAAAATGGCGGACCGGCTGCATAACATGCGCACCATTGGTGTCATGTCAGCCCAGCAGCGCAAGCGCATCGCCAGAGAGACGCTGGATTTTTATGCCCCCATCGCCAATCGTCTGGGCATCAACACGATAAAGATGGAACTCGAAGAGCTCGGCTTCAAAGCGTTATACCCGCTGCGCGCTGATCGCATTGAACGAGCGGTGGCAAGCGCCCGCGGCAATCGCAAAGAATTAATGGAAGAGATAGCTTCCACCATGACCGCCGCGCTGAATCGCGATGGCATCGACGCAAAAGTCATCAGCCGTGAAAAACACCTGTATTCCATTTATCGGAAAATGAAAAGCCAGCAGAAATCGTTTAATGAAATCATGGACGTATTCGGCTTCAGGATTGTGGTTGACCGTGTGGATGCCTGTTACCGAACCCTGGGCGTAGTTCACAATCTGTTCAGCCCTGTTGCAGGTCGATTCAAAGACTATATTGCCATTCCAAAAGCTAACGGTTATCAGTCTCTGCATACTTCTTTATTTGGTATGCATGGCGTGCCCATCGAAGTACAGATCCGCACCAAACAAATGGAAGCCGTTGCTGAAACAGGCATTGCCGGCCACTGGCTGTATAAGTCTGGAGAAAGCGACTTTGAACCCAGCCAGCGCCGTGCCCGTCAATGGGCTCAGGATCTGCTGGAATTGCAAAGGCAGGCGGGCAATCCATTGGAGTTTATCGAAAGCCTGAAGCTCGATTTGTTTCCCGACGAAGTTTACGTATTTACACCCAAGGGTGAAATCATGGAACTGCCCAGTGGCGCGTGTCCCATCGATTTTGCCTACATGGTGCATACAGATATCGGCAACAGCTGCGTGGCATGCCGTATCGATCGCAATCTGGCGCCCCTGTCGCAACAGCTTCAAAGCGGCCAGAGTGTTGAAATCATCACCTCTACCGATGCGCGGGTAAATCCTGACTGGCTGACTTTTGTGGTGACCTCCCGGGCACGCTCAGCCATTCGTGTCGCGCTGAAACAACAGCAGAGCGGCGAGTCCATCGCTCTCGGCCGAAAGCTGCTGAACCGCGCCCTGGGCAACGCCAACATGAGCATCAACGACCTCGACTTCAGGCGTCTGCGCAAAGTATTCACCGATATGGGGGTGCGCAAACTGAATGACTTGTTAACTGCCATCGGCAACGGTGAGTTAATGGCCTATGTCGCAGCACAGAAACTGCTGGCAGCTGACAACCCGGACTATGAAGCCGTCACCGTTGAAGGCGGCGGGCCGGTATCCATTCGCGGCGGCGAAGGTCTGGTCATTCACTACGGCCGTTGCTGCGGACCGGTCCCGGGCGATCAGATCGTAGGCCATATGACACCCGGCAAAGGTTTTGTGGTACACATCGAAACCTGCGCCAACATAAGCGAGATCAGACGCCGTGCGGCGCGCGAAATAATTCCGGCAAGGTGGGAAAAGGTCACCGAGGGTGAGTTCCGAACCACTTTGGTTCTCAACGTCAATCGGCGTAAAGGCATCCTGGCTGAAGTCGCCGCGGAAGTATCCGCAGCTGATGCCGGCGTTGAAAACATCAGCGTGGAAGAACGTAACGCTGAGATCAGTACCCTGGCAATCGGCATCACGGTAAAAAACCGCTCACATCTGGCGCGGGTCATGCGCCGTTTGCACAATGTTCAGGCGGTTATCAATCTATCACGCCTGGGCCACTGAGGAGCCGCAATGAATAACAAACCAGTTCACACCGATGCCGCACCGGCAGCCATCGGTACTTACTCTCAAGCGGTTGCAACCAGCGCGACTCACACTGTATATATTTCAGGGCAGATTCCACTCGATCCGAGCACCATGGATGTCGTCAGCGAGCACTTTAAACCTCAAGCTGAACAGGTATTTAGAAACCTGGCGGCAATCTGCCAGGCCGCCGACGGCAGTCTTTCCGACTGCGTGAAATTAACTATCTATCTCACGGATCTTGGCAATTTCGCAGAGGTGAACGAGGTGATGGCCAGCTTTTTTGACGCCCCTTATCCTGCCCGTGCTGCCATTGAAGTCAGCGCCTTGCCAAAAGGTGTCAGTATAGAAATTGACGCCATCATGACCCTGGGGTGAACGTCGATCCCAGCGCTGGTATCCATCAACTTAAGGGGGTGGGTCCAAAGCTAGAAGCCACCCTGGCCAAGCTCGGCATCTTTCGTCTGCTTGATCTGCTGTTGCACCTGCCCAGCCGGTATCAGGACCGCTCCAAAATTACACCCATTGCCAGCATTGCACCGGGTGAGGAATGTCTGATCGAAGGATCGGTTGTTGCCTCCAATATACAATTTGGTAAGCGCCGCAGTTTAAAAGTCACCATAAGAGACGACAGCGGTGAAGTTCAGTTGCGTTTTTTTCATTTTTCCAGATATCAGCAAACAGCTCTGGAACAGGCTCAGTCGCTGCGAGTTTATGGAGAATTCCGCTTTTTCGGGCGCGAACTGACCGCGGTGCATCCGGACTACGAAGTGTTTGACCATGACCCGCCGCCGCTGAGTCAGACCCTGACACCTATCTATCCAACCACAGCGGGATTGGGCCAGGGTCGGTTACGCAATCTGATAGCCAGTTTGTGCAGGCTCGAGTGGCCGGATATCGCCGGCACGCCGTTCAGCAAACTGCAGTTTTTACATCAGCCGCCAGCGGGCACCGCGTTACACGAAATTGAGGCGGTGCAGGAAGATATTGCTTTTGATGAGTTGTGTGCCTACTACCTGGTGATGAAAGGTCGTGCACTCAAGCGCCAGCAGGAGAGCGCCATTGCATTGGGCCAGGCAACCGGTCTCGGTCGTATGCTGCTGCAGAACCTGGGTTTCCGGCTCACCAGAGCGCAGGCAAAGGTGGTCAAAGAAGTATTAACCGATCTGGAAAAGCCGGTGCCCATGCTACGTCTGGTACAGGGCGATGTAGGCTCAGGCAAGACAGTTATAGCGGCGTTTGCGGCGATACGCGCAGCAGAACACAACAGCCAGACCGCTTTGATGGCACCTACTGAGCTGCTCGCAGAACAACATTATTTGAATTTTTCCGCCTGGCTGTCACCGCTGAACATACGTGTTGTGCTGTTAACCGGGCAGCTTCCAGCGAAAGTGCAGAAAGAGCGGCTGGCTGACATTGCGTCCGGTGATGCCCAGGTGGTCATCGGCACACACGCCCTGTTTCAACGCGCGGTGACATTTGACCGGCTGGCCCTTTCGATCATTGATGAGCAGCATCGGTTTGGCGTGCATCAACGTATGGCGCTGCAGAACAAAGCTGCAAACGGCAGACAACCACACCAGCTGGTCATGACCGCGACCCCTATACCACGCACCTTAACCATGGCGTTGTATGCGGATATGGACGTTTCCGTCATCGATGAACTACCCAAGGGGCGCCAACCCATCACAACCCACACCGTTGAGGCGAGCAAACGCGGCCAGGTTGTGGAGCAGGTGGCCAGAGCCTTAAGCCAGGGACAGCAGGCATATTGGGTGTGTACGTTGATCGAAGATTCGGATGACCTGGACGCAGTTTCTGCCGAACACATGTATCAGGCCCTGACCGAAGCTTTACCCGCATTTCGTGTCGGGCTGCTGCACGGGCGGATGAAAAGCGATGAAAAAATTTCTGTCATGCAGGCCTTTAAAGCTCACCAACTTAACCTGCTGGTGGCCACCACTGTAGTTGAAGTGGGTGTCGATGTGCCGAATGCAACGCTGATGGTGATGGAAGATGCAGACCGCCTGGGTCTGGCTCAACTGCACCAGCTCAGAGGCCGGGTAGGGCGCGGCAGCCTGGCCAGCCACTGTTATCTGCTGTTCAGCCAGGGATTAAGCAAAGCTGCTAAAACCCGTTTAACCGCCATGCGTGAAAGCCAGGACGGATTCTATCTGGCAGAACAGGACCTCAAACTGCGCGGTCCTGGCGATATTCTTGGGACACGACAGGCCGGTGAACAGAGCTTTCGTGTTGCTGACCTGGGTTTACATGCTCATCTGATGCCCAGGGTAATCCGCAGTTGTGATGCGCTTCTGCAGGCGTCTGCCGGTTCATCCGACGCCGAAAAAATGACGCAGCTGCTCGCTGCCTGGGCACCGGCTGACTCCGGACATCTCAACGTGTGAACCAGGTCCGCTAACTCGTCTACTGCGCGAAGCCAGCTTTCCTATACTTAAACTGAGCCTTCACGAATCGAGTATATGGACACACCTGTAGATCAAATGCCCCTGTATCCAAACCCTCCTGGTGAACAACGCGTACGCGCGTTGTTCTGCAGCGACAACAAAGGTCAGATACAGGTGGTCGCGCCGGAAATTGCCCTGGTGGATCCGGAACCTATCCGAGTCAGCACCGCACGGGACGTACGCCACGTACCCCAGGCGGAGAACGCCAGCGTGTGCGCTATTCCGGGTTTCTACGGCTTCCCGTCGATTGTCGACAGTCAGCTTAAAGAGAAATCTGTCATTGCTCTGGCTACAGAAGTGCCCGGGCAATACGTGAGAGCCACTGGCGCTCAACTACATCAGATGTGCCTGAATCACGCATCATTTGAAACCCAGTTCACCAGCGCTCTGACGGGCACACCGGCTAATAGAGAACAGGATCAACAGGACATCGAGCGGGCGGTGCTTTCTTTTACCGCCAGACGCATAGAAGCGCGCCTGGACGAAACTCTGGCGATACCGCCTTTACCGGAAACCGCCCAACGGATTATCGCGCTGGCGGAAGACCCGATGTTTGATCTGAACGATATCGTGACGATCATTGAGTCTGATCCGGCCATTGCAGCGCGCATAATGGGTTGGGCCAATTCAGCTTTCTATGGCACACCAACGCCCTCAAAAACATTAAACGACGCCATCATGCGTGTGCTCGGTTTTGACATGGTATTTAACATGGCTCTGGGCATGGCCATCGGCGACAGCCTCAACCTGCCGGAAAGTCATGTCTCAGGCGCCAGCCCTTACTGGCTGGACGCGGTGTATAGCGCCGCAACCGTTGAAGCGCTGTCCAGACAAGCGGCTAAAGACAAGCAGATCAATCCGGGCACAGCCTATCTGACGGGATTACTGAGTAACTTTGGCACCCTGGTTGTGGGGCACGTGTTTCCACCTCAATATGCCAGTATTTGCCGTATCCAGGAAGCTAATCCATCCATTGGCTACCCCGAAATTGACCAGCACGTATTACACGTCAATCGCGAAGTTCTGGCCGCAACCCTGCTTGAGCTTTGGGATCTGCCTGAAGAAATCACCACCGCCGTTCGTTTTCAGAATGTGGGCGGGTACGTCGGAGAGCATCAGGACCATGTCGCGTTGCTGCGATTGGCCCAGGATCTGCTTTGTTATGGACCCGATGGGCTGCATGAAGATTCGCTGGCTACTGCCACGCAGATGGGCATCAGTGAACTGAGTATTTCTGAAGTTGCCGAAGTGATTCTGTCTGCCCAGAATGAGCTCAGCGATCTGGCCTTCTCACTGGGACAGTGACCCTCAGGGGAGTTGGCCAGCCTGCTTAGTGCGGGTCTGGCTCGACTACCCAACCCGCTTCCGGGTCATGAAATACATCAAGATCAAGTTCACCTTCACTCTTGGCAACAATTGTGGCGACCGCTCCGTCGCCGGTGACATTCACCGCGGTGCGCATCATATCTAACAGACGATCAACACCGATAATCAGGCCTATACCTTCAAGCGGCAAACCCACCTGACCCAACACCATCGCCAGCATGATCAGGCCAACACCAGGTACCGCAGCGGTACCAATAGAGGCCAGCGTTGCGGTCAGAATCACCATCAATAGTTGCTCAGGACCCAGGGCATATCCATAAAACTGGGCAATAAACACCGTCGCGACACCCTGCATGATGGCGGTGCCATCCATATTAATAGTGGCGCCCAGCGGTACCGCAAAAGACGCAACGTTGTTACTGACACCCACACGCTTTTCCACAGTACGCAACGTCACTGGCAGAGTTGCGCCACTGGATGAGCTGGAGAATGCAACCAACATCGGCTCGCGCATTTTTTTCAGATAAGTGATTGGGTTGAGGCCGGCGAGGAAGCGCAACAGTGCCGGGTAGACCAGGGTCATGTGCAGCAGCAGGGCCAATACAACTGTTAAGAAATAAGCGAGGAGCTTGGTGATTTCGTTCAAGCCCACGGTGACACCCAGAGTGACCATGAGGCAGAACACCCCGTAGGGGGCCAGTTGGATCAGCATGGTCACCAGCTTCATGATAATGCTGTTGAGATCGTTGAACACCGCCAGCACTCTGGCACCAGCTTCACCGGTTTTGCTCATCGCCAGGCCTAACAATACGGCAAACGCAATCACCTGGAGCATCTTGCCCTCGGCCATAGCGGTGATCGGATTACTGGGAATGATGTTAACCAGCGTATCTTTAATGCTGGGCGCTTCATCGGCAACAAAACCTGTGACTTCCGCCACGCCCTGGTCACTGGCGCTCAGGCCTGGATTGATAATAAGGGCCAGGCTCAGCGCAAGGGTCACCGCAGCCGCGGTGGTTATCAGATACAGTCCAATCGTCTTACCACCAAGCCGGCCTACTTTACCTGTTGCGCCAAGGCTGGCTGCACCACAGGTCAACGACACCAGTACCAGAGGTACAACCATCATTTTTAACAGGGTAATAAAAAGATCACCGCCGGCGTCAATCAGGCCGAAGGTAAAATATGTACTGATGAAGTGGTCGTCCGGCAGACTCAACCATTGCAGGAAAGCACCCAGCAGCAGCCCCGTACCCATACCTATCAAAATGCGTGAAGTCAGGTTCATATGGTCGCTCCGCGGGTGTTTAGACGAGTAGTCAGCGAGCAGATGCGATCAAACGCGAACATCACGTTTTGATCGCAACACTGGGTTACCCCACTTCTATCATTTCGAAGTCTTCTTTGCTAACCCCACACTCAGGACAGACAAAATCTTCGGGTACATTTTCCCAGGCAGTGCCCGGTGCAATACTTTCTTCTTCACAGCCTTCGGCTTCATCATAGATCCAGCCACAGACAATACATTGCCACTTCTTCATGGACGCTTCTTTAGCTCCGGCTACAGGTTTCACAAGGCGCAGTAAACTACTTGCTAGCCCTGCAAAAATCAATGCGCGGCAGGCATTGCCCTACCTGACAGCCTCTGATGTCCCTCGCAATAGATTGGCGAGGTACCCTCGCAATAGATTGGCGAGGTACCCTCGCAATAGATTGCGAGGGGGGAAAGATCTACACTCGCGGTTAGTTTTTTACCCATACACCCGGAAGATGCTGTCGATTAACCTGCGGGACTATCTCAAACTCATGCGCCTCGACCGTCCGGTCGGCAGCCTGCTGCTGCTGTGGCCAACTCTGGCTGCGCTGTGGATGGCCGCCGGAGGCGTACCGCCGGTTTCGTTGATCATTATCTTTACCCTTGGCACATTTCTTATGCGCTCCGCGGGTTGCGTCATTAACGACTATGCGGACAGACATGTTGACGGGCAGGTGAAACGTACCCAGGACCGTCCTTTAGCAACTGGTCAGATCAGACATCGAGACGCGTTGCTGCTGTTTACCGGCTTATGTCTGGCTGCCGGGCTGCTGGTGTTATTCCTTAATCGAGCAACGCAACTGCTTGCCGTCGGCGGTTTACTGGTCGCTGCCGCTTATCCGTTCATGAAAAGATGGACCCATCTGCCTCAGGTTGTGCTGGGTATCGCATTCAGCTGGGGCATCCTGATGGCCTGGACCGCCACCGATCGGGGGCTCACCAATACTGCTGGCGTCATGTTTGTCGGCAGCCTGTTATGGATTGTGGCCTACGATACGATGTACGCGATGGTGGACCGGGACGATGACCTGAAAGTGGGCATAAAAAGCACCGCCATTCTGTTTGGCGATCTTGATCGCATCATGATCGGCATTCTGCAGATCAGCGCGCTCATGTCGTTTATACTGGCGGGTCTGCAGCTGGGTTACCAACATTTTTACTATGTTGGGCTGCTGGTTTGCGCGGCGCTGTTTGGATATCAGCAATATCTTATTCGTAACCGCGAAAGGGAGGCGTGTTTTACGGCCTTCAAAAACAACATCAGCGCTGGTTTTGCGTTGTTCGCAGGTACCGTTGTCGAGCTGGTCGTACACCAGCCGGGCTTGTAGATACACGGTGCTGTTCCTGATACGCGCCATAGACGGGCTGAACCAACGTGTCGCGCAGGCAATCCGCTGGCTGGCGCTGTTTATGGTCCTCATCACCGTCACTATTGTTGTATTACGGTACCTGTTTGGCGTGGGTGCTATTTTTCTGCAGGAGAGTGTCATGTACATGCACGGCATTCTGTTCATGCTGGCTATACCCTTCACCCTCCGCGCAGATGGACATGTTCGGGTTGACCTGATTTACAGCCGGCTCAGCCAGAAACATAAAGACTGGATCGACGCCGGGGGGCATCTGCTGCTGCTGTTGCCTGTGAGTGTTTTCATATTTGTAACCAGCCTGCCTTACGTATCCGCGAGCTGGCGGGTTCTGGAAGGCAGCACCGAAGTAGGGGGCGTGCCGGCTGTATTCCTGCTGAAAACTCTAATGCCACTCATGGCGGCCCTCCTGTTTTTGCAGGGGCTCAGCGAGATTGCCAAACGCCTGCTCCCGTCTGTCGGAAAACGCTGACATGGACTACACACCTATCGCCATGTTTACAGTGACGTTTGTCGCCTTGTTGGCTGGCTATCCAGTGGCTTTGACCCTCGGTGGGGTAGCGCTGCTGTTTGCATTGGGTGGCATCCTTACCGGCGCTTTTTCCGTCGGTGATCTGGGTTTCATGCCGGGGCGTTTGTTTGGCACCATCACTAACCAGACGCTGGTGGCGGTGCCGCTGTTTGTTTTCATGGGCGTGATGCTGGAGAAAACACGTCTGGCTGAAGGTTTGCTGGAGAGCCTGTCCAGTCTGCTGCGGCGCTTTCGCGGTGGGCTTGCCATTACCGTGGTGCTGGTTGGTATGTTAATGGCTGCGAGCACCGGGATCGTGGGCGCTACGGTAGTCACTATGGGCCTGATGTCATTGCCGACCATGCTCAAACAGGGTTACCAGCCATCACTGGCCACAGGCACAATCTGCGCAACGGGCACTCTCGGGCAGATTATTCCGCCCTCCATTGCCCTGGTGCTGCTGGGTGATGTGTTATCAAACGCGTACCAACAGGCGCAATTGAACATGGGTATCTTTGCGCCAAAGGCGGTTTCTGTGGGTGACCTGTTTGCCGGCGCCCTGATGCCAGGCCTACTCCTGGTAGGGTTTTATCTGTTGTACGTGATCGGCAAAGGTTTCTTCGACCCGGATTCAATGCCGGCTGCGGCAGCCGACGACGCGCCAGACATCAATCTCATGCAAACCCTGTCCAGCCTGCTGCCACCCTTGACTCTGATTGTGGCTGTTCTGGGTTCAATCCTCGGCGGCTGGGCCACACCAACCGAAGCTGCCGGCGTCGGAGCGGTTGGTGCATTGATCCTTGCAGTAGTCTATCGGCGCTGCACAATCAAAATGCTGGGTGAAGTGTGCGATTCAACCCTCTCGACCACCGCCATGGTATTTTTCATTCTGATCGGCGCCTCTATTTTCTCGTTAGTTTTTCGCGGCTATGGTGGTGACGATCTGGTGCATACCTGGTTCGAGAACATGCCAGGGGGCATGTGGGGTGCCCTGGCAATTGTCATGCTGGCGATTTTCCTGCTGGGGTTCATCCTGGATTTCATTGAAATTACTTTTGTTGTTGTACCCATTGTCGGGCCGGTATTGCTGGCGATGGGCATAGATCCTATCTGGCTGGGCGTGCTGATTGCCGTCAATCTGCAGACTTCGTTCCTTACCCCGCCATTTGGCTTTGCACTGTTTTACCTGCGTGGGGTCACACCGCCAGAGGTACCCACTACCGCAATTTACCGCGGCGTGGTGCCTTTTATTATCATGCAGCTCCTTTTACTGGGTGTGTTACTGGCCTGGCCGTCACTCGCCACATGGCTGCCTGGCGTTATCTATGGATAGACCATTTGAATGATTTCACCAAAACCGTAACCCTCACAGACTTAACCATCTGGGATGGTGACAAGCTTATCGACGCAGATACGCTACAGTTCCACGCCGGCCACATTACCTTTGTCGGCGAACGCTCTGACGCCCATGTTTCAGATCCAGCCATCAGCTGCGCAGGGCTGACGCTCATACCCGGCCTGATCGACGCTCACGTACATCTGGAACTTAATCCTGACGAGAAAGACCCGCCAGAGAAAACACAGGCGAGTGTCATTCCGTTGATGCGTGAGCGGGCAGCTAAGATGGCCGCTGCGGGCATCACAACCGCGAGAGACCTGGGCGGCGGCGCCTGGTTCGAACTGGCTTTACGCGACGAGATTGCCGCCGGACACACAACCGGACCTCGATTGATCTGTGCCGGGCAGCCCATCACAACACCGCTTGGGCATTGCCATTTCTGGGGCGGTCATGCCGCCACCGCGGCGCAAGCGCACACGGTACTGCAGCGGCAGGTCGCCCAAGGTGTTGATCTGATCAAAATCATGGCCACCGGCGGTCGTATGACCAGAGGCAGCCAGCCTACGGATGCACAATTCTCTCAAGCCACTTTATCTGGTCTGGTTGCCTCAGCACACGCGCTTGACCTGCCTGTTGCGGCGCATTGCCACGGCACGGAAGGGATCAAACGAGCCGCTCTCGCGTGTGTCGATACCATAGAACACTGCTCATGGGTGGGGCCGGAGGGCTGGGCATCGGATTATCAGGCAGAAGTGGCCGATCTGATTCTCGACAACAACGTCTGGGTATCACCTACGGTCAACAAGGGTTGGCAGCGGATGCTCGATAATCCGTCTGGCAAGGTGCTGGGGCGCGTTCGTTCGGCCTACCAGCAGATGCTGGACAAAGGCATTCCCATGCTGGCCTCCACCGATGCAGGTATTCCTGGTGTCTACCACGCCGACTTACCCCATGCACTTCAGGTCTTTGCCGGCATAGCCCAACTGGAGCAGGCAGCCACGTTGAAAAGTGCGACGTCTGCAGCTGCATTGGGGTTAGGTATTTCCCATATCACCGGCAGCATCGAAGTGGGTAAATCTGCTGATCTGCTTATTGTTGATGGTGACCCGCTGAGCGACCTCACTGCACTCACCCGGCCCGTACATGTGTTCTGTGCCGGCCGACAGGTAACCGCCTGAACAACAGGCTATTTAAGCGACGGCCAGTCCGGTGCGCGTTTCTCCACAAAGGCGCTGATGCCTTCTGCATAGTCCGGCTCACCCATCATCTGGTTAAGCAGCGTTTCCGACTCGATGACACTGCTGGCGACATCACGATGAAGATCACGATAAATCTGCCAGCGTGTCTGCCGCAGAGAATTGGGCGAAACCGTGCTGATCATGTTCTGCACATACGCATAGGTTTCAGACATAAGAGATTCGGGTTCAAACAGAGCGTTCACAAACCCCAGCTGATAAGCCTCATCTGAGGTAAACACCCGACTGGTGAGCAGCAGGTCGTTTGCGCGACCCAGACCAACAACCTTCGGCAGCATCCAGGACAGACCGTATTCAGCCGGCAGATTCAATTTGCCATGGGCTGTGGTGAACTTCACACCCGGCACCGCAAAACGGATATCGGCAAAACAGGGTAATGCCAGACCAACCCCGGCAGCCGGACCGTTAATCGCCGCCACAACAACTTTCTGCAAACCAAAATGATAAGCAAATGCCGCATCAAATTCTTCAGCCGTGCCGTAGCCGGGACGGGCAATATCCTCGGCAGTACCCGGATCATAACCACCGCGTGCGGAATGGCCCTGCAAAGCCTCTGAATCGCCGCCAACACAGAATCCACGGCCTTTACCACTGACCACAATGGCCTGCACCTTATGATCATCGTTGGCCCTGGCCAGCAGATGCCGATACTCCGTATGCAGACGACCGGTCCAGGCGTTCATGCGATGGGGGCGATCCAGCCAGATTGTGGCGATTCCGTCATGAACTTCGTATTGTGTATTTTTGAGTTCCATATCGGTTACCGCATATTCAAGTAGGCTTTTTCACTGATCTCGTGATAGGCGCGCACATCTTCAAGAAACCCCGTGTAGGAATCATAGATGCGTCTGGATAGTTCGTTTTCATCAGCAGCTTCCGCGACAACGTCTTTAGCGGCTGCACGTAAGGCCGCGATGACATCGTCAGGTAGCGCGCGTAATTCCACACCGTGCTCGTTGATCAAAGTCTGCAGTGCACTGTTGTTGCGCGCGGTAAACTCACTGAGCATATCTTCATTAATGGCCCGCGAGGCGGTCTCAATCATCGCCTGCAGGTCAGGGGGCAGACTGTTCCAGGCGTCTTTGTTGATAATCGCTTCCAATGTCGGGCCAGGTTCATGCCAGCCTGGATAATAATAATATTTAGCTACCGTATGCAGCGCCAGAGCCAGGTCGTTGTACGGCCCAACCCATTCCGTGGCATCTATAACACCAGTCTGCAGGTTGGTGAACACTTCATTGCCTGGAAGTGATACCGGCACTCCACCGGCACGCTTGAGTACTTCACCGCCAAGACCGGGGATGCGCATTTTCAGACCCTGCAGATCGGCCACACTGTTTATTTCTTTGTTAAACCAGCCCGCCATCTGAACGCCGGAATTACCCGCAGCAATGGGGTACAGATTGAAAGGTTCATACAGCTCGCGCCACAGTTCCAGACCACCGCCATAGTGCAGCCAGCCATTCATCTCCTGGGCATTCATGCCAAACGGTACGGTGGCAAACATTGCAGCTATTGGGATTTTGCCGCGCCAGTAGTACGCCGCACCATGACCCATTTCAGCTGTACCCTGGGATACTGCATCAAAGACTTCAAATGCGCCGACCAGTTCACCTGCACCGTAAACTTTAATGTCGAGGCGGCCGTTGCTCATGACACGAAGGTTTTCCGCCATACGTTCTGGCGCCATGCCAAGGCCTGGCAGATTTTTTGGCCAGGTTGTGATGAGCTTCCAGCGATAGACCTTCTGGGTATTCGCCGCAGCGCCTTCAGCCCCCGCAGACACACTCGACGTATTCGGGCCACAGCCCGTCAGCAGCATGGCCGCGATGAGGCCGAATAGATATAAACCAGACTTTTTCATCACTTATCTCTTTTCCATATTGTTTGCTTAATCCAGCGGCTGCAGGTTGGCGTAACCCACCATCAGCCATTTGGAACCCACCTCGGGGAAGTTAACTTCAATTTTGGCGCGGTCACCGCCGCCTTCAATCTGCAGAATCACACCCTCGCCATATTTCCCATGCGCAACACGCTGGCCCATGCGAAAGCCCAGCTCATGGGTTTCTTGAAAGAGGCTGCTTGAACCGGTGCTGCTAGGGGTACCGTACGGCCGTTGCACCGCACCATTCATGCGCACCTCCGCAATCAGGTGCTGGGGTATTTCCATCAAAAAACGGCTGGGGCGATTGTAGCTGTCCTGGCCATGCAGGCGGCGGGACTCTGCGTAGGTCAGATAGAGTTGTGTCATGGCGCGGGTGATACCTACATAAGCCAGTCGCCGTTCTTCTTCGAGACGACCCGGCTCCTCGGCAGACATGCGATGTGGGAATAGCCCTTCTTCCATGCCGCCCAAAAACACCAGCGGAAACTCCAGCCCTTTTGCAGAATGCAGCGTCATCATCTGCACACACGGACCCTGCTGGGACTGCCGATCGCCGGCATCCAGGGCAACCTGATCAAGGAATTCTTTCAGCTCTGAGACTTCAGCCTGGTCACTGTCTGCTAACGGAAACAGTGTCTCGCCGGAAAACTGGCGACAGGCACTGACCAGTTCCTCGAGGTTCTCTTTACGCGCAAGACCACGTTCTCCACGCTCCTGCCGGTGATAGGTCATCAGTCCGCTGGCATCAATACAGTGGTCGGCCAGTTCGTGCATTGGCATGGTAGCCACCGCGTCACTCATATCGTTGATGAGCGCGATGAAGCCACCTAACGTGGTCTGCACACGGCCTTTGAAGGCACCGGATGCAATGCCCTCTTTACAGGCCTGCCAGAGAGACACACGATGATCGCGGGCATATTGGCGCACGGCCTCTATAGACTTTTCTCCAATACCTCGCGGCGGCGTATTAACCACACGCTCAAAAGCAGTGTCTGAATGTGGATCTTCCATCAAACGCATATAGGCCAGCGCGTTCTTGATTTCTGCACGCTCAAAGAACCGCTGGCCACCATAGATCTGATAGGCAATATTGGCCCGCAACATGGCTTCTTCTATAACCCGCGATTGCGCATTAGAGCGATACAACACGGCAACCTCGTCTGCGCTGCCGCCTTCTTCCAACCATTGCTGGGTGGTCTCAACAATAAATCGCGCCTCGTCTAAATCGTTGTACCCGGAGTAAACACGAATAGGCTCACCGACGGGCCCATCGGACCAGAGCTGTTTGCCCAGACGATCCGTATTACGCTGAATCAGACCATTGGCGGCGTCCAGAATGTTTTGCGTAGAGCGATAGTTCTGCTCCAGGCGAACGGTTGTGACATCTTCAAAATCAGCCGAATACTTATGGATATTTTCAATCTTGGCGCCGCGCCAGCCGTAAATCGACTGATCGTCATCACCAACAGCCATGACGTGGGCAGCTTTTCCAGCCAGCACCCGCAGCCAGGCATATTGAATGGTATTGGTATCCTGGAATTCATCAACCAGCACATGGCTGAAGCGACCCTGGTAGTGGGCCAACAGGTCTTTATTGTTCAACCAAAGCTCATGCGAGCGCAGTAACAATTCTGCAAAGTCGACCAGACCGCCCTGGTCACACACTTCTTCATAGCTCTGATAAATACGTTTGTGCGTAATCTGAAACAGATCGTCGCTGGCAGGCACATCTTTCGCCCTTTTGCCTTCGTCTTTCTGGCCGTTGATGAACCAGACCGCCTGCCGTGCCGGCCATTTCTGTTCATCAATGTCCATACTGCGCATAACGCGCTTGACCAGGCGCAGCTGATCATCGCTGTCGAGGATCTGAAAATTCTGTGGCAGCCTGGCTTCCTGCCAGTGCATGCGTAACAGGCGATGGGCAAGGCCGTGAAAGGTCCCTACCCACATGGCACGCGCGGACATATTGAGTATTTCTTCAATCCGCAGACGCATTTCTGAGGCTGCTTTGTTGGTAAACGTCACCGCCAGAATGCCGTGGGGTGACACTCCTTCAACGTCGATCAACCAGGCAATACGATGCACCAGCACGCGGGTCTTGCCGCTGCCAGCACCCGCCACCACCAGCATATTGGCGTTAGGGGCGGAGACAGCCTGACGTTGAGCTTCATTGAGCCCATCTAAAATATGTGTGATATCCAATGGTGTTCTCTTTCGTCCTTTTCGTTAAGAGAGACTTTTCGAAAGACTTTGCAGGGGCTTTTGCACGGAACTTTGTGCCGGCATTGAAACACCAGTCTACCGTTGATGCCTGTATCGGATCTAGCCAAGGCGCTTAAGAGTTGCCATGATTCATCTCAGCAACGGCTGCAAACCAAAGAGTGTGAAGTATATGGATATGCTGACCCATAGAACGCTAATCGGACTGTTTACCCTGGTGGTGTCTTTTTCCTGCCTGACCGGGGGTCAGCAGGCCCATGCACAGGCCACGCCTGAGGCCTGGGCCAGTTGTGTCAGTGGTCTTAGACAGACTGCGTTGCAAAGCGGCATCAGCGAAGCAACCGTGAATAATGTATTTACAGATATCACCCAACTCCCCAGGGTTATCGCCAGCGATCGCTCGCAACCTGAATTCACCCAGACGTTTACCGAGTACTACAACAAACGCGTCACCGAGTTTCGCGTCTCCAAAGGCAGAAACCTGCTTGCCACCCATGCCACGTTACTGGCACGCATCCAGGAAAGAACCGGCGTGCCACCGCAGTACCTGGTGGCGTTCTGGGGGCTGGAAACCAATTTTGGCAGCTACTTCGGCAAGTTACCTATTCCCAGCGCGCTGGCCACACTTGCCTGTGACTCGCGCCGGTCCGACTTTTTCACCCGGGAATTAATGGCCACATTGGAAATCGTCGACGCTGGCGATATCGCTTCCGACGAACTGGTCGGCTCATGGGCAGGCGCCATCGGCCATATGCAGTTTATGCCCACCACATTCCTGCAACATGCCAAAGACGAAGATGGAGACGGTCGCCGGGACCTCCTCGGCAGTGTTTCTGATGCGCTTTATTCCGGCGGCAGCTACCTTGCCGATATGGGCTGGGAGCCCGGCTTCCGTTGGGGCAGGGAAGTCAGGTTGCCGGAAGGGTTCGACTACGCGCTGACCGGGTCTGACCAGTGGCGACCCTTGTCTGAGTGGGCTGAACGGGGTGTTACCGATACTGCTGGGCGTGATCTTGAGCCGATGCCGCTGCAGAGCGCCTTGCTGTTGCCCACAGGCCATACGGGGCCAGCCTTCCTCGTGTATCCGAATTTCCGCATCATCATGAAATGGAACCGCTCCGAATTTTACGCGCTGTCAGTAGGCCGACTGGCCGACCGCATTGCGGGTGCAGGCAAGCTAGCTCGGCCACTACCCAGTGTTGAGGCGACACAACTGTCCACTCAGGCACTGCTCAAATTACAGGAAAACCTTGTTGCGCTTGGATTTGAAGCAGGCACCCCGGACGGTGTCATGGGTCCGGCGACTCGCCGGGCGATACAGAATTTCCAGACAGACAATGAATATGTTGCTGATGGCTTCCCCACGCCGGCTCTGTTCGAAGCGGTTGCCAATGCGGTAGGTACCACCGGCGCTGGCGGTTAAACACCGTTACCGGTCTTATCCGCCTGGTTTACCCGCCGGGGTACTGACGGGGGCTTGCGCCAACTGGCCACGCGCTTTTGATCGCAGCAGAAATTCTGCACGCTGAATATCACTGGCCAGCGGCCATTGGCCAATTTCTTCCAGCGTACGAAAACAGCCTTTACAGACATTATTTTCATTCAGTTCACAAACGCTGATGCAGGGCGACTCAACCGACATTTTCTCTGCTTACCACTTTAGACCCATGAGTATAATCGTTCCTTGGGGTTGCCGCGCAGGGGAAGCAAAATGACCGTCGAGCCAAAAATCGTGGCGTTAGCAGAGACTCATCTGGTGGGTATGCACAAGACAATGTCGCGCAGTGCTGATTTAACACCAGACCTGTGGCGATCGTTTATGCCACGACGCGGAGAGGTCAGGCATAGAAGCAACTCGAACTTTATATCCATGCAGATCTTTCCAAATGGACCGGCTCAAGTTGCTGATCCGGAAGCCACATTCACCAAGTGGGCCGCAGTCGAAGTTTCACCTGACAGCAATCTGCCTGAGGGTATGCAGCGATACACTTTATCCGGCGGGCTTTATGCGGTCTTTCACCACCAGGGTCCGGCCACAGACATTTCAACCTTTATGTATGCATTTGGCACCTGGCTGCCGGGCTCAGCCTATGCGTTAGATGACCGCGAACATTTTGAAGTGCTACCAGAAAATTATCAGCCAATGGCCCCGGATGCCGAAGAAGACATCTGGATCCCCATTGTTGCGCAATAAAACCGTTAAGCAGAAGCACTCGGCCGCGCGCTGACCAGCGCGTGCCATCGCCATAAGTTTTCAAGCTCCTCTGCGGGCTTCAATCCCACCATGGCCGTCGCAAAATCAACAATGATCAGGGTTGTGATATCGACAATCGTAAACCGATCGCCTGCGATATACGGCGCTTCTGCAAGCTGCCGATTGAGACGCTCATAAAATGCGTGGGTCAACTTGTCGCTTTTATCTTTGGCTGCGGGTATCTGCTCGATCCGCCCGGCAAACAGTTTTCCCACCACCGGGCCATTGACCCAGGACGTACCTACCTGAGAAAACAGTTCAAGCTCAATCTGTCGATGCACCATTTCTACCTGGGCCAGCTCAACCGGCGCTTCACCAAACAGGTTAGGTTCGGGCTGGATGGCTTCAAGATAACGGCAGATGGCAACGGATTCTCCTATACAGGTACCATCGTCCAGTTCGAGCACCGGGATCTTACCGCTGGGATTTTTCTGCAGGAATTCCGGCGTTTTGTGTTCACCTTTGGCCATGTCGACCTGTACGCACTCCAGATCAATTCCTTTTTCAGCAGCGAACATACGCACGCGACGGGGATTAGGGGCCTGAGTAACGTCATAGAGTTTCATAGCGTGCTTCCTGCTGGTTTAGGTGTGGATGCTGATATTTCGTTTCAGGCGACAGCATAAGCCAGTTATCCTTCTGCGTGCACCCGTCAAGTCACTAAAGAGGCAGCCTCAAAACGGCTTTTTGTTGATAATGATTCGATGAATATTGAGATGATCAGTGCGCTTGTTTTGTTCGCATTCGTAAGCTCCATTACCCCCGGCCCCAACAACCTTATGCTCATGGCATCAGGTGCAGATTTTGGCGTGCGCCGGAGTGTGCAACATATTCTGGGGGTAACCCTTGGCTTTATGTTGATGATTTTTCTGGTAGGCATGGGGCTGGCGCAGATTTTTGCCATCGATCTGCAGCTGGACCGCCCCAGGCCAGCAGATCCACCAGAACGTTGCTTCGCCTACGAGGCTTCGTTGGTTTAACGGTGTCATGGCTGTCGCCTTATTATTGAGTCTGGCTATGATCATCTGATAGGCGCTGGAACACCTGACTATTGGCAAACAATGAAATGATATGCAGACACCACCTGACAATCTGACCCAACTCTGGGATCGCCAAAACCCATTTGTGGTCCATATTCCAGTCGAACAACGCCATATTGACGAGTTGGGCCATACTAACAATGTGCATTATCTGGACTGGCTGCTCACCTGTACGTGGCAACACTCTACTGAAGTGGGTTTACCACCTGACGCTATGTTGGCCACCGGATGCGCTATGGCGGTACGTGATGTGCGGATGCAGTATCTCAGCGCCACTTTTGCGGGGGATCAGCTTTGGGTTGGCGATTGGCTTACTCACAACGACGGCCGATTGCGCGCAACACGTCAATTTCAGATCCTGCGCGAAGCCGATAAGGCGTGCGTGATGCGCGCTGAAATTGACTACATCTGCATCAACGTTGCGTCTGGACGACCGCACCGAATGCCTGAAGTTTTTATCACAGCCTATCGGGTAGAAGACGACTGATATGTGGCTACGTCGATCACCGAAGCCAGGGTGCAGTGATAGGTATTACTTGATGTGCCAAAGCACCAGACAATATCGTTGTTCTTGAAAGGCACATATACCGGCCGATCGCCTTCATTGCTGGTACAGAAACAGCGCCCGCAACTTGTTGTGCCGCAGCAATCGTAGTAGGCCACAAGGTAATCTTTGTTATCTAGCGGATGTTTACAGGTACCAATCCAGCCAATCGGTGACAGCTGCGTGCCGGGAGGACAACTGTTTGCACCACCACCGCAGCAGGCGCAGGGGTTACCGTCAATGCCGCAGTAACGCCAGTAGTTACAGCTTTCCGGATCACCACCATCGCCGCTGATCAGCCCATCATCAGGAATATCCGCAGCCGCCATGGTCCGCGACACCGGCAACAGCGGTATTGATGCTGCGCCTAACAACATTCCGCCAATACGCTTCAACAAACCACGGCGGGAAGACGATCGGGCAACGCGCCGCAACGCTCTTTCGGCAAACGCATCTATTGCGACGGGTGCAAAGCTACCGTGAGACACAAAAACCCCTCATTGAAGATAATTATGGAACAAGGCTGGATACATATCGCCAAAGGCTTCAATCACATGCGACCACTCTCCTGTGTCCGCATGATATACATCAACCCTGTCAGCTTCTTCCGATAGCGCCAGCAGATAAGGTGTTTTACCTTGGGTTAGATGCAAAGACTGGGCGGGATGTTTTAAACGAATGACTTTCTTACGGGTGTTGCCATCAAGGTCAAATACCCAGGCTTCGGTGCCTGCCTGCTTGTGTGTGTCGAAGCCGCCGCGATGCATTAACACATACAAGCTGCTATCCATATCGTGTACTGCCAGCGGCACCATACCGCCAGGTTTCCACTGCTCGTTGCGCTCACGCTCGGTAACCAGTGACCAGGGGCTTGCTACGCGGGTCTGACTGTTTACAACAGCCACTTTGTAGATCAAGCCATGAAAAGAAGTGAAGTACCAGTCGTTACCATGACGCGCACCTTTTTCCATAACGGGATCGCCGTCGGGGTCAAAAAAGGGTGCGGTGCGCGCGCGTGTTACCAGCTGACCTGACTCATCCAATTGCAATGTGGCAACACTGCCATCACCGCACAACAGATGAAAGCGTCGCTGTAGCGTTGGATACACCAGCGCACATCCTGTTGTGTCCAGCTCTGCAATAAACCTCCGGCTTTGCATATCAACAACAGAAACCGATTGTCCTGGGGTCATATTAAAACCAAGCAGAAAGCGATCGTCGTCAGTTAGCGCGGCGGTGTGTACAAGTGACATACCTTCGTAGCTCTTGGCTGGTATCTCAACCTCGTCGATCACAGCCAGAGTATCCTTGCTGCGTACCGTCACCACATCTGTCCGCGCGCCGCGGTACATTCTTGTCATGTAGGTTTCCAACGAGTAAAACTCGTTTTTTAGCGTCGGTATCGCAAGCTTCAGTGTGCTAACGCCGTTGTTGAACTGCGCCAGATAACGATCGTTTTCAATATCCATGAGCGTTACGCTGGAACCAGCGCCACCGATCCAAACCCAGTTGGGGGAGGGGGTTTCAAGTTTCGATAAGCCCGGCGTTTCTGCTTGAAAATCAGCAACGCTTTCGCCGGGCCATAGAGCAGTGATAACACTGCAGATTAGGATGCCTGTGACGCTGATGTTATTTGGCTTCATAAGCATCTATTGCACGCTGTCGAGCAGCGGGTACATCAAGATAAGCGTGTTTTCGATGTGCAGCGACTTCAGCTTCGCTAAAAGGTTGCACCCTGTGCACTTCTTCAATATCACTCAAGGTGAATACCACATAATTCAACAGGTTGGCGATTCTCGCATCGCTGATACTGACCTGTCTGACACCGGGCACTCGGATCAGATACTCGCGCCCCAGGGAAGTATGAAGAAATGGCACAAGGTTGTCCTTCAAAGCTGGAACATGGGGCTCCACACCTACCCCTGCGACGGCATGACAGCCTTCACAGTTCATTCGATAATCAAACGCGGCGGAGTTCGAGCTGGCTGTAGCGGCATATGTACTTAGCAGGACACCACACAGTGCGGGCAAACAATTTTTCAGATCACTGGTCATCGGAAACTAGGTCCGCTCAACAGCATTGTGGCTGAGATAGGTCTGCAGATCTTTGACCCCCATTTCTTTGGCTTCATACAAGCTCTCGAGATGTTCTCGAGAGTTAACAAGCCCGGCAGACTGCAAAAAACCCCGTTCATCTATAAGCACAGCATAGGGTAATTTGCCTACATGGAAGGCAATGCCCAATTGTGCAGACAACGTTAATGGAAACGCCTGCATTTGCGCAGATCGCAGAACCTGCTGGTGTTCAGCTGCATCGCCATCACCTGCCAGAACAACATCTATCCAGTCCTGCTCAGATCGTGTGCTGCGTTTGATGATGGGCAGCAGTTCTTTGCAGATCGGACAGGTTGGCGAAAAAAAGAACAGCAGGGTCGAACGGCCAGCAGGGTTTGCTGCGCCAATCGTGAGCTGGGCACCTGATACCAGCTCAACTGTCACCTGTGGAGCTGCACCACCAATAGACAGGCCATTACGCAGCGACAGCGCACCCGCGGGTGCAATGCGTTCGTGCAGCACACCTATCTGCCTGGCCAGAGCCCAGATGATCAGTGCCATGATGATGACAACCAACCACAACAATACAAACGTAACCGCTACAGTTAGATCACTCATTTTGGTTTCGCCTGGAAACTTGTGAGTCTTTCGGCAGCCAAATAGAAAAAAGCAAAAACTAACGTCGTTGCACCCACCGATACCCAATCCATCCAGAGCAACTCCCGCCCGTTACTGGGCAGCAGAATAAAGCCAGCAACCGCCGCAAGGGCTGCATTTCTCAGCAACATGCCGGGTCTAATAAACTGTTTATCGTTCCCCCAACTGCAGCCGCAATGGACGGCAGTACGTCCACGCAACAGATTGATACCGATGCCTGTTGCATACAGCAGCAGTAAAATGATGGCAAGGATTGCACCGAGACCTCTGCTGCCAGGTTGCACCAAGGCCACCACTACCACCAATTCCATCAACGACAACATCCCTGCGATGGGCAGAGTCAAACCTGACCAGAGCAAGCGATAATCCTGAACAGACGCCACAAAATCAGGGAAGTTAAGCAGTTTATGTAAAAACGATGCCGCAAACAGCAGGCCGATTACGGCAACAGCGATGATGCTGAAAACTGAGTCCATATTGACGCCTGACGTATTAACGAATGGATCGAAGATGTGATCTTTGTTGCACAACGATATAGCATCGGTGCTGGCCCCAGCAATAAGGCAGCGCTCAGAAAGCCTTTTAGAGCGAAGGCCCAGGCGCGCAGGACAGAATATGTGGAAGGAGTATTGTTGTGAAAAAATTAGTTTTTGGGTCGCTGCTGCTGAGCACAACTTATGCCCTGGCCGATCCCGTTATGCAGCCACCAACCCACACCCAGGCCGACGCCGTACCCTGGTCAAGTAACGACTTCGGAGTCCGCTGGAAAGACCTGATTGGTGCTGATGGCCCCGGACAGATCCCGCAACAAGACTTACGTTTCGGCATGCTGGAAATACCTGGCCACACGGTCTATCCCGGACACCGCCATGCCGCCCCAGAGCTTTATTACATTTTATCCGGCCGCGCTACCTGGACAGTAGGTTCAGACACCTTCGAAGCATCCGCTGGGACAACCATCTACACACCCGCAAATGCGGTGCACAGGATGATTAATACAAATGACGAGCCGGTTGTCACCGTTTGGGCCTGGTGGGCCCCAGGCGGCGATCCCGCAGTATTCGATCCAGATGCTTATGAATTCACTGAAGCATTACCTGAAAGTCCATGAAGACATCATCCATCACTTTCGCCTTGATTATCCTATCGAGCACGCTTGGTTTTGCTGGCTGCTCCTCCTCCGATGCCAGCCACTCTGAAGTGAGGGTTGTTGCCGCTGCAGGTGAGCCTGCGGCAGGCCTTCCTGAAGGATATTTATATGAGGGGTTTGATCCCATCTATGCCATGGGGGCTTCCGGAGAAATTGCATTCTCAGCCAAAGCCAACACCCCCCATGGCGGCCCGCGAGACCGGCAACATGTTCTCTGGTTTGGTTCCGTAGATGAAATCGCACCCGTGGCCAGAGTTGGACAGGCTGTACCTGGACTCGAAGAGACGGTTTTGATCAGCGGTTTTCAGGCTACGCCAAGAGTCATTACAGAATCGGGGCGGCTTGGCTTTGTGGTACAAACCTCGCGCTCGCCATCAGGTAGTTTGCCTCAGGCGTTACTGATACACGACGACGGTGAGCTTGAAAAGGTGGTAGCCACCGGTGACGAGGTACCGCTGCCAGGCGGTGCTACGCCTTTGCTCAGCATCAGTCAGTTTGCTATGACGAATGAGGGTGTTCTTTTTATGGGTAAAGTGAATCGACGCCAGAACGGCCTGTGGTTCTGGGATCACTCCGGCCTGAAACTGGTCAGCGCAGATCGTACTCAGATTAACATCGGCTCTACTGCATGCGATGTGCGGTCTGTTGCCAGCACCACTGTCGACCTCAACAAAGCAGGCTTCGGTGTGTTTCGAATAACTATGGGCGGTAATCAATGTGCAAGCGGGGGGATTATTGCCTGGGACAGTGATTCAAATGATCTTGAACCCATCGCGCTGAACCGAACTCCTATCGAGGAGGGTTCCGACCTCTATTATCAGTCGCTCACCGGTGATGCGCGAGTGAGTGACGAGGGTCAGGTTGGACTCCACGGCAACATCTATTCCAACAGCGCCAGCTCATCCGGGGCAAAAGAAATGACCTTGCTGTATACCCCAGAGTACGCCGCGAGCCGTGCACTGATCGACAAGTACACGCCTTTCGCAGAGGCGCCTGACATCACCCTGACCCACACCATTCTCGGCGATGGCCTCGCGATTGTTGACGACAGCGAGCTGATCCATTTTGTGAAGAGCAATCGGGACAGAATCATCCTGCGTACTTTCATCGATGAAGAGATTTCACATCGTGTCGTTGCGAGGAATGGAACAACTGTCGGTGAACAGGTAGCGGCAAGAATCGGTGATGGCCATGTTAATCGCAATGGTGATGTAGTCTTTACCAGCTACATTGATGACGGAGCCAAAGGCGGGACTTACCAGCAGGAGCTGTGGTTTTCTGCGCGTAACCGCGACCCCATCCGTCTGGCGTTTCCAGGCCAACCTGTCGCCGGTAGAACGGATCAAACTATAGAAGGCATCGACATCACCAACCAATCCCATGAGCCGAAAATGCACAACACCCAAGGAGGGCGCAATCGCCTTATGGATGATTCCGGCGCCACCTTCTTTTCAGGACGCCTGCGTAAAGCCAATCAGTGGCATAACGCCCTGTTCTTGGCGATACCAGACTAGGATCATGGTTTCTGCACACACCCGTAATGAGCAAACTACACCAACCTGAAAGAGTTGCGGCACTCAGAATAGGCAACAATCAGCAGGGCTTATCGGCGTTCACTCTACAGTGACCGATTTGGCCAGATTACGAGGTTGATCTACATCCGTACCCTTCAGAACCGCAACGTGGTAGGACAACAGTTGCAGTGGCACAACATAAACGATGGGCGCAAGAATCGGGTGAACATGTGGCAAAGGAATCACCGTAACACCAGGTTCTTCACGGAAAGAGCTGTTCCGATCAGCAAACACAAAAAGCTTTCCACCGCGAGCCCGCACTTCCTGCAGGTTTGACTGCAATTTTTCCAACAGATCGTTGTTTGGAGCGACGGCAATCACGGGCATGTCATCATCTACCAGCGCCAGGGGTCCATGTTTGAGCTCGCCGGCAGGATAACCTTCCGCATGAATATAGGAAATTTCTTTGAGTTTCAGAGCACCTTCCATTGCTACCGGAAACATTGTGCCGCGCCCCAGGAACAGGGCGTGATGTTTGTCCATGAAGCGTTCCGCCAGGTTGTGGATGACACTATCCAGAGACAACACCTCTTCGATCACACCCCCCAGATGGTGCAACCCCTGTACCAGTTCTTTTTCCAGCTCAGGCGTTAATCCGTGTCGACGACCCAGCATCAACGTCAGCAACATCAGATCTGTGAGCTGTGCAGTAAACGCCTTGGTTGAAGCCACACCGACTTCTGTGCCGGCCTGAATCATCAATGCCAGATCACTTTCGCGAACCATGGAACTTGTTGGTACGTTACAGATGGTTAAAGTTGCATAGAAGCCGAGTTCTTTTGCGATTCGAAGTGCAGCCAGTGTGTCTGCAGTTTCACCGGACTGCGACAGCGTTACAAACAAGGTATCGGTGGGTACCGATACTTTGCGGTATCTGAATTCGGAAGCTATCTCTACCTGGCAAGGAATGCCAACCAGCTCTTCGATCCAGTAACGCGCGACCGATGCAGCGTAGTAGCTGGTACCACATGCGACCAGCATGACCCCCTGCACCTGATCAAAAATATTTTTTGCCGCTACGCCAAACGCACCCTCCAATACCTGCGTACGACCCAACCGACCTTCCAGGGTGTCATGAATCACGCGGGGTTGTTCAAATATCTCCTTCTGCATGTGGTGGCGATAGGTGCCTTTGTCCACATCATCATGTGCCATCTCAACATGTACATCCGATCGCACAACGGACTCGTTGTCCATGTTCCAGATAGAAATACTTTCTTTGCGTATTTCTACCAGGTCGCCTTCTTCCAGAAAAATGAATCGGTCAGTAACCGGCTTCAGGGCTAACACATCGGAGGCAATATAGTTTTCACCAATGCCTTTACCCACAACCAGAGGACTGCCAGCGCGAGCGGCGATAATGCGGTCCGGAGCGTCTTTAGCTACGACACCAATCGCATAAGCACCTTCCAGCTGTTTGGTTGTCGCGCGCACGGCATCAAGCAGATCAAGGCCTTTTTTCAGGTACCTGTCCACCAGGTGAGCTACGGTTTCAGAATCAGTTTCAGATTCGAATTCATAACCCTCAGCCAGCAACTCATCACGCAAAGCTTCATAGTTTTCAATGATGCCGTTGTGCACGATACATACGCGATCGCTGGAAGCATGAGGGTGCGCATTATTTTCGGCAGGCACACCATGTGTTGCCCAGCGGGTATGCGCAATACCAATCTGACCGCGGACCGGCGAACGCTTGAGTTCGTTAACCAGCTCCTGAACTTTGCCAACCTTACGACGCCGAGAGAGGTTGCCGTTTTTCTCGATGACGGCAAGGCCGGCGGAATCATAGCCGCGATACTCGAGCCGTTTCAGGCCTTCCAATAATATTGGCGGCACATTTCTATCACCTACCGCGCCAACAATGCCGCACATTTTTACTGATTTCCTTTGCGCTTATCGGGACGAACCCAGCCTTTGATATTACGCTGCTTACCTCGCCCTACAGCAAGGTCTCCACTGGCCACTTTTGTGGTGATTGATGAACCTGCGGCAATAAAGGCACCGGATTCGATCTGTATCGGAGCGACCAGAGTCGAGTTAGTACCCACAAAGACATCGTCACCAATATGAGTTGGATGTTTGTTTATACCATCGTAATTACAGGTCACTGTGCCGGCACCGATATTACACTCAGCACCGATGGTGGCGTCTCCAAGATACGCCAGATGGCCAGCTTTGGTACCCGCGCCGAGGTGAGATTTTTTGACTTCAACAAAGTTACCTATCTTCACCCCGCTGTCGAGCCGGGTACCAGGGCGGATACGGGCAAACGGGCCCATAGAACAGTCCGCCGCAACAATTGCGCCTTCAACCACGGTATGCGCATGAACTTCGACGTTATCTCCCAGCACGCTATTGGAAATAACGGCGCCTGGACCGATGCGCACGCCGCGACCCAGCACAACCTCTCCCTCAAACACGACGTTGACATCAATAAAGCAATCTTCGCCGGCTGTGAGTTTGCCACGCAGGTCGAAACGACTCGGATCAGCCAGGCTGACACCCTGTGCCATGAGCTGATCTGCCTGATTGTGCTGATAGACTCTTTCCAGCGCAGCCAGCTGGGCGCGATCATTGATGCCCGCCACTTCGATGGGTGCGTGTGCTTCTATACCTGTGACGGTAATGCCGTCTGCAACGGCCATGGCAATCACATCGGTGAGATACAGCTCCCCTTGAGCGTTATCGGGCTGCAGGCTCGCCAGCCATGGAGCAAGTAAAGTTGCAGGAGCGGCCAGAATGCCCGAGTTAATTTCCTTTATGTCCCGTTCAGCGTCGCTGGCATCTTTATATTCAACAATACAGCGGATTTTGCCGTCGTCGTCCCGGACGATTCTTCCGAGCTGCGCGGCATCATCGAAGTGAGCGGTCACTAGTGCTACAGAGCCTGTTTTAGCAGCCTCTACCGTTCTAATTAGTGTGTCTTCCGTCACCAGGGGCACATCCCCATACAACACCAGCACCACACCTTCACCGGCTAAAGCCGACAAACCCAGTTGCACAGCATGGCCGGTACCGCGCTGCTCATCCTGCAGGACCCACTTCGGCCCCGGGGCGATTGACGCCTGCACCTGCTCAGCCTGGTGGCCAATAACAACAGCTATTTCTCGCGGATTTACACTCTGTGCGGTGTCCAGCACATGTTGCAGCAGGCTTTTACCCGCCAGCTGATGCAGGACTTTGGCGCGCTGTGAACGCATGCGCGTACCTTTGCCGGCAGCCAATACGACAACATCTGTATTCATGGTTAAACGGGACCTTTGTCCGGACAGGAAAGCTTAGATTATAGGGAGATAGGCATAAAAAAGGGGTGATGAACTCACCCCCTTTTGTAATGAAATGTTTCTAGCGGCGCAGTTTGCGTAATTCTTCGAGGGTACGCTGCTGTGCCATGGCCTCTGCCAGCATGGCCGCTGCTGCAGAAAAGTCGAAGTCTGCAGTACGGTCCGCAAAAGCCTTCTCGGCATGTTCGCGTGCCTCTTTCGCCTGAGCTTCATCAATATCGTCTGCACGCACAGCGGTGTCTGCCAATACCGTAATCACACCCGGCTGAATTTCAAGATAGCCACCAGATGCAAAAAATACCTCTTCCTCTCCATCTTCCATGGACAGAGTCACCGGACCAGGCTGAATGCCAGTGAGCAAAGGCGCGTGGCCCGGGTAAATACCCAGACCACCAATCGTGCCCACCGCGCTTAGCTTGGTGATGGTGCCTGAAAAGAGCTGCCGTTCGGCACTCACAATTTCACAATGCATGGTGGCCATAATCTATTCCTCGCGACTAAGTCTTGCAGACCTAGAGAGTTTTTGCCTTTTCGATCACGTCTTCCAGGCCACCTACCATGTAGAAGGCATCTTCCGGCAGGTGATCGTATTCACCTTCAAGGATCGCTTTAAAACTGCGCACAGTTTCTTCACTGGAGACAAACTTACCGGAGTTGCCGGTGAACTGTTCTGCCACAAAGAAAGGCTGAGAGAAGAACTTCTGAATTTTACGCGCACGATACACCAGGTTTTTATCGTCTTCAGACAATTCATCCATACCCAGAATCGCGATGATGTCTCGCAGTTCCTGATAACGCTGCAGCACCTGCTGGACTTCCTGCGCTACGCCATAGTGTTCTTCACCGACAATCAACGGATCCAGCTGACGGCTTGAAGAGTCAAGCGGGTCTACCGCAGGGTAAATACCCAGGTCGGTAATGGCTCGAGACAACGTCACGGTTGAGTCAAGGTGAGCAAACGTTGTGGCAGGAGAGGGGTCAGTCAGGTCATCGGCGGGTACATATACTGCCTGGATAGACGTAATAGACCCTTCTTTTGTGGTGGTAATGCGTTCCTGCAGAACACCCATCTCTTCAGCCAGGTTAGGCTGATAACCTACCGCAGATGGCATACGCCCAAGCAGTGCAGACACTTCGGTGCCTGCCAGGGTATAACGATAAATGTTATCAATAAACAGCAGTACATCACGGCCATCATCACGGAACTTTTCTGCCATGGTCAGACCGGTCAGCGCGACACGAAGGCGGTTACCCGGTGGTTCGTTCATCTGCCCGAAAACCAGAGAAATTTTATCGAGAACCTCAGCTTCTTCCATCTCGTAGTAGAAGTCGTTGCCTTCACGTGTTCGTTCACCAACGCCGGCAAATACCGACAACCCGGAGTGCTCAATCGCGATATTACGAATGAGCTCAAGCATGGTGACGGTTTTACCAACACCCGCACCACCAAACAAACCCACTTTACCGCCACGGGCAAAGGGGCAAATCAGGTCGATAACTTTAATACCTGTTTCCAGGATCTCGTTTCCACCCACCTGATCTTCATACTTGGGTGCTTTCCGGTGAATAGGCATATGCTGGCCCGCATTAATCGGGCCCTTTTCATCAATCGGGTTACCCAGAACGTCGACAATACGACCTAGGGTTTCCTCACCAACAGGAACAGAAATCGGCGCGCCGGTGTTTTCCACTTCCAGGCCGCGAGACAGGCCATCTGATACACCCATGGCGATGGTGCGGACAATGCCGTCACCCAACTGCTGCTGCACTTCCAAGGTCAAACCAACGTTATTGACGGTTAACGCGTCATATACCTTCGGTACATGGCCGCGTTCGAACTCAACGTCGATGACCGCCCCAATGATTTGTACGATACGACCGCTGCTCATGCTCTGCCTCTTTTCTTTAATTCGTTCTAACTAATGTGTTCTGTTTATTGGTCGGCAACGGTTAAACCGCCGCGGCACCACCAACAATTTCTGCAATTTCCTGCGTAATTGCCGCCTGTCGCGCGTTGTTATAAATCAACTGCAACTCATCAATCATTTTCTCTGCATTATCTGTCGCATTTTTCATGGCGATCATTTTTGCTGCCTGCTCACAGGCACCATTCTCAATAACAGCCTGATAAACGCGTGACTCAATAAACCGCATGACCAGCCCTTCAATGAGCTGTTTGGCATCTGGTTCGTAGATGTAATCCCAACGATGATGATAAGACTCATCATCTTCCGGATGAAGCGGCAACAACTGTCGGATCTCAGGAGATTGGGTCATGGTGTTAACAAAGTCGTTGCTGGCCAGGTACAGACGATCGATCTCGCCATTTTCGTACGCTTCCAACATGACTTTCACGCCGCCAATCAGATCTGCCAGCTCAGGCTTTTCACCAACATTAGACATCACCGCTTTGATGTTGCCACCCACTGCTCGGAAAAACGGTTGGGCTTTGTTACCAATCAGGCCCATATCAGCTTCTATACCTTTGGCATGCCACTGCGCCATGTCTTTAACCACAGCTCGAAACAGGTTTACGTTCAAGCCACCACACAGGCCCCGATCCGTGGATACGACGATATAGCCGACCCGCTTGATCTCGCGCTCTTCCATGTAAATGTGCTTGTACTCTGGGTTTGAGTTAGCCAGGTGACCAATCACACCACTGATACGCTCAGCATACGGTTTACCCTGAGCCATCTTGTCCTGGGTACGGCGCATTTTACTGGCCGCCACCATCTGCATGGCGCTGGTGATCTTCTGCGTATTACCTACGCTTTTGATCTTCGTCTTTATTTCTTTTCCGACTGCCATGAATGCGTCCTACTTAGAAGGATTGAGTCGCTTTGAACTTTTCGATTGCCGATTTCAGCGTCGCTACAACGTCATCGTTATAGGTACCGTTCTCGTCAATGTCATTCATAAAATCAGCATGTTCAGAACGCATGTAGCTGAGTAACGCTTCTTCGAAATCGAGTACTTTTTCCACTGGAACGTCCTGCAGAAAGCCTTCGTTAGCCGCAAACAGAGAAGTACCCATTTCTGCCACAGACATCGGTGAATACTGCTTCTGCTTCATCAGCTCGGTCACACGTTCGCCGTGTTCCAGCTGACGCCGTGTTGCATCATCCAGATCCGATGCAAACTGTGAGAACGCCGCCAGTTCACGGTACTGGGCAAGTGCCAGCTTGATACCACCGGAAATTTTCTTGATGAACGGCACCTGAGCCGAACTACCTACCCGTGATACGGATGTACCGGGGTTCATCGCCGGGCGTAAACCCGAGTTGAACGCCTGAGTTTCCAGGAAGATCTGGCCATCAGTAATTGAGATCACGTTGGTGGGTACAAACGCGGAAATATCACCCGCCTGGGTTTCAATGATCGGCAGAGCGGTCAATGAACCGGTTTTACCCTTAACTGCACCGTTGGTCTGCTGCTCTACATAATCAGCATTAACACGAGCAGCACGTTCAAGCAGGCGGGAGTGCAAGTAAAATACGTCACCAGGATAAGCTTCACGACCCGGCGGGCGCTTGAGCAGCAGTGAAATCTGGCGATAAGCCCAGGCCTGTTTCGTCAGGTCATCATAGATGATCAACGCATCTTCGCCATGGTCACGGAAGTACTCACCCATCGAACAACCGGCATATGGGGCAATGAACTGCATGGATGCAGGGTCTGCTGCGCCTGCTGCCACAACAGTGGTGTATTCCATGGCGCCGTACTCTTCGAGGGTACGCACAATGTTGGCCACGGTAGACATTTTCTGTCCAATGGCCACGTACACACACTTAATACCGCTGCGCTTCTGGTTGATGATGGCATCGATAGCAATTGCGGTTTTACCGATCTGGCGGTCTGAGATGATCAACTCACGCTGACCACGACCAATCGGCACCATCGCGTCGACACACTTCAAACCAATCTGTACAGGTTGGTCAACGGACTGGCGCGAGATAACGCCTGGGGCAACTTTCTCAATCGGCGCAGTTAACGTGACGTTAAGTGGGCCTTTACCATCGATGGGGTTACCCAGTGCATCTACAACACGGCCGAGCAGCTCGGGACCCACCGGCACTTCCAGAATTCGACCCGTACAGCGCGCCGTCATGCCTTCAGTCAGGTTTTCATAATCGCCAAGAACAACGACACCAACGGAGTCTCGCTCAAGGTTCAACGCCATGCCGTAGAGGCCGCCATCGAATTCAATCATCTCGCCGTACTGTGCTTCAGCAAGGCCGTGGATGCGCACGATACCGTCCGATACGCCGACAATGGCGCCTTCATTTTGCGCCTCTGCCTTAACATCTAAACCCTGAATCCGGTTCTTAATGATGTCACTGATTTCCGAGGGCTTCAGTTGCTGCATGGTGGCTTCCTTTTAAAAATCTTTTCTTACGTCTTACGTCGGTACAGTTAGCGCCGGTGCTTCCGGACTAAACCTGAACCAGGGTTTCGGCTAATTTATTCAATTTGCCGCGCACAGATCCGTCTATCACCACATCGCCGGCGCGAATGCGCGCACCGCCAAGCAGCGTCTCATCGACGCTCGCAACAATGGTAATGTCTTTATTAAAGCGACGGTTGAGCGCACTCTTAAGCGCGTTGCTCTGCTCATCAGTGAGCGGAAAAGCAGATATCACTTCAACATCGAGGCTGCGTTGCTCTTCAGCCCGCAGCGCTTCAAATTGTTCACGCACCTCACCAAGCAATGGCAGACGATCATTATCTGCCAGCGACTGCAGGAACAATCGCCCTGATACCTGAATATCGTCACCACAAAGATCAGCCAGCTGCTGGGCTTTCGCTGCAGCCGGAATCCCCGGGTTATCCAGCAATAGCTGAACTCTTTCGTCTTGCGTGATGCTATCAAGCAACGCCAGGGTTTCTGACCAGGCATCAAGGCTTGCGTCGCGCTTGGCCATGTCGAATACAGCATTCGCGTAGGGACGTGCTATCGTTGCAAGTTCAGCCATGGTTTATAGCTCTGCCGCGAGGCGCTTGATCATGTCCTCATGTTTTGAGGCATCAATGCTGTCTTCCAGCACACGTTCCGCACCGGTAATCACCAGCGTCGATACTTGTGTACGCAAGGTCTCTTTCGCACGATTCACTTCCTGTTCTATATCGGCGCGAGCCGCTTCGATCAGTCGTTCACCTTCTGTACGCGCACTGCCTTTTGCTTCTTCAACCATCTGGTTAGCACGAGCACGGGCTTGCTCAATAATGCCGGCCGCCTCTTCTTTTGCTCTGGCCAGTTCTGCTTCAGCGCCGCTGGCAGCATCTGCCAGCTTTTTGTCCGCTTCTTCTGAAGCGCGCAAACCGGCGGCAATGGCCTCCTGACGTTCGCGCATCATGGTCACCACAGGTGGCCATATATACTTCATGCAGAACCAAACAAAGACACCAAAAGTCAGTGACTGGCCGATTAAGGTTGCGGTTAGATTCATCGCAATTCTCTAGTTGTTAACGTGGTGATCGGCAGCGATTGCTTGAGCTGACGCTGCGTAGCGCGTATCAGGCGCCTTAAGCTACCGCGAAGATAACGTAGAGGCTGATACCAACAGCGATCATCGGGATCGCGTCGATCAGACCCACTACGATGAACAGCTGGGTTCGCAGCATCGGCAACAGTTCGGGTTGGCGCGCTACGGCTTCAAGGAATTTTCCACCCAAGAGGCCCATACCAACGGCTGCACCCACCGCACCGAGACCCATTAAAAGTGCTCCTGCGAGATATAAAAGCCCTGCTAGTTCCATGATTACTCCAGTTTCGAGTTATTGTTTGACGGCTAAGCCGCGGTGCACCCAAACGATGCGAAATTTATTGATCCAAAATTAATACTAGTGCTCATCCACGTCGTGGGCTTGAGCAAGGTACACAACCGTGAGTACCGCAAAAATAAATGCCTGTAATGAGATGACCAGAATGTGGAACACAGCCCACACCCATTGCAGCACGCCACCAAAGATGAAGAATCCAATACCCGCGCCAAACATCAACGCAATCAGAATAAAGATCATCTCACCCGCGTACATGTTGCCAAACAGCCGCAGCCCTAATGACAAAGGCTTGGCGATAAGCGTGACACCTTCCAGGATAAAGTTGATGGGAAACATAAAAGGTGGAAAAGGGTGAAACATCAGTTCTTTCAGGAAGCCAATGCCACCTTTGCACTTAATGCTGTAGTAAATAATCATGCCGAACACAGTGAGCGCCATCGCCATGGTGATGTTGGGGTCTGTGGTGGGCACAATCTTGAAATAAGGCGCACCCAGAGCAGAGGCCAGTGATGGAATCCAGTCCACCGGTATCAGGTCCATCAGGTTCATCAGAAACACCCACACAAAGATGGTCAGTGCAAGCGGGGCAATTAAATCGTTTTTATGCTGGAAAACACTGTCGGTGGTTTCTTCGATGAACTCAATAATCATCTCAACAAAGTTCTGCAATCCACCGGGCACACCAGACGTTGCTATGACAGCGGCACGTCGGAACAGAAAAGAAAACACCAGGCCTAAACCAATTGCCCATGCCATGGAGTCCACGTTCAGGGACCAGAAACCCATGCCCGCGACTTCTTCAGCCGTTTGCGCAAAACCCCAGGAACCGTCAGGCAACTGGCCATAGGTCAGGTTTGTCAGGTGATGCGCAATATACTCTTCTGCACTTCCGGCCATTAATGTGTCCTGGCTTTTAGGTTATTTTCCGATCTCTAACTTACTTAGCTTTTCTAGGCGCTAAGAAGCTCAACTGCATCAGGGCAAATGTGCTAAAAAATCCCAGCGGCTCAATGGCCGTTAGGACAATGCACAGCGCCAGCGCCGTCATTGTCAGCACACTCCGCAATACGCCATGAAGAAGCAGGCGTCCTGCGTTTAAGGTGCGACCCAGAACCCAGGCGTAATACGCGGTGGGTACCAGGCTCGACATTCCTGCCAGGAGCGCAGATCGTCCCTGATCGAGGTGATAGGCTGAAAAAGCGCCTACACACACAATTCCGATCATTGCTTGTATCGCGACAATCCGCCCTGGATGACTCATCTGCTGGTAAATCCTGCTAACGAGGCCAAATCAGGCGGCGCGTATTATAGTGAGGCAGCCGAAACCATTCAATGAAAAGCGTGAATAAAATGTGCGATTTTGGCAAAGCACTGATCCTGATCTATTCCTCTATACCGAGGTGTTTTAAAACGCCATCAAGTTCATCGAGGTTTGAGTACTTTATGGTCAGCTCACCACCACCTTGAGCGGCGTGTTTAATGCGCGCTGGCGCTCCGATCTGTTCGGTTATACGGCGCTCCAGGCGAGCAGTATCAGGATCCTGTCGCACTGGTGCGGCAGGCGCTGTGGATTTTCGGTCCTGGGATAGACTGCGGATAAGTGTTTCGGTCTGGCGCACCGATAAGCTTTTATCTACGACATGCGCCGCGGTCTGGTCCTGTGTCAAACCGTCCAACGCAAGCAGCGCCCTGGCATGGCCCATTTCCAGCGCGCCACGCTCCAGTAAGCCGCGGGTCACTGAACCCAGATTCGTTAATCGTAAAAGATTAGCAATTGCTGCCCGGGATTTACCCACTGAATCTGCAATTTCCTGTTGCGTAAGGTTGAATTCATCGCGTAACCGCGCCAGGCCCAGTGCCTCTTCCATGGCATTCAGGTCTTCCCGCTGCATGTTTTCAATCAGTGCAAGGGCAGACGCCTGCTCATCCGACACAGTTTTGACAACTGCAGGGATCTTGGTCATTCCCGCACGTTTTGCCGCACGCCAACGCCGCTCACCAGCGATCAACTCATAGCCGCCATTGGCCTTTTTGCGCACCACGATCGGTTGTAACAGGCCCTGGCGCGCGATCGAGTTAGCCAGGTCCTGCAGCGCTTCTTCTGCAAACTGCCGTCGCGGCTGATAGGGGCTGGGAGTGATGGCCGTTATATCGATACCGGATTCAACTGTGGACTGGGCTGCCTGTCCGACGGCGGCTGACTGCACCGCGCTGGAATCGTCACCTGCACCTTTCTGATCCTGGGTGCCGCTGGGTTTACGCTCTGACAGCAGAGCATCCAGCCCGCGACCCAATCTTTTCTTACTCATCTGGTCCGTCTACTCATATCGTGCGGCAAGTTTAGCGCCTCGCTTTAATGCGGCAGGGCGCTGCGTTGGTGTTTCTGTCGAAATTCTCCTGCGAGTGCCATGTAGGCGACGGCCCCTCGAGAGGTTCTATCATAAAGAATCGCGGGCAAACCGTGACTGGGTGCTTCAGCCAATCGCACATTTCTGGGAATAACCGTACGGAACACCTGATCACCAAAGTACTTTATTAACTGTCGAGACACATCACGGGTCAGGCTGTTACGGGGGTCATACATGGTGCGCAAAATACCTTCAACCACAAGGTCCGGGTTCGGCCCACTTTGAATCCCCTCTACGGTTTCCAGCAGGGCAGACAAACCTTCCAGCGCGTAGTATTCGCACTGCATCGGGATCAGCACACCATCTGCCGCCACCAGTGCGTTGACCGTCAATATACTCAAACTGGGTGGGCAATCGATGATGACATAGTCGTAAGCCTGTGCCTGGGCCTGCAACCGCTGACGTATCTGAAATTCACGCCCCTCAGATTGCATGAGGTGAACTTCCGCCGCTGTTAAATCCAGGTTCGACGGCAACACGTCAAAACCACCCTGACAATGCACAACTATTTCACTGGCAGGTTTATCTTCCACCAGCCATTCGTAAGTCGTGGCGAGATCAGTGTTTTTATCTATACCGCAACCCATGGTTGCATTGCCTTGAGCATCCAGATCAACCAGCAGGACCTTACCGCCAGATAGCGCAAGCGAGGCGGCCAGATTAACGCTGGTTGTTGTTTTGGCAACGCCCCCTTTCTGATTGGCAACAGCCACTACTCTTGTCATGCGTGTGCCATGATTAAAATACTGTGGCGCCGCTCAAGACCAGCCACATTATAGATGTAGCGATCAGCCTGTACCTTTGTGGAATCTGCCAGGGTTGATGCTGCAGGGAGCTGCTCGTCTTCTTCCATATTCATCTGTGTGCTCTCGTATACCAGTATCCGGCCGGCTGCTGAAACGTGTTTCCCCACCATAGCCCAAACCTCTGGAGCTGTCGTTACACCCCGGGCGGTTATCGTGTCGTACATATCATCGTCAGCAATCATCTGCCCGAAATCACCTTCCGCCACCTCAACATGATCCAGCGACAGGTTGCGAACAACCTGTTTAAGAAAGCGCACGCGACGACTGCTGCGATCGAGCAACAGGAAACTGCGTTCAGGCGCCGCTATTGCCAGCGGTATACCGGGTAAACCTGCGCCGGAGCCTAAATCTAATATGCGCTTTCCCTGCAGCAGAGGTACACCCGCCAGCGAGTCCAATAGATGTCTGGGTAACAGCCGTTTAATATCCTACCGGGATACCAGGTTAAAAGTTTTATTCCACTTCTCCACCAACGCTGCGTATTCAAGCAGTTGGTCCTGCTGGCTGTCGCTTAAAGTCAGATCCAGCTGCGCAAGTCCGGTAGACAGTTGTTTAAGTTGAACGTTCAGGACGCTGCTGCTTTTTTTGCGTGAACTAACAAAATAGACAACGCAGCCGGCGTCATCCCCGGTATTCTTGCCGCCCGGGCCAGAGTAGCAGGTTGATTCTGCTCCAGCTTCTGGCGCAACTCATTGGATAAGCCGTCTATGCCTTCGTAACGCATGTTGGTCGGGATAACCATACTTTCGTGACGGCGTATTTTTTCAATCTCATCTTCCTGACGAGAAATATAACCTGCATACTTTGTTTCTATCATGACCTGTTCTATCAGGCTGATGTCTACCTCCGGGAACAGTTGTGCAAAGTTCTGTGTCGTCACTTCCGGACGTCTCAGCACCGCAGCTAACTCTGTATGTTTATTCAGAGATACGCCCAACATTTTTTCTTCGTTGGAGGCGGGTACTACACGAGTCGCACCAACATCTTTATGCAACGAACCTAACCCAGCCAGCTTTTTCTCAAATGCCTGGGCTCTGTCTGTACCTACTACACCCAGCACAACACCAGTTTGCGTTAACCGCTGGTCTGCATTGTCCTGTCTTAAACGCAGACGAAATTCCGCACGACTGGTAAACATACGATATGGTTCGCTGGTACCCAGATTGATCAGATCATCTACCAACACGCCTATGTACGCTTCATCACGACGGGGTTCCCAGGGCATTTCACCCCGCACACTACGAGCAGCGTTAATGCCTGCCAGCAAACCTTGCGCACCCGCTTCTTCATAACCTGTGGTGCCGTTAATCTGACCCGCAAAATATAGCCCGCTGATCGCTTTTGTCTCTAACGAATAATTCAAGTCTCGAGGATCAAAGTAGTCGTATTCAATGGCGTAACCCGGTCTGGAAATATGTGCATTTTCAAACCCTTTTATGCTGCGCACAAACTGCAACTGCACATCAAACGGCAGGCTGGTAGAAATACCGTTGGGATAAAGCTCCGTTGTGTTGAGACCTTCAGGTTCAATAAAAATCTGATGCGATGTTTTGTCTGCAAAACGCACAACTTTATCTTCAATACTGGGACAGTAGCGAGGGCCAACTCCTTCAATAGCACCGCTGTACATCGCAGATCGTTCTATATTGTTCTGGATGATGTCGTGAGTCTGTGCGTTTGTTTCTGTAATGTAGCAGTCAACCTGTCGTGGGTGTGTGGCAGGATCACCCAACAATGACATCGTCGGTCTCGGATCGTCACCTGGTTGTGCCTGCAGCTCGCTGAAGTCAACCGTGCGTCCATCAATGCGCGGCGGGGTACCGGTTTTCAAGCGACCCACTCTGAATGGCAAGGCGCGCAAGCGCTCGGCCAACGCAATCGAAGGAGCATCTCCTGCACGTCCACCAGCATGGTTTTCTGTGCCGATATGAATTTTTCCACCTAGAAAGGTACCCGTGGTCAACACAATACTGTCACAGGAAAAGCGCAACCCCATCTGTGTATCAACGCCTTTTACACGATCATTTTCTATCACAAAGTCGGTAACCGACTGCTGGAAGATATGCAGATTGGGCTGGTGTTCTAACAGATCACGTATGGCGTTTTTGTACAAAGCCCGATCCGCCTGAGCACGGGTAGCTCTTACAGCCGGTCCTTTACTGGCGTTCAATACCTTGAAATGTATGCCTGACAGATCTGCGGCTTTACCCATCAGACCATCCATGGCGTCAATTTCAGCCACCAGATGACTCTTACCAATACCACCAATAGCTGGATTGCAGGACATCTGACCTATGGTTTCAATATTCTGGGTCAACAATAGCGTCCGCACGCCCATGCGCGCCGACGCAGCGGCTGCTTCCGTGCCTGCGTGGCCGCCGCCGATGACAATTACATCAAAATGGTCTGGATACAGCATTATGTGCCTGAATACCCTGGTAAATTCGGCCGCAAAGTATAGTGGCTGTTAGTCTGATTGGAAGCGCTGAAATTAGCCAGGCACTTAACCACCTGGAGAGATGCCGGGTTACTTGCCTATACAGAATTCACTGAATATTCGGCCCAACAGGTCATCCGGGGTAACCGTTCCAACAATTTCACCCAGGGCATTGTGGGCAAAACGCATCTCTTCGGCTGCTATCTCGGTGTCTTCACCCAGATCTATGAGTCGTTTTGCCTCATCCAGATGGTCCAGGGCCAGCTCCAGTGCAGCCACATGCCTGGCACGAGCAATAAACCCGCTTTCGCTTTGATTAAAACCCAGTCTATCTTTGATAGCGGCACGCAGATTCGACAATCCGGTGCCCTGTAAAGCAGACACCTGCACAATGATGAAGTCGCCGGCAAACGCTGTTTCCGGTTCTGGCAACAGGTCGATTTTGTTGAGAACCACGATGGCAGGAAGTGAGTCCAGATCTACATTCACGCTGCTGAGCAGATCCGAGACATAAGCATCTAACCCGGTGGCTGCTATGGCAGTGGCATCCACGACTATCAGCAGAAGATCCGCCTGCTGAGCCTGAGCCTTGGCGCGGGCTACACCCATCTGCTCTACTTGGTCAGCACTCTCGCGCAGTCCGGCAGTATCCACCAGACGCAGGGGCAACCCATCCAGCAGTAAGTCGACTTTCAGTAGATCCCGGGTGGTCCCGGGTATATCTGTGACAATAGCGGCTTCTTCACCGGACAGCACGTTCAGCAAACTGGATTTCCCTGCATTTGGCGCCCCAAGCAGAGCAACAGATGCGCCTTCGTTCAACAATTGACCCTGCACAGAATCCAGCTTGAGTTGCTGCAGGCGGTCAATACCCTGTTGTAGACGCGCCACAACCTGACCTGTCTGCAGAAATTCAACGTCTTCATCAGGAAAATCTATACAGGCTTCCACCAGTACCCTGAGTTTGGCCAGATGTTCAGCAACGCCATGAACCTCATTGGAAAAAGCCCCCTGTAGTGAGCGCACTGCAGCGCGCGCCGCAGCCACTGAAGAACTGGAGATAAGGTCCGCTATGGCTTCGGCCTGAGCTAAATCAAGTTTTCCATTTAGAAACGCGCGTTCACTGAATTCTCCTGGTCTGGCCAGACGGGCGCCATGCTGGCAAACCAGGTCAAGCAGCCGCTGCAGTACAACCGGGCCACCATGACCCTGGAGTTCTACTACTTCTTCACCGGTGAATGATGCGGATTGCGCAAAGGCAATGGCAATGCCTTCATCGATTACTTCATGACCGTCGCTGAATTTACAGTAGGTTGCATGCCTGGGTACCAGCGTCTGATTACAGATTGACCTGGCGACTTCAGCGGCACCCCTGCCTGATAATCGGATAACACCGATACCTCCCTGACCCGGAGGCGTGGCAACGGCCGCTATCAGATCATCGTGCAGAGAAGTGGCCACTGCATTACCTAAGACTTAGCAGCTTGAGCTTTTTCAACTTTTTTGTAGACATATTGCTGCTGTGCAATAGACAACACGTTGTTGACCAACCAGTACAGCACCAGACCGGCGGGGAAGAACAGAAACAGCACGGTAAACATGATGGGCATCATCTTCATCATTTTGATCTGCAATGGATCACCAACCTGGGGGTTAAGAGTCTGCATCCAGTACATGCTGGCACCCATTAACAACGGCAGGATGAAAAACGGATCCATTACCGCGAGATCGTTGATCCACAGGAAAAACGGTGCCTGGCGCAGTTCAACGGATTCAAACAGTACCCAGTAAAGCGCAATAAAAATCGGCATGGGCAGCAACATGGGCAGACAGCCGCCCAGGGGGTTGGCACCTTCTTTTTTATACAGTGCCATCATTTCTTTAGACAACTTCTCGCGATCGCTGCCGTAACGTTCCTGCAATCGCTTCATCAATGGCGCCACACGACGCATGTTGGCCATTGATCTATAACCTGCTGCTGACAGCGGATATAAAACGACTTTCACTACCACTGTGAGCAGGATGATGGCCAGCCCCCAGTTGCCTACCAGACCGTGCAGGAAATCAAGCAGATAGAACAGGGGCACAGCAATCCACCACAGAAATCCGTAGTCCACGGTGAGGTTCAGGTTCTCTGCAATCTCTTCCAGACGTTTCTGGTCTTTAGGGCCCGCATAAAACTGTGCATCCCAGGTACCTGTCGCGCCGGGCGCTACCTGTTGCAGTGGGCTGGTAAAGCCAAACAGGTAGGTGCCATCTGCGCTGCGACGCGCGTTGAAGCGGTTGGTTTGTTCTGCTGGCGCAATCCAGGCAGACAGAAAATAGTGCTGTAGAAAAGCAATCCAACCCCCGTTCAGCGTTTCATCAAGAGGGCCATCATCATCAATGTCTTCAAAATCGACCTTTTTATAACGCTCATCCAGGGTAGTCAGCGCCGCGCCGAGGTAAGGTCTTGGCGCTAGAGCAAATGAATCCTGATTTGGCGGCGGGCGGGTATCGCGCTTGATTTGCGCAAACATCGCCGCTTGTTTGGTTGCACTACTGAGATTAGCGAGTTCGAAACGTACATCAACCAGATAGTCATCACCGCGGAATGTGAAGACTTTATCCATGCGCACACCATCGGCTACATGACGCAGAACTACTTCTTTTTCTTCGCCAGCTGCAATCCTCACTTTGCTTTGCTCTGTGGTGTAAACCGCTCGTCCGGGCCCAGCATCCGGGCCATCCGGACCAATCAGACCACTTTGTGCAATGTAGGTTTGCGATGCTGAGTTGTTTAACAGCTGAAAATGAATGTCTGGTTGGTCAATTTCAATAGGAAATTCAGGCAGCTGTACACGGACGATGTCGCCTCCCACCAGATCAATCCAGACGTGCAAAGTAGGCGTGGTGACCTCCAGCAGATTCGAAGCAGCGGGCAAAGCAGTTATGGTGCTCGGGTCCACGGACGCAGTGTTACCCGGAGCAAGCAGGGAAGCATCAGGTATATCGCTGCCGCTTGCTGAAGGTGATGCCTGAGTTTGCGGTAAATCCCCTACAGTGACAGCGGGTGTATCCATGCCGTTAACGGACAAAGGTGCTTCGTCATAATGTACCGGTGCTTTCGCTTCCTGCATGTCATCGTTCCAGGCCAGAATCATTAAATAGCCTGTAGCGGCAAGCGCAACCAGCAGCACAATACGTTGGATTTCTGGAGGTAACATGATCTTTCCTATTTAGCGCTGCTTGGACGCGATGGTTTGCCGTTAGCCTGTGGCACTTCGTCGATGCCACCTGGATGAAAAGGCTGGCATTTGCTGAGTCTCTTAACTGTTAACCACAGACCTTTAGCAAGCCCGTGAGTTGATATGGCGTGGATTCCGTAGTGTGAACAAGTGGGATAAAAACGACACTGATTGCCCAGCCAGGGGCTCAGCGTTATCTGATATAAGCGTATACAACCTACTCCGAACCGAGCAGCTAGACCCAACCTGGCAGCGGGAAGTGCTGGCTTGTTGTTGTTGACCTGACAACTATCTGTCATGGCTAACTGTTGGTGAGTATTTACTGTCAAAGCTATCCCAATTCACGAGCGATACGTAAAAACTGTTTATCTAGCAAGGTAACAAGCTGTGCGTCTTCAATTTGCCCAAACACCTGTACCACGATATCCACGTCTGGCAATTGAAGCCTTTGTGCTCTGAAACGCTCCCTTATCAGGCGTTTCAAACGATTACGCCGATTAGCTCTAGGGTTGCCTTTCTTGCTGACCACCAAGCCTAGCCGAGCGCAGCGCATTCTATTTGAAAATGCGCGAATACGTAACGGACCGGTGGAAAGATTTATCTCTGAGTTTCTGAATACCGCTGTGAATTCAGCAGCGTTTGACAGTCGTGACGATTTTGGGAACGTAGTCACCACACTTACCTGCACTTGTTTGTGTCTGGTTACGTCAGTTTACGTGAGGAGCGGGCTCTATCTTGGAGCAAACCTGCGTTATTAGCTTGCTGCACCATTGTCTTAGACTGGTTAGGCCTGTTACAGATTAAACTGCTATGCGCTTACGACCTTTAGCTCGACGTGCATTAAGCACTTTACGGCCTGCTTTAGTGGCCATTCGTGAACGAAAGCCATGGGTACGTGCACGTTTCAGATTACTGGGCTGAAATGTTCTTTTCATGTCCTACTCAACTTGGCCATCGAAAATACGGGTGCGAGATTCTATGGACACGTGTCTTAGGAGTCAAATAATAAGATAGTTATATATTAAAGAATTATTGTTGTTGTTTGTTTAGGGAGGCCATGCCTGTGGTTAAGTGGTTTAAGTTGCTGAAACGCATAGCCTAACCTGGCGGTTTAGGTTGTGGAAAATAGGCTTTGGGGACTGTGCGTAAAGACCATTGAGTTTGTGTGTAAGTCGTTTGCCAGAAGTTATCCACAGGTTCTTCAGCAGGTTGCGCACAAACTGCGAACGGGGGGTGACAGAACCCTTCTGCTGATGACCGCTGTAAGCAATTGAATTTACTGAGGTAGATTTTTTTTGCAGGGTTTTTGCAAGTTCTGCATAGCTATTTTAAGTCGCTTAAGCTTAAATAAATTCGTTCGCTGCCTCATCAATCCTTCCTGATGGTTCGCGCGTAGCTCCACCCCGTTGGCTAACTTGTCAACCCAATAAAGGGCGGTGTTTGCGACCCTGAAGAAAGAGTAAACAGCTGAAGCTGGTGTGATTGACAGGCGAAATAAGAAATAAAAATATTTATAGCGCTGGACAAAAAGACGGCGCAAATGTCTTGGGGGCATGTTTAGTGGGACATAGCATTTGGCAACAGTGCTTAGGTAGGCTCGCCGATGAAATTGCAGAAGACCAGTTTGATACATATATCAAACCCCTGCAGGTTCGAATAGATGATGGTTCAGTATCGCTTCTTGCGCCGAATATCTATGTAGAAGATGAAGTGCGACAGACCTATCTGCAGCGTATCCAGGATCTGGTCAGCCAGGTCAGTGGTATAGATGAAGAATTAGAAATTATGTTGAGTGTGGGGCAAAGCCTGCCTGGCGTGCCGCTGCGAGCAGATGGTCTGCGGCAGACACCAAAACCTACGCACAATCTGAATGGTGAGTTTACCTTCGACACATTTGTAGAAGGTAAGTCGAATGAGTTGGCTAAAGCGGCATCGCTGCAGGTCGCCAGCAATTCAGGGATCGCTTATAACCCGCTGCTGTTATACGGGGGTGTTGGTCTAGGCAAGACACACCTGATGCAGGCGGTTGGTAACGAAATACTGAAAGTTAACCCTGATGCAAAAGTGGTATACCTGCATTCGCAGAAGTTTGTACAGGATATGGTTAAAGCGCTGCAGCAAGGTACCATGCAGGATTTCATGCAGTATTACCGCTCTGTAGATGCACTGCTGATAGACGATATTCAGTTCTTCGCAAAAAAACTGCGATCTCAGGAAGAATTTTTCCACGTCTTTAATGCACTGCTTGAGCGTGGTCATCAGATGGTGTTGACCTGTGATCGTTATCCACGAGAGATTGATGGTCTTGAAGATCGGCTGAAGTCGCGTTTTGTGTGGGGCTTGACGGTTGAAGTAGAGCCACCAGAGTTGGAAACCCGCGTTGCTATTCTGATGAAAAAAGCTGAAGCCGAGCGGGTTGACCTGGATCCGGCGGTTGCGTTTTTTATCGCGGAGCGAATTCGTTCTAACGTGCGTGAACTGGAGGGTGCACTACGGCGGGTTATAGCAAACGCCCGTTTTACAGGCGCGCATATCAGTATCGAACAGGTTAAACGTGCCCTGCGGGATTTGTTTGCCATTCAAGACCGGCAAATATCTATTGATAATATTCAACGTACCGTTGCTGACTATTACAATATTAAAATTGCGGACCTGTTATCTAAACGGCGCAATCGGACAATCGCCCGACCTCGCCAGGTGGCGATGGCGCTGGCCAAAGAGTTAACAAATCACTCCTTACCGGAAATTGGTGATGCGTTTGGCGGAAGGGACCATACAACAGTGCTGCACGCCTGCCGCAAGGTTGCTGAACTACGTGAATCCAGCATTGACCTAGCGGAAGACCATAAAAATTTATCACGACAACTATCGGGCTAGCCGAGGACATCATGAAATTTACAATTCAACGTGAACAACTACTTCGCCCGTTGCAGTTGGTCACCGGAGTGGTTGAACGCAGGCAGACTTTGCCTGTGTTATCGAACCTTCTATTTAAGGCGAAAGATAATCGTCTTGAAATTACCGGTACAGACCTGGAAGTTGAATTGGTTGCGGAATGTGACGCGGATGTTCAGCAGCCGGGTGAGGCTACGCTGCCAGCAAGAAAACTGGCAGATATATGGCGTTCATTAGGTGATGGCTCAGAAGTTACTGTAAGTGTTGAGGCTGATCGGGCGATCGTGCGATCTGGACGCAGCCGGTTTACGCTTGCAACATTGCCCGCAGAAGATTTTCCGAAAGTGCCCGGCGGCGAAGCCGATGTTGCGCTGCAGCTTAAGCAAGCCGACGTCCGTGGTCTGATTGATGAAGTGGGCTTTGCTATGGCTCAACAGGATGTGCGCTATTTTCTCAATGGCATGTTGTTTGAAGTAACCGGTGAGCATATTCGTGCCGTTGCTACAGATGGTCACCGGCTGGCGATGAGCACCAAAGATTGCAGCAACCCTGGTGTTGCACAAAGGGTGCAGGCTATTGTACCTCGAAAGGGTGTTTTAGAGCTGGCCAGGCTTTTAGATGGCGAAGGTGAAACTATTGAGTTGCAGTTGGGTGGTAACCACCTTCGCGCAAAAACAGGGGAATATACCCTGACAACCAAGTTAGTGGATGGCCAGTTTCCGGATTATGAAAAAGTTGTTCCAACCGATGGCTCAAGAGCACTGGTCGGAGATCGCGAAACTCTGCGGCATGCATTTCAGCGTGCTGCAATTCTGTCCAATGAAAAATACCGTGGCGTACGGCTGATTGTTGCACCGGAGTTGTTAACCATTCAGGCTAACAACCCGGAGCAGGAAGAGGCTGAAGAGATTGTTGCTGTTGAGTTCAATGGTGATGAGCTCGAAATTGGATTTAACGTGAGCTATCTACTCGATGTGCTTGGTGTTCTGCAAACTGATTCAGTCAGGTTGAGTGTTTCAGATGCCAACAGTTCAGCCCTGATAGAGGGTATAGGCAACGAGTCAGCGAGTTACGTTGTTATGCCTATGAGGCTGTAAGGCCCGTAACAAGTGCACCTTCAGCGCTTGCATATCTTTAATTTTCGTAATTTTGTTGATCAGGAGATAGAACTCAGTCCTGGGTTCAACTATCTGTCCGGCGATAATGGTGCTGGAAAAACGGCACTGCTTGAAGCCATACACGTGCTGGCTAGAGGTAGATCTTTCAGAACGCACAGAATCCAACCGGTGGTCCGACAGGGTGAAATCGCGCTGGTGGTTACTGGCGAGGTTGTATCCGACGAAGGTGTGATCACAAAGCTGGGCACCCAACGCAGTACAAGTGGTACAACTGAATTGCGGTTAGGCGGCGAAAAAACAGCAAAGGCCTCCGCTCTGGCGCAGATTTTACCGATTCAAACCCTGCTGCCTGACGCGGCAGACCTGGTCCTAGGTTCGCCAGGCGGGCGCAGAGCGTTTCTGGACTGGGGTTTGTTTCACGTGGAACAAACCTTTCTTGAATCGTCTGGGTATTATCGGCGTGTCCTCAGCCAGCGTAACGCCTGGCTTAAACAGCTTGCAACGTCCCAGTCGACGATTGCAGAGGATCCCTGGTTTCAGCAATACCGTGATTATGCGATCAGTATCAGCACTTCACGAGCTAAGTACGTAGCTGGGCTCTCACTGGTATTCCGCGGGCTCATGAAGGAATTGAACGCCAGTCTCGACGTGGAGTTGAGCTATGACTGGGGTGGCCTTGTGTCTGCTGAAGACGCAGATAAAAAAGTGAGCGAATCTTATGCGCGCGATGTAAAATTCGGGGCGACACAGAGGGGGCCTCATCGGGGTGATTTGGTGTTCACTACGAATGGGCGTCCCGCAGTGGATGTGGTTTCACGGGGGCAGGCAAAACTGATCGCTAGTGCAGTGCTACTGGCACAAGCGAAGCTACTCAGCGATCGAATCGGACAGCGACTTGTTTTCCTGATCGATGATTTTGGAGCTGAACTCGATGGAAATCGATGGCAGCAATTAGTAAGCACGTTGCTTACTTTAGATTGTCAGGTAATTGCTACCTCGACCGAAGCGCTGGATTTAAGCGCGGATTGGGTTAAACAACTGCCCGGTTTGAAAGTGTTTCACGTGGAACAAGACCGGATAGACCCGCTACCCATACCCCTATAGGGCAAAGGACAATATGTCAGACGAAAATAAGTACGATTCCGGCAGTATCACTGTATTACGCGGTTTAGACGCCGTTCGAAAGCGGCCGGGTATGTACATAGGTGATACTGAAGATGGCACGGGGCTGCACCATATGGTGCAGGAACTGGTTGATAACGCCATTGATGAGGCTTTAGCCGGCC